TTTTTACACTTTCCACCAGCAGGGGGACTGTCTGATATTTCAGACAGTCCCCCTGCTGGCAGATCCATAGCCAGCTATAGGGGGCCATGTGATCGCTCTTTGAGAGCGATCACATGGCCCCCGGGGGCCTCATTCGCCGGGGGAGGGCTGCCTGGGCTGTCAGGCAGCCCTCCCAAAGAGGATCGCGGCGGAGGTAAGTAAATATTACCTCCCCTGGGCTTAAGCCGTTACGGCGTTCTATGCCGCCGCAACGGCTTTAAAGCCCTTTAAAGCCGCGACGGCATAGAACGCCGTAACGGCGTTAAGGTGTTAAGCTGTAGTGGTTCTGGTGACTATAGTGTCCCTTTAAGAATTGTTTTTTTGGCGTTGAAAAACCTGGCTCCTAACTTTTTTAGCTGGCTCCTAGATTCCAAGCAAATTTGTCAAGTCCTGAACAAAAACAAATGTACAAACAAACTTGCAAAACTGCAGAACACAGAATAGGAAGCAAAAATCCTACAATGGTGTAGAAATTAAGAATATGTAACCATAGCAGTATACAATGGATATTGTTCACAGTAAGTTGATAGTTGCGCTTCAGACGAACATAAGTATAACAACATGTTTGTAAGACAAAAAAGAACAAATAAGGTCCAGTGGTGGAGTATATTTCTATATCTGGACAGAAATATGTGTGGAGAACCATTTATATTTGATGAAGTTCGACACCAGCTCTGAGATATTGATAAGAACAACCCCCGCTTGAGGAATATCTTCTTGCACTCAGTATTAGTCCTCCTCACCAAGACAGAAAACAGAGTGGAACACAGGAATAGTATATATAGCATATTATTTATAGCAGTTCTTGATAATAATGTAAGTTTATAGTGTATGCACTCACATGTTAAAGAGCCGTGAATGGCTCCAATTGATCATCATATAGTGATACAATCCCCACTTTCAGATTTTTCAACTCAAACATAGCCAATAGTATCATAGAAAACAGGGCACAAAATATAGTGCTCTCCGCTTGAAAAATGCGTGCTGTGAAAATAAGAATGTTACTTACATATTTCTGAGCATATTTATGTGATGCTCAATCCTTGAGGCTTTAGTGGATAATACCCCTACTATGGATATAGCTGAAAAAGTGTTAACAGATGAGAGGGAATCCAGGAGTAGAATTAAAAAAACTATTAAAAACAATACAAATACTATTACATAAAAAAACTAATGTGTTTTTCATTTAAAAAGTTTTTTCAAGGAAGGGGGCGGAGCCAACGACACAACGGAGCAGTCGCCATTTGCAAGAGCTCCGTACAGCCAGCGCAAAAAACTTGAAATAACGACACACCCGCAACTCATCGACTACAACAGGCGACTAGCACAACCTCCTACCACCTTGCTGAACCCGCAGATGCCTTTCTTACAAAAGTCGGGCACGAAAAGCCGCATCAAGGGACCGGGGGCCTACCGCACACGCGACCAGTACCTCACCAGGGAGCTGACAGCGTGGCTTGACCAGAGCTCGCAGCTCACAGAGGCAGACTTCCACACATCGGAAGAAATGGGACGGAGGTCCCACAAACCAGCCACAAGCGCTTCCACGCCACACCGAGACATAAGCAGCATGCTGCAGAACCCTCCACCCGCACAGACCCGGGCTAACATGGCAGCCTCACCTGAGAGGTCTGAAGATGGAGACTCAGATCACAGCACAGCAGCGGCCAACACAGGCAATATACAAGTACAAGCTCCCAATGGACTAGCCCCAGCAACAAAACAGGACATCCAGGCCATGCTGGAGGGACTCCAAGGTAACCTACAACTAATGTGGCAAGCAGACTTAAAGGGGCTAGCAGCAGAGGTGCAGGTGGTGTCGGCCCGAACCCAGGCCACAGAACAAGAAGTGAAAGACCTACGCCAAGACCTAAACTCACTAACAGACACAGTCGCCCAGCTACAAACAGCACAGGCTAACATCACCAGGCAAGTAAACATCCTAGACGATCGGGGAAGGAGGAAAAATATTAAGATCAGGGGGATATCGGAATCGGTGCCACTGGAGGAACTACCCCACTTTATCAGGCGCCTGGTGGCCTCGCTCATCCCCAACAGACAAGCAAAACATTTTCTATTTGATGGAGTATACCGCATAGCCAAACCGCAACGGGCACCCAAGACAGCCCCATGCGACGTAATTTTACGATGCCAAACCCTGACAGACAAAATAGCCCTAATAACCTCCATCAAAGGGAAGGCACCCTACGACTTCGAAACACAGCAAATCACCTTCTTCCAGGACCTGAGCAGGGACACATTAACATGGCGCAAGAGCATGCAGCCTGTGACCACCACCCTGCAAGCAGCTGGCCTCATCTACAGATGGGCAACCCCCAGAACGCTGTGGGTGACGAAAGGCGACCAACACTACAAGATTACCAATGCGGAAGAAGGACCGGCCTTGCTGACCACACTGGGGCTCTCCAACAACGCCATAGGAGCGAACACTTTGCACCCTGGACCCGTGACATAAAACCTGGACTGAACACACAACAAACTTTCTTCTGTTATTGTTACCTAAAAGTAAAAGTGTTTTTTCTTTTTTTTTTTTTTTTTTCTCTTACTGCTAAAGATTCAGGTTTCACTCACTATACCAAGTTATGAATAACCTACCTTTCACTAGGCACTCATCTCCTCTACTGGAAAGTGTTTCATAACCCTGTAGCCTAAAGGCGGTAAAGCAACACACTGACCCCCCCCCCTAATGCCTCGGGGTCAAGGGGCATAGCAATCGATGGAGCACATACTCACTAGAGTGATATAACCTACTCAAAACACATAGTCTCCCTCCACAGTCTCAACGAGCTCAGCCCCACGACAGCACGGTTACCCATACTCTGAAATCCGAATCATCCACACATAGCTGACACTCAAACCCCAAGTCCTTATTCTAATATCCAACTCTATACACACCACACGACCACAAAGGACCAGGAGGCTTACCAGCGCTAATCCTGTACCAGTGCCATACCAACATTGGTGAAATCTACCAATAACACTAGCCAACACAATCACAATCCCCACTGGTACGGGCGACCAACTCGTTACGACTACCCAGTCCTACGTAATACAAAAGTGCACAGACCCTCTTAGCCCCAACTGCAGGAAGCTCAGACTATTGCCATATCTTATGCATTTGCTGTTGTGGCATATTCATACAATGTTTGTATTATTAAACTTGCACCGAAAAATAAAGAATTATAAAAAAAAAAAAAAAAAGTTTTTTCAACATATAATGAAGACTTTTTGTGGTGAAACGCATTAGTGTTGGGTTGTGTAGGTTATGTGATTCGCGTCAGTGACCCACCTTTTTACCCTGCCCATTGACGTCATGTTTCATTAGAGGCTGCTGTTAGGGGGTATGGATTTGCTTGAGAGATAAAAAAAAAAAAAAAAAAAGAGATCAGCATAGGGTATATGGTTTCTTGAGTTGCATCCTGTGAGTTTCTCTCCAGCACCACCTTCACTAGCATCATGATGCTTAGAAGGTATGACTGTTTTAGTGGTTTCTGTCTATAAGCAGTGGCGTACACATGACCCATGGGGCCCCGGTGCGAAAATTGATCCGTGGGCCACCCCGTGCTTACTCCGTGAGGGCCGGGGCCGCAACACATGGCGGCGGGCACCTGGTCACAGGGGTTTCAGGGCTGTGACCGCGGTATGTACGCCAATGCATGCAGATGCACACACACTTATAGGACCACTACAGACACCCAGATCACATCAGCTCAATGAAGTGGTCTGGGTGCCAGGTCCCTCTAGGTTTAACCCTGCAGCTGAAAATATAGCAGTTTCAGAGAAACTGCTATGTCTCACTGAGGGTTAATCCAGCCTCTAGTGGCTGTCTCATTGACAGCCGCTAGAGGAGCTTCCGCGATTCTAAGACATTGAGTAATGCTTTCCTATGGGCGGTTTGAATGTGCGCGGCTCTTGTCGCGCATGCGCATTCGGAGCTGAGAGGCGGAAGGATCTCCAGCGCCAATGGAGTCCAGCGCTGGAGAAAAGTAAGTGCTGAAGACACACACACACACACTCTCACGAACAGACACATACACACTAGGTAACAGACACACACATTTACTGACAGAGACACACTCAGCGACAGACAGACATACACACTCACAAAACATACACTCTCACTGACAAACACACACTCACTGACATCAAACAGACTCACTAACAGACACACACACAGTAACACACTCACTAGCAGACACACTCAATAACAGACACACTCACTGACACTCACTAGCAGACAGACACACACACACTAACACACACACTTTTTTTAAAATTTAATCCCCCTAGCCTCCTTACCTTTTGGAGTGCTGAGGGGATTCCCTGGGGTCCAGTGGTGCTGCTGGGCTCCTGGGCGGCCGGTCACCGGGCGGGCAGACTGGCGGGCGCGCGAGGGAGCACTCTCTCCCCGAGTGCTTCCTCTTCAGCTCCCTTGCGCGCCGCGTACTGATGCCAGAGCCAGAAGATGAGAGCCGGAAGCCGGAAGATGAGAGTGCTCCCTCGCGCGCGCACCAGCCCGGTGATACCAGGGCCAGCCTCGGGGGGCCCTGAGGTGGTCAAGTCCTGGGTCCCCCCCTGGTGGGCCGGCCCGGTCGCAGCCGCGACCCCTGCGACCCCAGTATGTACGCCACTGTCTATAAGGTTCTGTAATCCGGGCCAATCATAATTGTCAGCACCAGGCCCAATGGGCTCTTAATCGGGCCCTGGCTTCATAAATGCAGAACCAAGAATATTTACCCATAATTATATTCATGCATAAGCTATAAAAGGATAACCAAGATAACATGAACCAATAGCAAGAAATAACAGTATGCTTTTGGCAGAAGAAAAATTTAACCAAAACAGTATGCGTGAAGAATACATAACCATAACAGTATGCATTTTGCACAAAGAATGCGTAACCATAAGTGAATGTATTTAGCATTAAAAAAAAGTGTGACCATAACTGTATGCAATTAGTACAAAGAATGTGTGACCATAACGGTTTGTAAACAAGAAGAAAAGACTGTGGATCTGTTAACGAATAAAACATAACTTTTATTCCATCTTTAATAAAAATTATTGAGAAAATGTATTTTAAGAAAACAAATTGTGTTTCTAATCCAATCACCCTCAATTAGCGAACAGGATGAGAGAATGTACTAAACACGTAACAGGGAAACAACATTCATCCTGTTTGCTGTGTTCAGACATGGCACACATAGCATCATCATGTGTCCCATGAGAAGCAGTAACATTAAACAAATATAAAAATATAAACAATGGTAAACAATACAATTTTGGCTTTTGACTTTTTAGTGGGCACAGTGATCATCTGTTACATTATAGACAGAAAGCATAGTACCCACATATATATAAATCTCTATCCAAGAGCTTAATGTCATTGGAGTTTAAGGCACAACGTGCATTAGCTTAGGTATTACAGGTCAGTACAGAAAAAGGCTAGCAGTATAAGTTGTATGCTTAGAAAAACATTAAAAATACAGCAAAGAAAATAAAAAAATAAAAACTGGAAATCAATTAAAAAATCCAGTTCCATTTTCAGTCATATATAGTCCATATCCTTAGTTTTTAGAGAAACAAAATGGCATTTGAGTAGTGGGGAATGATTATAGTAGAAGACTATATGGGGTTGTTACATTGTGTAAGTTATATATAGTAGGACACACTATCTTTCTTCATAGGCATCTTTGGCAACAGTGGATCAAATTAGTCCACAAGATCTTGATTCTCTTCCTGTCTTTTCTTCATCCTCCGGAGTTGTAATTGCAGTTGTAGTTTGTTGGTGAAGAAGAGTTGTTTCCATCCTATATCCAGCGCAAGAGCCCTCATCTCTGGTGTAACTCTGTCACACGATTGCTCCACAATGTGTTCCCACAAATTATCTGAATTAGAGATCTGTTTGATAAACAAAATGAAGAGCAAAGTTTATTTATAAAGACATATTGTAAAAAAATGTGAAAGAGTCAACACTTCCTCTAAAAAGCCTGAAAAGATCGTATACCAAAGTCACCCTATGGTCCCCACATTGTTGGGTTTTGGATTGAACTGGAGGATAACTACACAAGCTCCTGGGAGTTTGAACCATTGCATGGATCTTCATATGACTTGAAGACTGCATTGAGTTAAACTAGACATGTACTGGTTTATCTCACAGTACTTCATGTACCTCCTCTATTGCAGGTGATGACCAGGATATTGTCACCAGGACAGACACTGAACTTTAAAAGGTAAGGAAACAATCATCATGTGTTCTGAGTGCGCTACCTCACATGTAGTAAACTTTATATGATGTGACATTGAGTTGTTCTCGAGTAAGCCACCATTCATTGGCTGAGAGGCAGGACAAGAAAATGGCAGCACTACAAAGTGGTAGGCTACTGATGGAAAGAACATGAACAGACGTTGTCAGGAAGAATAGAACTGGTTGATGGTGACATTGGTTTTGATGATTATGATACAGTGTATGATAAGAATCAGTTTCAGGGAAACAAAAATAAACAGTGAACGGGAAGGTCCATTTCAAATTGTTCCATTACAATTTTCTTTGGCATAACAATCATCAGACGGCTTATCAATTATAATAAATGTTTACAAAGATATATTCTCTTTTATAATAATTGGCACAAACAGACTAATGAAGTTGGAGAAGCATAGAGCTATAAGACTCTTGTTAACTATCTATTATTGAATTTGTCATACTGAGAGGAGGCCTCCAGTGATGTGCAAGACGATTCTAGGCCATTTTTCCCCCAAGTGCCTTAGCAATGCTTGTCATGTAGGCAGCTTTGAATTCTATGCTATATTCTAGCTGCATCACTGTCAGCCTTTATTCTGGTTCTACCCCTCTCATCTCTGTTTAAATATTGTGAGGTAGGATGAAGGTGGTCACAAGAAAAATAATGCCATGTGACCTTTTCCTTTTTCCATCTTTAGTCTGCACATATCCATCATAAACATTATTGTGGTTATACTGTGTTTACTTATGTAGGGAAAAGGTGCCCATTGCCACCATCTCTTCACATTCTTGTGGCATATCGAACACTGTGTAGTGGCAAGCTCAGTCATTGGCTGGCTGCTACAGTGAGATGTACCCTCAACCCATGCAGGGCCAGTGCTTCCTATAGGACAATTAGGTGGCCGCCTAGGGCGCTACTTAAAGGGGGGCAATGGCCCTGTGGCTTTATGATCGTTTGTGATCTATCAAGTTTGTGCCACGGCCGCTCCTCATTTATTTCTAGCATGCTGCCGGCCATGTTCCCAGGTGCTAGGGAGCACTTACAGTGCTGCTCACTAGCACTCGATCTACCATCAATGGCCTCCACACAGGGCCAGCACGTTTTACAGGCGACTAAGGCAGTCGTCTAGGGTGCATCAGCCTGGGGGGATGGGGGCGCAAGAATCGAGTGACACAGCAGGAGGGAAGCGCAAGAGAACGCACTGGACGCATGGAATAGCCTTACAGCTGAAGTGGTAGAGGTTAACACAGTTAAGGAGTTTAAGCATGCGTGGGATAGGCATAAGGCCATCCTAGACTTAAAGGAACACTATAGGGTCAGGAACACAAACATATATGCCTGACCCTATAGTGTTAAAGCCACAATTTAGGTGGCTTGCCCTCCCCATTAACCCCCTTTAGAAAATGTGAAAACTCACCCCATTTCCAGCGCTGCGCAGGTCTGCCTGTCCATGATCCGCCTCCTTGGCGACATGATCAGAATTGCAGATTTTTAGAAAAATGGCTAAAATCGTCAAGGAGACGGGACAAGGGTGGTGCCAAATGCTGTTTTAGCCAATCAGCACCTCCTCATGGAGATGCATTGAATCAATGCTTTTCTATGAGGAAAATTCAGTGTCCCCATGCAGAGCGTGGAGACGATGAATGGCAGCACTGCCCCAGGAATCACATCTAGTGGCCTCTTGAAGGTGTCCCTAGGGGGCAATGTAAACACTGCCTTGATGTAAACACTTCAATGAGTTGAAGTGGTCTGGGTGGCTATAGTGCACCTTTAACCTTCATTAACAATACGTCTAAGAGTTGCTTTCCCAGATTGTGGTTGCGTTTGCAGTGCAGGTCAGAAACTAGGTATACAGTTACGGTTATTCTAGTGTATCCTGAAACTATAGAGGTAAGACTCTGGGCTTATAGGTTTTTAGATCCTACCACTGTGTGTAGAAACATAGAAACATAGAATGTGACGGCAGATAAGAACCATTCGACCCATCTAGTCTGCCCAATTTTCTAAATACTTTCATTAGTCCCTAGTCTTATCTTATAGTTAGGATAGCCTTATGCCTATCCCACGCATGCTTAAACTCCTTTACTGTGTTAACCTCTACCACTTCAGCTGGAAGGCTATTCCATGCATCCACTACCCTCTCAGTAAAGTAATACTTCCTGATATTATTTTTGAACCTTTGTTCCTCAAATTTAAGACTATGTCCTCATGTTGTGGTAGTTTTTCTTCTTTTAAATATAGTCTCCTCCTTTACTGTGTTGATTCCCTTTATATATTAAAATGTTTCTATCATATCCCCCCTGTCTCGTCTTTCCTCCAAGCTATACATGTTAAGATCCTTTAACCTTTCCTGGTAAGTTTTATCCCGCAATCCATGAACCAGTTTAGTAGCCCTTCTCTGAACCCTCTCTAAGGTATCAATATCCTTCTGAAGATACGGTCTCCAGTACTGTGTACAATACTCCAAGTGAGGTCTCACCAGTGTTCTGTTCAATAGCATGAGCACTTCCCTCTTTCTACTGCTAATACCTCTCCCTATACAACCAAGCATTCTACTAGCATTTCCTGCTGCTCTATTACATTGTCTGCCTACCTTTAAGATTTGTATGATAATATTTTTCTCTGAAAAGGCAGTGTTTGCCTTTTTACAAATACTTAGTAAAAGGTACTTAGTATTAGTAATTAATCTGCTCCTACTCGCTATATCGCAAGTAGGGGCATGTCCAGTAAACTGTTGGGGGCCCATTGTCTGTTATGGCCCTACACACCTATGTCCCTTATTTAGTTGAATAGCCGCCACTCGCAGGGCATTGGTCGGGGCACACTATGTCCCCCACGCTATTTAATAGATGCCCCACCATGGAGCCATTTATTAGAAGGAATTTTAAAATTATTTTTTCCAACAGTGAGCAGCCGTAAGCTGCTCACTGTTTAGTAGACACTCGTCAGAAAGTAGACGTCTTTCTGACAAATGAATGAATAGACAAACTTCCCTTCCGAATTTTGGACAATAGCGAATGCCCAAGTGTTTAACTGGGCATGCGTGGGAATTTCCTAGAGCTATCTAGTGTGGGCAGATGACGTATCCACAGGGACTTCATCTGACCACACAAAGATGGCAGTGCCCAGGACTTAGGTCCGAGCATAAAATAAAGATGAAAAAATAGGTAATATTGGGGACTAGGGGCATTTAAGGGTGACTAGGGGGGCAATTAAATGTAGAGGGTTCGGGAGAGGGGTTAAAAAAAAATGGATGCGGCCATGACAGTGCCGCTTTAAGATAAGGCACTAATAAAAGTATTACGAAAATTCGGCAGACTAGATGAGCCAAACGGTTCTTATCTGCCGTCACATTCTAAATTTCTAATTACCACTGCAGGGTTAAGTGACATGGGACACTGCATCCAGATCACTTCAATGAGTTGAAGTGGTCTGGGTGCCTATAGTGTACCTTTAACCTTCATTAACAAAATGTCTAAGAATTTCTTTCCCAGATTGTAGTTGCGTTTGCAGTGCAGGTCAGAAACTAGGTATACAGTTACGGTTATTCTCGGGTATCCTGAAACTATAGAGGTAAGACTCTGGGCTGATCGGTTTTCAGATCCTACCACTGTATGTATGATAATCTCTTTCAGCCAATCTCCAGTATGTCTAGAATGCAACCTAATGCCACTCTGAGAAAGAACAGACATTCTGCTCCAGAAATTCTGCAGGAACACAACTTCTATTAATCACCTTCTGACTGTTCCAGGTATCTCAGGGTCTCAGCACAAATGCGTCAAAAAAGTGCCTTCGGTCTAGGTTAGGCCAAATTACAATTTGTCCAAATTTAAGATTGGTGGTTTAGCTGAATTATGTTTCTCAAAAGAGCCATATGAAAGAGAATGTTTGTTTTGTTCGTGAATCAGAGTTCTGCCGGTTACACAAAAAAGAGAGATGCTTGATGGGGCATAGATGATTGATGGCTGAGAACAGCCTCTAAATGTTGTTGTTTTTTTAAATACAAGTGAGAAGTGACCAATAGAGGGTGTGGGGGGGAGAAGCAGTTAACAAAAAAAACTATATTTATATATTTAATAAACATAATATATAAATATACATTATATTTTCTCTATTGGTTACTTTTTCCCACTTTATATGTGAACCAAATGGCTGGAAAACGCATCATAATATTTATTGGACAATATGTGCATCATTTTTTGTTTAGCTGAATTGGTGTCAGACTATTTTTTAAGGATGAGCCAAACCGTCAAATGAACGAGTGTTGGAGATCCTGAACTAAAGTTTATTTTTGTAAAAAATGGACTGGCAAATTTTTTTTCTTCAGAGCACAAGTTTAATTATCACAAAAAGTATTCAACGGAGATGAATGGAAACAGGGCACTTGGTTGGGAAATGTGGTCACAACTGGTTATATTTTTCTTTTCATCTCCAATAGGCAAACAAAGAGAGATAAATACCCAATCGGGGCACATTACTGTTATTATTGCCATTTATATAGCGCCAACAGATTCTGTAGCGCTTTACAATATTATGAGAGGGGGGATTTAACTATAAATAGGCCAATTACAAGAAAACTTACAGGAACAATAGGTTGAAGAGGACCCTGCTCAAACGAGCTTACATTCTATAGGAGGTGGAGTATAAAACACATTAGGACAGGAAATAGCAATCAAATAAGGTGGGAGTGCAGCAGAGCTGGAGGAGACAGTAAAGTGCTGCCCTATAGGAGAGAGCAAGAGACAGGTGTGTAAGGTAGAGGTTACTCTGGGAGGCCATAAGCTTTCCTAAAGATATGGGTTTTAAGGCACTTATTAAAGGATTGAAGATTAGGGGAGAGTCTGATGGGGGTAGACCGGCTATTCCATAGGAAGGGAGCTTCCTGCAAAAAGTCCTGCAAGCGCGAGTTGTCCGTGACATTAATCACCGACTAAAGGCTCGAGACAGTTATGGGCCCGCCCACAGCTCTGCAGCCATGGTCCAGCTAGGGAGGTAGCTGGATCTCCTTAACCAGCCTGGTATCTTTGTCTTCTGTAGCCAAGGAGGATAGTACTAGACAAATTATTTGAAGTGGTCATGGTGGTAGGAGTCTGAATGTGTAGTGTTTCTGCTTGAAATTCTGCTCGTTCAGATATTTGCACTTGTGTTCTTTATGCTGGAAACCTGGAATTTTCAGGCTCCTGGATTCTTTTAAATGTTTGTTTTTTGTTGCCACACCCATTCCTTTGCCATTTAATCCTTTTTGCTTCAGTCTGTTCCTGCAAACAGTTGTCTCATTACCTCTGCTCCTTTCTTTGCAGGTACGTACTGTGTGTGTTTTATTGTTTATTTAGTCATGCATAGCTAGGCAGTTAGGACCCACCGTAATTGGAGTACTTTGGCGCAGTGGTGGGCTGCATACATATTGACCATTTATGTATGTCTAAATCTCCAATGTTTTACATATACAGTACTTTGTTATGTCTCCTCTTTTTCTGCCGTGTATCTCTTGTCTTGTTTTATTTTGTCTTGTATTCCTAGTTCATGTACAGTCCTGTCCTTTCCTGCCCATGTTCTGTTAATGTTTCCCTCATGTATTATGTATATGTTCTGGGTTCTGCTTTCTGTCCTGCTCCGGTTCTGGGTTCTTTTAGTCTTGTCTTGTTATCTTGTTTGGTGCCTGTTCTAGTCTTGCCTTGTTTCTGTACTGGATACATATCTGCATATCATCTAGCACCTGGGATCCGCAGAAGCTGCATCAGGGCCCTGTTATGTGGCCGCACAAACGCTGGTGCTCAGCACCAGGGGGCGTGTGGTTACCCTGCACCAGTCCCTGATAGTCCATTTCCACGCTGTGACTCCAACCATCATCAGGCATACAGGGGTCCCGGTCTTTGGACCGCCACCCGTGACAGGAAGAAATGGGACACATGACAGGCTAGGGAGGCAGGATGGGACACATGGAGGGGCTGGGAAGAATGGAAATGGGACACATGGAGAGGCTATGAATGGGGAATGAGACACATGGAGGAGCTATGGAGGGGGAAAACATATTTTTTTTAAATTGCAGGTGTTTTTTACATTTTAAAGTTGGGGACGGGTGCCAAATGCTATAGGTAGGCCACTGAAAGGAGGGACTACTTTGTCTTATGTATTGCTCTTACACTTGGCAATCTTGACAAAGGGTGGAGCTTAAAGTAAGCTTCACCCTATGTTAGCTTGACAAAGAAGTGGAGTCACAATTGTCAAGTGTAGGAGAAATATATAAGACAAAGAAATCAGAAATGAGGTGACAGAGCCACTTTCAAGGGATACTAGTACCAGAATAACTAAAGCTTATTGTAGTTGTCCTGATGAGGATAGTGAGTATCTGCAGCCCTTTTGCTGTAAACACCGCTACTCCTCAGACGACCACTAGAGGTGCTTCCTGGGCCAGTGTTGCACACTCTGCACGTAGGCGCTGAACTTTCCTCATAGAGATGCTGATTGGCCAGGTGGCGTTTGGCTCCACCCTCGACCTGCCTCCTTGGCTGAGATCATCATAATTGACAATGGGAAAACAGTGTAATTGGCTGAAATAATCAATTTGGATGATGTCAGCCAAGGAGGCGGATCGTGAGCAGAGCCAGCGCCGACGGACCCACACGGCAATGGTAAATTTTCTAAACGTTTGTATTCCTGACCCTATTGTGTTCCTTTAAGTAACACAAGTGTGGTGAGATATCCCAGTTTTCTTCAAGCAAAACACTTTCTGGTACTAGTAACTTGTCACTGTGTTGCAAGATGGATATACCTGATGACCAGTCCAGACCATTCCAGACACTTTGTAATATGATAAATGGAACACTCCAAACATAGAAATCACTCCAAGCTTTCTGAAGTGCTTTATGTATGAAGGTTTTTCCTCTGTGAAACAGCTCACTGAAAAGTTTGTGACTGGACAGCTGCACACATGACAAACTAGTCTGCAAGACTTCTCATTAGCATCCTCTGGCTGGTCAATGCTTGGCACCTATGAGAAAGTCTGAGCTGGGGAAGAAGGTGAGGACTTGCATATGCTGCAGATATACCCCCAAAGAAAACAATTTAAAATAATACTACTTGTATTTTGTTTCCTGTTTGGATATTATGTTCCAATTGTTTTTTTTTCTAAATTGAGTGTGCCTTTAAGCCACTCTTTACTAAAAATAATGCAGAAAAGTTCATACTGCTTTCATAGCTATAAAATACAAATCTTTTTTTTCTGCGATGCATCGCCTCAATGCAAAAGTTCATATTAATCCCAAATCAGATTCTAGTACGAATTAAGGCTAACTAGTAAAATAATCTTTAATGAATAAACAGACATAGAATTTACTCCATCAATGTGCATCAAAGTGATCGAAAGATCTTGCCTACGCAGCAGAGAATTGTGCTTCTGCCATGCACATATTTTCCATTGCTCCCTCATGGTCATACAAAGTGCACAGACTATGCCTGGCAAGCAATGCAGAGCACATTGCGTTACTTGGTCTATTGCTGACAGATCATTTGATATAGTGACTCCCCAACGTTGCAACCAAAGAACATATAGGGGGTAACAGCAGCTTTCATTCTAAATGTGTGCCCCTTAGAAAGCATAAGTTAAACCATGAGTTTTCTATAGGAAAAATGATACACTATCACTGGGAGGATATAAGTAGACTGTAATAAAGCCATATTTAAGCTACCTGATGTTGTTACCTTTTAATATGAATAAATATTGAATGCTCACCAAAAAATAAACTTTTTTTTTACAAAGGTATTTCCACTGATATTTACATCTTCTTGTTGAAATATTCTAGCTTTAAAAGCAAGGAGAAAATAAATAAATTTAAAAAAAGCAACGAGAAGACTATCACCAACTCTTTTAACATATGATTTGTCTTTCTCATGACATATCACTAGGAGGCAATCTTAACCCTCCCCCTTCTCCCCCTGCATACATTATATGTGAGGTATCTGTTCCCTCACATTCTATCCCAATACAATGACTCATCTTTATGAAAATTAAGTAAAAAGGGAGGTCTCATGAGTGATATAAGGAAGCCTTAAGCAGTTGCAGTCTCTTTTCCACCTCCCACAAACAAAAAATACACACAACAATACTATGCAAACGAATACTTGTCAACAACATTGTCAGGGTACCTGTGGTTGTTGCCCGTACAGGGAAGGTGCCTAGGAATGTCCTGCCAGTGGAGGGGAACCTTTTCCATGGTCCCTCTCTTGTCCTGAGTGATTTCAACGCCAGCTGATGTAGCTCCCTTTTATGATGCATCGCATACAAGTCACTGTCATGGCTCGGATGGTGTCACAGCACGCCAAAAACGTTCAAATTCAAGTCACAAACCCTGGCGTTCATATTTATTTTTTGCTATTTTCATTTTAAAAAAATTGCACTTTCACTGATGGTATCATTGTCATGATACGTTTTACTGTTTTGAAACACTCATACACTCATTAGTCTCCCGAGTAAAAGAGCCCCCCCTCCCATGTACAGTCTTTACGGTATTTTGTAAAATTACAGGGTAAATATAGAATTAGCAAATTAGGTGCCTCGAATTGTAATTATTAAAATCACTTAATTTTGTAAAAAGTTTACATATATATATCTATTATTTTTTTTCTTCTAACTCTACTAACTTTATTTTCAAGTTTGGGGGACTGCCTCACAACCCGGGCAGTCCCCCTGCGAGTGGGCCCAGGCCTTGAGCTGTGTAAGAGGCCCCAAAATGTATGGTAAGTTGATAAATGTGCTTCCGATCCACCCACATCTTAGTTCCTTGAGCTGCCAACCGGTTAATCAGGTTCGTCGGTGTCAGGACAATATAGTGGCCCAACACATAGAACTAAGTCAAACAGGGTAAAATATAAAACTTTAGGAAAAAAACGTATTACTGAGCCTTAGAATGGCCAGAATTAACGTAAAAAGAATAACCAGTAACTAGCCAAGGTCAGGAATACAGAAAGGAGCAAAAACATAAGTCAAAAGCCCATAGACGTGCGCAGCCTATTGTATAAGGGTGTGCACCCTAAAGCAGAAACACAAACGCTGCGTGTATATATATATACAAATAAAAGTTTTTTGGGGAAAACACAGTATACTTTTGGTGCTACTATCACCTAGTGTGAACCACTCCAACACACCAAATATCAATAAAGTGCAAAAAAAAATAGGATTGTGGTGAGAGCACTCAAAACATGCAAATATAATATTTTACCAGAACTTTGTTTAGTTGAAAACAAACCAGAACTTTGTTTAGTTGAAATGTCTAAAAAAATAAAAACATAAAACACAAAAACATAGGGTAATATTGTTTAGAATATGTGCAAATGTTTATATGTGACTGGTTAAACTCACATATTGCTGAGTCACTTTAAAAGCTGACTCAGACTTAGGGCTTGTATGGAGATGAGAAATCTAAATTCTGGACGTCCTGTACCAATCTTGGTGGATCCACGCTGGGAATACTTTCTAAAATCACTCCAGGATGCAGGATCAAATCCAAACTAATTTTATTATTAAAATACTACATAGAAATAAAACTAGTAGTAAGTACAGGTTAAAGTGTCCTTAATATATACCACGACGCGTTTCGGCACTCACAGCCTTTCTCAAGTGGTCTGTTTCTTCATCTCCAATGTTTTTCTTTTTATATCTTCAAATCTTAGCGAACCTTTTTCCGGCGTCCTCTGTATCTTCCACTTTCGTCATCATTCGGCGTCTGCCGGTTACGTTGCGTGATGACGTAGCCGTTTACATGATGTGCTGTGTGTGTAAGGGTGCTATTAGTGTGTGCTGTGTGTGTGAGGGTGCTGTGTGTGTAAGGGTGCTGTTAGTGTGTGTATGTGTAAGGGTGCTGTGTGTGTAAGGGTGCTGTTAGTGTGTGCTGTGTGTGTGAGGGTGCTGTGTGTAAGGGTGCTGTTAGTGTGTGTATGTGTGAGGGTGCTGTGTGTGTAAGGGTGTTGTTAGTGTGAGGGTGCTGTTAGTGTGTGTGTGCTGTGTGTGTGCTGTATGTTTGTGTGTAATGTGTGGGAGTGTGGGGGCCGTTTAGTTAATATCCCCCATCCCGTCTTACCTTATGTAGGGAGGGGGGACCGTGCTCCTGCCTTCGCTGGTGGTCCAGTGGAGAGTGAACCCTAGCCCTCTGTGGGGCTAGAGTTCACTCTCGCGAGATCTGAGCAGCGGCAACGCTCCGACCGCGAAAGAGGAACCCGGCCCCAGGTCCTCTCCTTCCTCCCTCCCTGCCTGTGGGTTGGTGAGGGAGATCTTTGCCCACGGAGGGAGGCACATAGGGCGTGCCGCGGGGATTAGGGTGTGCCTAGGCACACCCGGCACACCCCGTGCGCACGCCTATGCAAAAGCCATAGGGTCAGGAAGCCAGAAGTAAGAATAGTCAGGACAAGCCAATATAAAAAAACAGAATATCAAATACAGGAATGCCCTCTCGGATAACCAAAATGTAATGGAAACCATGATAGGGCAAATAAGTGATACAGAAATTGGCTTTTATAGAAGAAAGAAAGAAAGAAAGAAAGAAGGAAAGAAAGAAAGGAAAAAAAAAAAAGATAATCGTCCCAAAAAAGTTTATTATTATTGATTGTATTGTGTTATAAAACCTAGACCTCAATTTAATTCTGTTAACCGAACACAGATGCAAAAATTGATTTTCAGGCAAAAGCCTTGTGGACCATATTAAACTGAAAAACATTTCAAACCTCACATCTGAAAATCTTGTGGGATTGTAGGATTTACAAACTCATGTGACTCCAAGATTAGAAATAAAGGTGTTAAAGCAGCACTCAATGTTAAACCATTTCACCTAAAAAGACCCTATTCTGAGATCTAATCTAGTTAGGAGTTCACACATTTTAAAGTTATAAAAGTTACTGGTACTTTGAGTCATTTCCTTTGCTCTATGCATTGTCCTTATAACGAGAACTTCAAGGAATCAGCCCCCCCTTCTGGCCAGTAGGATAATTACAGAGATTGTATTTGACCATCTTTGTGTTATTATTATTTATAAAGCCCCAATATATTCTGCAGCACTGTAATTTCACAGTTGTATTTTATTCATATAAAAAAACAAAGCATTATTTTCAAAATTTGGAAAGGGATTACTTGCCAAGTGTAGTGTGAATTATTTCAATTTAATGATGACACCCAGTCAAACCTCAAGTAGAAGTAAGTAAATATCATGTAGGTTATTATAAATTCAATGTAACAGATACAGTGAGGGTTATTCAATAAAATGAAAATGCGAAGTGAATTCACATTTAGGGCAAAAATAGCCACATTGGAAAAATTCAACCTCAAAAAAGACCAAATAAAGGACCGTAATTCTTGATGCTACTGTTATAAAGGGGAAAAAAAGCAACACTATAAACCTAACCTTGTGAATGCTTGAAAGTATCTGTGGAGAGTGAGCTTGCATGTTGAGAAAAGCCAATGCATTTTCAGTCATAGTCATAGTGCTTGGACTTGTAGCTTGTAAGGTCCTCCCATATCTTTATAGAAACTGGACTAAAATAGTTGCCCAGTGGCTAGTTTTTTTTATTACAGTGACCAGGGCCACCATTATGAGGGTACAACGAGGCATGTGTAAGGCGCAAGGCCACCCAGAGGACCCCAATTAACCAGTTGTTACTAATACAGTTAGTCTACTCGCTTACGGTCTACTATGTGACAGGATTCCATGCAGGAATTATCATTTTTTTACAGGGGTGGAGCTTCTGGTTACGATCCGCAAGGAATCTGCAGTGCAAGACTGCATGCAGAACCTCACCAACACTATCTCACGCATTCAGCAGCCTTTCGATGAGTGTGGTGGTGCATGCGGGTAAGTAAAGTACCTGCTAGTGGTAATTAGCATCTTCCCTTCCTTACATCCTCCCCATCCCCACAGACCTCCACTCTAGCACCAGGCTCCAGATCTGAGCCCAGCATGAGTGTCTCTGCGAGGCAGCCACCTTGCAAACGTATTGACCAGCAGTGGTCGTTCTTCACCTTTTTATTGGTGGGCTTTGCTGGTGAAAGCTGTGGCCAGAAGCCATTAATCACTATAGCTCAGTGGTAGTCAACCTTTTTCTACCTACCACCCACTAATGCATCTTTCTTGATGGAAAAATTTCCTTACCGCCCACCAGTTTTCACGCAAGTGCGGAATATTTTTTAGAAAGGAGGGTGTTTTAAAAAAAATAAATGTACGTACATTTATTTTTTTATTTCTACTTAATGCATGTTTATAATGTTTTTAACTTTATAAAGTTTAATGAGAAAACAATAAAGTAAATTGAAATTACCTTTACTAGTGATTAATGAGATCCTTGAGGATGATGCTGCGAGACTAAATATTTTATATCTGGATCGATTTTCGTAAGGAACAAACTAAGGTCTCCTCTCCCTCCTCAATTCCACTCCCCCCCCCTTTTTTTTTTCCTTTTTTCTATTTTTTAACCTTCCTTATAGCAATGCCCAGTAGGATGGCTGAGCTAGGTAGCCCACTTACTATTACTTACTATAGCCCACTATAACAGACAGGCACACATACATACATACATACATACGGACACACACACACACGCACACAAGACACACACACACACACACAAGACACATACATACAGACACACACACAGACACACATACAGACACACACATAAGACATACATACAAAGACACATGCATAATAAACACAAACATACAAAGACACATACATAAGACACACATACATACAAAGACACATACACACACAAGACATACTTACAATGACAAGACACATACACACATATATACAGACAGACACACACACAAGACATACATACAAAGACACACACATACATACAAAGACACACACATACATAAGAAGACACATACACACACAAGACATACATACAAAGACACACACAAGACATACATACAAAGACACATACACACAAACAAACACACACAAAATATTTTAGTCACCCTTCTGTTTCCTACCTTTTAGGAGCAGGAGGGTGACATTCCCTGGGGTCCAGTGGTGGCTCAGGTGGATGGGAGTTCCCACTCTGACTCCCTCCTCCTTCCTCCCGCGCGGTCTGTGTGTTAGCTGGGAGGAGTGACGTGCAGTCACTTCCTCCCACTTCTGTGATGTAATCACAGGGGGCCCGGTCGCGCTGTTAAAGTGCCCAGCGCTTGCCCCCTTACAATCCACAGCCATCGGGTGGCCCTGACAGCATGGGCCACCCGATGGACCCCTTGGACAGCTCACACCCGCCCGCCCAATCTCTCAAAATGAGGAAATCCCTACCGTCCACCTGGAATCCTGAAACGCCCACTCTTGGGCGGTAGGGACCAGGTTGATGACCCATGCTTTAGCTTATATGGCAGAGCTTTTGCTGCAGCTGGTCCTGGCCATGCTCCCCACATTGGACCAGTCAGCAAAGATTTCAGTTGTCTACTTTAGCCTAAAATTTGAACAATCACTTTGAATTTGCACTTTAGTGAATAACCCAGAGAGGTAAATTATTACATGTTCAGAGCTGTCCAGTCCTCTGTAATAATGGCTATGAAACAAGGAGTGCTTTATTAAAGTAATATAAATGAATGAACAGTTGGCTGAATTTATTTTTGGCATTGCTGTAAAGGGTAATTGGGAAACACCAATAAGGTTATATAGTAGGTATTGGTAATGGCTGAGGGTTTTTTTTTTTATTTGTATTTTATTGGAGTTTAAATACTCAAAATACGACTTAGCATGTAAATAGTAACAATGTCGTATGTAAGTAATATCAATCGTGCATGTATATAGTGACAGTTTTGCAATTTTGCATCAACATTGTCTGGCGAGCAACTGGCATTAGCAATATTAGGTTTTTGACTATCTGGTGGATGCTAGGGGTAAACAGGGACATTTGATAACGTTAGTTGCAGGGGCATTAAACAGTTGCTGTTGTGTTACTCATGGGTGTGCGCAAGCCGCTGTGTGCAGGAGCTAGAGTAATATGGGGTTCCAGTGGACCTCTGTTAGATCGAGTGTCCCAGGGCACCATGCTGTATGGCTGCTAGGGACTGTGAGAGTTCATCAGGTGGAGTGGAGTTGCCACCCTGTAAAGCTTAGGGTTGTCTCTTAGTTACAGTCGGCGCGTTGGTGTCTCTACTTGGCCCCCTGGTGCTCTTGGGCTGACGCTGTGCTTGGGTGTTATCTCCGCTGGCCTCTCTTTTGTCCGCATCCTGTAGGTTCAGTTTTCTGAGGAATGTTTCCTGGTCGTCCTTGGAGGACAAGGTAAGCATCTGGTCTCCCTGTGGTACCGCCAGGGAGCTGTCTGCACCCCACCGGTATCTGATTTCCGCTTCCCGTAGCCTTCTTGCTATAGGCGCCGGTTGTCTCCTTTCCACAAGCGCTGCGAATGGGAGGTCCCCAAAGAAGGCCACAGTGCTGCCATTCAATTGCACTGTGCCTAGTGTTCTGGAGAGGGACATGATAGCGGAGCGGGTTGCCGTGTCTCTTGGCGTATCCGCTGGCACTGTTGCGGCTTTGCGGATCCTAAATGCTGACTGTATCAGGCCAGGCTCGGTGCCCCCCTTTACTGTGAGTAAGTGGTGTATGTGGGGCAACAAGGCTTCTCCCCCAACGCTCTCTGGGATGCCTCGGATGCGGATGTTCCGCCGCCTATGTCGGGATTCCAGTGTTGTGACTGTTCGTGTGAGTGACTGGACCTGAGAACTAAGGGCTTGTACCATGTCACTGGAGTGCTGCAGCTGGTGGTTCCTCACTTCCTCTCTGGATTCCACCACTGTAAGCCACTGCTGGAGATCACCCACCTCTTTTTTTGTGCTCTGCAGGTCAGCTCTCCACACCTCCCGCATTTCTTCCAGCAGGTCCCTTATGTCCCGTTTAGTTACAGGAGAGGAGTCTTCCTCTGAGTCTGAGGTTTGGTAGTGAGCCCCATCGTCTGCTGGAGGCGAGGCGAGGCAAGGTCCCTGTCCTTATGGGAGTCGTTCGAGGTCTCGCTGAGTGCTTCTGGCGCCATTTTGGCGGGAGCCATTGAAGAGGGTCGTGCAAACGTGAGCCGAATATCAGGGACTTTAAGCGGCTCCGTGAGGTGAAATTTCTTCATTTTTCGCCCCATTGTTGTCTCTGGGTGGGAAGCTTGTGTATGGATGTTTGTGGGAGCCGATTTTCTGAACTTTTCATCTGTTCAGCAAGGTAGTTGGCCACGCCCCCCAATGGCTGAGGGTTTTTGATTTAAAACCAATTGTAAGCCTGCTAACCAAGAGGTAGTGCACAAGGAAAAGGGGTGCCGTCATTAAATACAGGGGTTGACAATAAAAGCCAATTTGTATTGTAGACATAATGATCAACTGGCTTTAAGTATTAACGATGCTTAACGAATGCATTATACAGACAAGCATAAAACTAAACCATATATAGGTATATCATTTCATGCAAATAATAATAATACAAAATAAAAAAAAAACACTGAAAAAGAAAACTATCAAACATCTCCACAGGAGGTAGGATCAGGGATAGTTAGGTATATCTACATGTCTTTGGTTGGGGAGAGACATATCCCAACTGTTACTGTGTTTCCTGGCCTGTGATCACAAATTTTCCAAAGTACAAGCATACAATAATATACAATATTTTCACTGTCTGATTCAAGACACTAAGATCCTAATATGTTAAGTAAAGATTTAAGCTCACCTTTTTAAATTTATGTGATACCTGTGCAAGATGAGCAATGTCTTCTAGATCCAGGAAGCTCAGGATGTACACTAGTAATGGATCAGGTAGGCGCTCCAAGTAATCATAGTAGCCCTGACACAGGTTTAGGATGTAGTTCAAGGTTTCCTGTCCAAAGATTATTGCAATTTGAGCTGGATAAAAAAGATAAGATAATTGTCATTTTTCTTTACTAAAGGGTAATCAAATTCACACATATTTATGTACACACTATCACATATTTAGTGGGCAAAATGATAGAGTGGCCCACACTCCAATTTTCGGAATAACCTGGGTTAAACTGTTTTTAAAACACCTTACAAATATTTAATCCCATCATATTTACTTTTTAAAGAATCTTAAACAATTAAGGGAATGTATAAAATAAAAAAATAATAGAAAAAAAATAATTATATAACCATAATCATAAATATTAGAAAGAGCTGCCAAATCTTTTAACCCTTATTTAGTGTTAAACTGCTCAAAAATGGTTTATTACTGAATGGAGGGACAGTGCCAAGGGACACTGTAATCACTATAACCATTTAATCTCTATGAACTGGATATAGTGCACAGTTTCCCTTTAAAGACACCAAACAATCTCTGGATCAGGGTTAGTCAACCTTGAACTCCAGATTTTTTGGACTACATCTCCCATAATGCTCTTACAGCCATAATGAAGGCAAAGCATCAGGGAAGTTGTAGTCCACAGAATCTGGGGTGCTGATGGTTGCCATAGACTACGGTTCCCGGTTATAAGATCATATCCAGAAACTGTGATAGATCCCCTTCTTTGCTGCAAAAGAGGTAAGCAGGAGAGAAGACAGAATATTAAAATTTTTTAAAGGGACACTATAGTCACCAGAACAAATATAGCTTAAAGGATCACTATAGTGTCAGGAAAACAAAGCGGTTTTCCTGACACTATAGTGCCATGAGGGTGCCCCCACCCTCAGGGTCCCCCTCCCGTGGCGCTGAAAGGGTTAAAACCCCTTCAGCAGTTACCTTATTCCAGCGCCGGGCTCCCACGGCGCTGGTGACTTCTCCTCCCCCGCCAACGTCAGCTGAGCCAAATGCGCATGCGCAGCAAGTGCCGCGTGCGCATTCAAGCTGTCAATAGGAAAGCATTTTCCAATGCTTTCCTATGGACGCTCTGCGCGATGGAGGCATAATATACCTCCAGCGTCGCAGATGCGCCTCTAGTGGCTGTCCGGAAGACAGTCACTAGAGGCTGGATTAACCCCAAATGTAAACATAGCAGTTTCTTTGAAACTGCTATGTTTGCATCTGAAGGGTTAAAACCTGAGGGACATTGCACCCAGACCACTTCATTGAGCTGAAGTGGTCTGGGTGACTATAGTGTCCCTTTAATGTACTTGTTCTGGTGAGTATAATCAGTGCCTTCAGGCATTTTAATTTAAACACTGCCTTTTCAGAGAAAAGGCATTGTTTACATTGCCCCTAGGGACGCCTCCAAGTGTCTACTCATCAGATGGCCACTGGAGGTGCTACCTGGCTCAGTGCTGCACAGTAGGCAGCGCTGCTGTTCATCGTCTCCACGCACTGCATGGGGATGCTTCATTTTCCTCAGAGATGCAACGCATCTCTATGAGGAGGTGCTGGTTGGCCAAAACGGTGTTTGGCCTCACCCCCCATGGGAAAGCATTGGATTGGCTAAAAATAGGCAATTGTGATGATGTCACCAAGGGGGCGGGCCAGTGCCGGCGGACCCGCACAGTGCTGGAATTAGGGTGAGGTTTCACTATAGTGTCAGGAATAGATGCTTGTGTTCCTGACCCTATAGTGCTCCTTTAACTCTGTTTGTGTGTGTCAGTGTTATTGTGTGTTCATATGCTACAGAATTATGCAGAAACACACGATCTCAGAGAACAGTGGTGGCTAACCCCTGCATTGTAGTTGTTATGGACTACAATACCCATGATGCTTAGCCAGCGTATACATATGACTGCGTATGGCAAAGCAACATGGGATATTTAGTCCAGAGAAACCTAGTCAATCAGTGGGTTTACATGCAAATGTATTAATACACAACAATCTGTCAATCTTATAAACATGAAAGTGAAGTTAGGAGAGACAATCCCTATTTTGCTCTTTTCTATTATCCCTATTTTCAAGGAGCTCCATTTTGTCAGTGTCTAAGGTATGTGTATGTATTTGACCTAAAGTATCACTGAAAATAAAACCAAAGTACTAGAAGAAAAAAATCAGGTCAGTTTTTCCCCCTCAGTTACATAAACAGCTTCCGCGACAAGAAAAAAAAAAAAAAAACCCGCAGGTAAGCAGAATGATAAAAACAAAAAAAAATGGAGCTGTCAATCAAGTTTCAAAATAATCTTTTCAGTATCATGAGCAACTGGATTGCATGATGTTATCATTGGCTATTTTGCTGAAATTTCCTGATCTAGAGATGGCAAGTTTAACCAATGTGTTAGTTCCTCCATTAACAGCAGAATGGACAAGACATAGAACTCCGAAATTAGTATAAACTGAGCTGCCCCCTCGTTAACAGACAGTCTTTTGTGCTCTTCTCGATAGCAGTTATAGAAGCAAATAGTTACCATATTTAAATATAAACACTCTCCATGGTGCTTTGGCACATGGTACATCATTAGTTCAAATCCCCATTTGCTCTTAGAACACATTCCTGTAGCATCCCACCTGCTTCTACAGCCATTTAGTTGGTTTTCACCATCTGATGTAAGTACATCATTTAGATTAGTGACTAGTATAATTATGGCGGTTTCTGTTGCTTATTTTGAGGCTTTCTTCTAAAGCACGGGTCACATTCAGAAGCTTATTGTTGAGCATGTCTGCAAGTTATATAGGTCTAGTGTTGGTATTAGATAGAACAGTTACTACTAATGGTTATATTGACTTTGTCAAGACTGCCTAAATACTGCTCTAATAAAGCTTATTTTTACTCCATCAAAGAAAAGTCACTTGCAAAAAGGGAGTTTCACAACTTCAAGGCGCTTAAGCTATAACAGCCAAGATATGTATTATAAAAACCCCGACTTTGCAAAGCGGCAAATTGCACTCATCTAAAAGATCATCCGTAACTAGTAAAACAAATCTCCATACGATAAGCATTTATTGTATAAAATATCATTGAAATTGGCTCATTTAAAAAAAAAAAAGTTATTGACTTCTCAAACCCAACTATTTTGGTACACTCTGTAAAATTCACATTGAGCATATAAATACATGTATTATTATTTTTTTTAAATAAGTTTACCCCGACATGAACTTTGTTCCTGTGTGTCCAACTTGTCTGGTTACAACTATATGTTTGTTTGTCCACCCACTGTAAAGCGCTGCGGAATTTGTTGGCACTATATAAGTAATAACATAATAATAATAGAATGTTGTGCAGGGTGACGAGATTGTAAAGACTTAGGAACGATGCAAATCTACTGCGGAATGGCTAGACATCAGAAAGTTAACTTGAAGATGATTTCATCCACTAAGCTAGTGGTTCCCAAACAAGTCTTAATGGTCCACTAATAGTTCAGGTTTTGTCAGTATCTCCAATGGAATAAGAAAAGGAAACATATAAATCCTGGACTGTTGGTGGGCTACAAGGACTGGATTGGGAAACATTGCTCTAAGCAAATGCAACTGCTGCTTCTATTGGCTCAGTATTATTATGACAGCAGGTGGCAATGTGGCACATACCCTTCCTATTAAACTCATTAAACTCCTGTTAAACTCTTTCTATGTCACCAGCAAGTAAGCAAGTCTCAGTGATATAGAGTTTGGAATTTCTGGTGATGAAAGAGAGAGTGAGGTTTGTAAAATGGATAAAGAGACTGGGTTGAGAGATGTAAGAAGGTTGACACAGGGTTTGTGAATGCTTAAAGGGACACTACGGGTACGAGACCACTTCAACAGGTCTGTTTAACCCTGCAATGTAAAATAGTACAGTTTTGCAGAAACTCCAATAATTACATTGCAGGGTTTACTCCACCTTTACTCTGTGGAACGATGTTAGACGTCCTCATGCTTTGCATGAAGACATAATACAGATTAAGGAATAGTGCACACATTAAAATACATTTTAACATTTTATAGGGCTACTTAAATTCACCTATCTCAGCAAGCCAATATGGGGATTCAGTTCCACCATATGGCCATATTGTGTTAAGCCCACCACTACTTTACAGTACCCCAGTATAAGTGGGTCCTACACTAATTCCAAACATGGGAGACAAATTAAATAGTGCTAGTGCTAAATGAGCTAAAGTGTATTTAAATACTCTGTTGTAAGAGCATTATGAGTATATATAATAAAAAATTCATGTGATAAACGCAATGCAAAAAAAAGCAGTGTAAAAACTAAACAATTAAAGTGATAGTGCTTTGATGTATACACTTCTAATGCCTACCATATATCTGCTCTATGAAAATTATAATAAAAGTGACTTAACTATCCAAAAACATCACCTCCAAAGGGGGACCCTGTGGAGGTGGCCATAGGCAGGTATATATTTCACATCATTACTGTCACCAAGTATATATCCTTATATCTTCGTTTAATATTCTGCTCCTTTGATATTGAATGAAAACATTGCTGTATGACTTTATGCCATATTACATGCTGGTTTATATTTTACTCCTATGTGAACTAAGATAAAGAAATTATTAAAAACAAAAAATAAATACATTATATTTAATCACAGAAACAAGAGAATTAAAATGAACAGAATGGGCAATCAGAAAGTGTAAAACAGGGCGCTTAGCCACAGAGGGGAAGTATGGAGACTGGGATGTGGATGTGCGTTAATAAAAAGACAGTGAACAAACGCACGCACGCACAAGGTATATGCTCTGTATCTAAAACAATATTTCCTTAGCAAGAAATTACATATGGTCTATTGGAAACCAGCTGGCCCTCAACTTGCATACTTGTTAATGTGCATATGCACCAAGCTGACATATCTATCGTGCCTCTTGGACTATGGAAAAATAAATTTATGGTTAAGTGAATAGTAATTAGTAATTCGTTTTTTTTTTTCCAAGCGGCAGTGATCACAAAAAACATGTACCAAACCTAAAACATGCAGGAAGACAGTTTCACCCAGAGAACCCACCGACAAGGAACCTGGGGATTGTCTACTGAATAACAAAGAATACCATACCCCCCTGATGGGACTGCTAACTGAATTAATTCTGAAACAACACAGGTATTAAACTGTAAGTTAATACCGGATTTGTATCTTTGGGGTGAGAAAAGACACAAAACTTTTCCTGAGCTCAAAATCCAAATGCGACATACAGCATATTCAAGTAAATATTCATATAAATGAAATAAGCTCTTATACAGACATAAAACCAAAATTTGGAGGAATCTTCTATTCGCTTGACTTTTCAGAATATAGAAGGGCAATTGTTATTTTTATTCATCTTTCACTGGTGGTATTTCTTAGATGTTTGTTTAGTGTATTTTTGTTACTTATCCAGATACACATATCCTGAATATATATTAGCTAGTATTATATGGTGATTAATATAGCCCAATACATGCCAGAACCAATATATAACAACATAGAGACTGCTATAAATCCCTTATGTGTGGATAACATATAGGCTTCTTCCGAGGTCTATTTATATAAGACCCTAAGCAAACTCTTTAGAATACTGTCTTCACAACTATCAATCTATAAGAGAGCTCTATATATTAAAGATAAGTTCAACATATGCAGAAGACTGTTATGAATTAATGTAGGAAAAGAAAAGTGAAAAACAACGGGGCCCCTTAACTCGTTTAACTCCAGACCGTTTTTCAATTTTCTTACCGTTAAGGACTAGGGCTCTTTTTTTTTTTTTTTTTCAATTGTATTTTATTGAAGTTTTCACAATTATGAATTCAGTACATAGTCAGTGCTCATGAAACATACATTCTGTGGTACAATGAATTCCTAATGTAGCCCCTTGATAACAGTCGGGGATGAATAGTTTATCAAACATAACAAAGGCATATACAAAACAGGTGTGCAGGTAAGATCAAAAATGACGTATTTGACAGTTCTTTTTATTCCTTTCCACATTAAAGTGGCATACTACTCCTCACTTGGCTCTGGCCTGGTTAGAGATTACTCCCCTCTTCTATGCTGTTTTGCTTATCCCAGACAATTCCCCTTTTTGTACCATGCCTCCCAACCCTCCCATGTTTCCCTGAATTTTGCGGTGGCTGTAGTGGTGTCTGTGGACATTTTCTCATATATGTAAAACTGTTGTATTTTGTCTTTCAGTTGTTGTGTGGATGGGCAACTGTGTTTTTTCCAATTGAGCGCTATCAGGTTGCGTGCTGCCATTAAGATTAGCAGGAACAGTTGTTTTTGGCTCTCGTGTGTCTCTTTGGAGAACAGTAGGAGTAGACAGGCCTTAATGTTTAGGGGGAAGTCTTTGATTCCCAGGGCATCTATTATATCCTTAACATCCCTCCACAGCGGCTGTATGCCGCTACAGTGCCACCAGACGTGTGGTAGCGTGCCTATTTCCGTATTACACCTCCAGCATTCGGCTGGTACCGCAGGGTATATGTTATGCAGCCTATTGGGGGTCATATACCATCTATAAAGCAGCTTCCGGTGCGCCTCTATGTGGGAGTAGCATTTGGTCCATCTTTTGAGACCGTTTAGAGCTGATAACCAGTCTTCCTCAGTTAGCTCAGTCTCTGCCTCTGCCTCCCAGTGAAGTCTGCATGTCGTTGGCTTATGGGGTGCTAATTCTAGCCAGGCTTTATAACAAAGGGAAAGGGTCTTGGGTTTCTGCAGGGCTGTCCAGCATCGGCTGGGTATTAGTCTCGCAGCTAGCGTATGTGTTGATAATGAGGATGGAGAGGTTTTTACATGTGAGTTGATTGTGTTTTTTAGTTGCAGATACGGAAAGATGTCTTTCTCCGGTACCCCCCATCTGCTTTTCATGTCTGGGAAATCCATTATGGCTTGTCCTTTGCATATCTGTTGAATCTGGGATATACCCAGCTGTGTCCACCTGGACAGGGGGATCGTGGGGTTCACTATGTGAAGTGCTTTTAGGGGGGCTTCGGGGTGGAAGTGCTTCTTCCAACCTAGGGATGTCATGAATTCGTCCCACACTTTGATCGTCGCTGTTGTAGTAGGATAAAGCTGTACGTTGGGTCCCCTCAATGCCTTTGGTGTCCATATGTGGTTGAGCAGTGTGGGGTATGTAAGTTGATCTTGTTCCATATCTACCCACTGTGTTGTGCCCCTTGGGGCATGTAGTTGTATGCAAGTAGCCAACAGGGAGGCTTTGTAGTAGAGGCCTATGTTAGGTAAACCGATGCCGCCCGTGTGTGCTGTCTTTTGTAGGAGGTGTAGAGGTAGCCTAGGTCTTTTGCCTCCCCAGATATATGTGCTGCATATTGTTTGCAATGACATATGGATTGCTGCCGGGACAGCTATAGTAAGCATTCTGAACTTGTACAGCAGTCTCGGCAGTAGCATCATTTTGTATGCATTTACTCGTCCTAACCATGAAAGGTTTGCAGTCTTCCATTTAAGTGTCTCAGTTTTGCATATTTGTATGAGAGGTTTATAATTTAGTTTTATTATGTTGTCAATGGAAGTGGCGATTTTTACTCCTAAATATGTTAGGGATGTCGTCCGCCAATCGAGCTCATATGTGGTCTTTAGGGTCGCCACAGTTAGCCTTGGTAGGTTTATAGGTAGGGCCTGCGTTTTTTCTTGATTCAGGCGATAATATGAGACTTTACCATAATCTGTCAATAGTGTTAACAATGGGGGCAGGGAGTTCTCTGGGGTCGACAATGCCACAAAGATATCATCTGCGAACAAGGCTAAACAATACTCTGTTTCCCTCAAGGTGATGCCGGTTATGTCTTTATGTTCTCGTATTTTCCGGGCTAGGGGTTCTAAAGAAAGGATGTAGAGCAAGGGGGACAACGGGCATCCTTGACGTGTCCCGTTTGTAATGTGAAAGGTTCTAGAAAGGAACCCACTATGTGAGACTCTAGCACTAGGTTGCGCGTAGAGCGCTAGTATGCCTTTGATAATTTCTTCGGGGAAGTTATATTTTTGTAGTACCTTCGTCATGTATTGCCAACTTAGCCTGTCGAAAGCCTTTTCGGCGTCCAGCGCCAGAAAAAGGCCTCCGAGCTTTCCTTTTGCCATCCCCGCCACTATATTTAGTACCTTCCTGGAATTATCGGAGCCCTGTCGGCCTCTCACGAACCCCCGATTGATCATTGTGTACTAGTTTATGCATGAGTGGAGCTAATCGTTTACTAAATAGCTTTGCGTAGATTTTTGCGTCGCTGTTTAGCAGTGAAATGGGCCTGAAGTTCTTACACTGGTCCTTAGATTTGCCTGGCTTGGGTAGGGTGGAGACATGAGCCAGTAGCATCTCCGCTGGTAAGGAGCCCTCTCTCATGCAATGGTTAAACATTTCTGTGAGGGGCTGTGACAAGGAGCTAGAGTATGTGCGGTAGTATTTATTGGGTAGTCCATCAGGGCCTGGGGATTTATGCTGTGGGAGTGAGGAGATCACCGAGACTACCTCTTCTGTCGTGAAGGGGCTGCGCAGGTAGTCTGTGTCAGCCGGCGATAAGGTCGGGAGGTTGACTTCCGACAGGAAGGCATCAATATCGGACTTTGCGGGGCATATCGTCTGTAGGTCGTTCTTTAGATTATATAGCTTTTCATAGTATTGAGCCAACTCATCTACAATCCCTTGTGGGTCTAATATCTTGGCGCCCCCTTGTCCCTTGAGGGAGGCAATCCTGGAGGTTGTTGTTCTCTGTTTCAATTGTGCTGCTAGTTTTGCCCCTGCACAGTTGCCGGCAGCGAAGTACTTGTGTTTGAGCCTGCGTGTGAGGAATGTAGTTTTGGCTAGTTCTATGTCTCTTAGTTGTGTTTGTAAGAGTAGTAACCTAGCGTGTGTAGACGCTGTTGGTGTGTGCTTGTTGGTATGTGTTAATGAGGCTAGCTCAGAAAGTATAGAGGTGTATTTTTCAAGGCGCTGTTTTTTTGCATAGCTAGCGTGTTTTATGAAGCAGCCCCGTATGAAGGCTTTGTGTGCTAGCCATATTTGGGTTAAGGGTGAGTCCGGAGTTTTATTCTCCCTAAAATAATGGTGCAGTTCCTGTTCTATCTGTCCGGCTACCTCCGGGTCGGATAATAGTTGCTCATTGAGTTTCCAGCTACCTCTCCCTTTGTTGGGGAATTGTTCTCTAATTGACAATGTAATAGGCGCGTGGTCTGACCACGAGATCAGACCAATGTCAGTGCGTTCTACTTTTGTGAGAGAGGAGGTGTGGAGTAAAAATCTATCTATTCTAGAATAGCTGTTATGTACTGCTGTGTGATATGTATAGTCTCTCTCTGTGGGGTGCGTAACGCGCCAGGGGTCTACAAGGTTGTGTGTCGCTAGTTTGTGGCATATACGTGAGGTCAATTTGGACCGAAGCTTTAGAGTTTGGTTGGCCAATCTTGGGCTTCTGGAGGAATCTAGGTCGCTGTCTAATAGGAAATTCGTATCGCCTCCAATGATTACCTCCCCCAATGCGTGCGCAGACATCAATCCCAACAGCACATCTACGAATTCACATTGCTTAGTATTAGGTCCATATACATTAATCAGAGTATATACATTGTTATTCAGATGGCATTGTAAGATGAGGTACCTCCCTTTTTTATCCCCAATTTTTCGTATTAAGGAAAACGTTACGTCTTTACTTATTAGGACGGATACTCCTCTTTTCTTAGTTGAGTAGCAGGAGTGATGGTCTATGGGGAATGCCGGAGAGTTAAATTTAGGCCTGTTACCCCATTGAAAGTGTGTCTCTTGAAAGAACATTACGTGGGCACCTAGGGATTTCGCTTCGCGTAAGGCTAAGCGGCGTTTATTCGGGGAGTTTAGTCCCTTGGCGTTCAGGGAGCAGATTTTAAGTACCATCTCTGAGTTGGATAGGATTGTGGGCTAAGTGAGGTATATAGAGAGGGCCGCCAGGGTCCGCCAAGGGTACAGTATTGCTCTTACTCCCGATGGGAGATATGTAAGTGCCTTTCATGATATGGTTGTGAGACAGAGGGAGTACGGGGCTTAAGGTATTTAGGATCTGCCTGCCAGAGGGTGGAGAATTAATAACATAACTAAAACAATAAGTAACTATGTACAACATTCCGTTCACCGCATCATCTCGGTGCGATATTAAGTACAACGGTTTCATTCGTGGCTCAGATGAATTAGCCACTCTGGGGGTAGGTATAGATACCTAGAGCACGATATAACAATACTACTGCCAATTGTAGTTAAAGAGGGTCGTGGTGTCGCCTTTGCACAGTGCAAATAGGTTGTGAGTCCGGTTTGTGCTTGTGACAAATGGGGAGAGGAACCTAGGAAAACACGGAAAATTGGGCACATTGAAAATATACGACCTGTCCTTTTAGGGACCAGTGTTGCAGTTCTTGGATTATTAGGTTCTTGCTCTGTTCAGGTGCGCCTCTGCATGTTGGTGGAGCGTGATTGCGTTTCCCACTCTTTCTGGAGGTGTCTTGGAGGTCTGCTGCTTGTCTGTTGCGAGGGGTCGTCCCGTAGTGGAATGTTCCATTCCGTCAAAAGTCTCTTGCCAGTTTCGGGGTCAGAGATCTGATTGTCCACTCCATTGCGCTTGACCAACAGTTTGGTGGGGAAGCCCCACTTGTATTGAATCTCGGCTGCTCTCAGCGCTGCTGTGATGTGGGCAAATGTGCGCCGTTTAAACATCGTGGTGGAGGATAGGTCTATAAATAGTTTGACCTGTGAGAATTGTCCCGGGAGTTGACCTTGACTTCTGGAGGCCTGCCTTACTCGGTCTTTTGTTGTGAAATAATGTACCCGAGTGATAACGTCCCGCGGTACAGCTGCCGGTAGATGTTTGGGCTTCGGGAGGCGGTGCGTGCGGTCCAGGAGCAGTTCAGTTTCTGTCAGGGTTGGGATGTATGCCTTGAGGATATCTTGGACATAGCAGGTCAGACCCTGTGGACCAACCGATTCCGGGAATCCCCGGATTCTGATATTGTTGCGTCGGTCACGGTCTTCATGGTCTGCCACCTTTGCTTCCAAAGATTGCAGTCTTGTGAGTAGGGCTGAGTGTGCCTCTGTTATACTATTATGTGCTTCTGTAATTTCTTCCGCCCTTTCTTCTAGGCGAGATGTTCTTTCCCCCAGGGATTGAATGTCTGATCTAATATCTGTGGCAATCTGTTTTAGTTCCGATTTAAATGTGTTTTTAAGGTCCAGGAGCATATTGTGTAATGTTTCATTAGTGACAGGCGTTTGCATAATGCCTGGAGTGAAGATAAGCTCACCTACATTGGCACACGAGGCCGGAGACTCAGGCCTGTCGGCGCCATCTTGGATTTCAGCTCCGGTGTTCAGCATCGATGTTGTCTGCATTTGGAGCGTTTTCTGTTTGTATTTCTTGGCGATTTTTGTGGACATCGTCGCTCTGCGATGGTGTGTCGCTGTAGCCGTATTTGCCGGTAAAATCACGCTGTTAGCCACGCTGTGTGCACTTGCTGGCGGGAGAGCTCCGAGCTCAGGCGACCTCTCTCATCCGTCGCTAGGCCACGCCCCCGGACTAGGGCTCTTTTTACATTTCTGCAGTGTTTGTGTTTAGCTGTAATTTTCCTCTTACTCATGTACTATACCCACACATATTATATACCGTTTTTCTTGCCGTTAAATGGTCTTTCTAAATATACCATTATTTTCATCATATCATATAATTTACTATACATTTTTTAAATAAAATATGATGAAAAAATAAAAAATAAAAAAAAACATCTTTTCCAACTTTGTTGGAGTTTGGAAATGAAATGTGCAACTATGTAAGTCTCTGTTAAACTCACAACCGACGAGTACCGTCATAAGTCCAATTTTGCGTGGGTGGAGATGACCCAAAGTTATTGGACAGAGTGGGACGACGTCTCATGAGGTTGGAATGGGTGTCTGAGGTTAAGTGTCAGTGTCCCGTCTGGTCCTGGGTGTAAAAGGGGTGATGTTGCTCACTTCTCATTCCGCTGATGTTGTCGGCGTGTCTTGCGTTGCTGGCAGCTCCAGTACCTGTAGGAAGGCCGTACACTCTGAGGGACTAGAGGCTTTGTATTGTTTCCCGTTTTTAATCACTGTGATGGCTCTGGGATGGGTCCAACTGTATGCCAGTCCCGCACTTTGAAGGGCATTGGTGACTGGTTGCATGGATTTCCTCCATAGTAGCGTGGCTCTGCAGAGGTCTTGGAAAAAGGTGAGTGAAAAGGATTCAAATTGTAATGGCGTTTTCCCCTTCAGAGCTGTGAAGATCCTTTGCTTATCTGCATGAGACTGGCAACATAAGAAGATGTCTCGGGTTGAGGTGATGGGCGCTTGGGGAAACTTAGAGATGCGGTAAACTCCTTCAAAGGTGAATTGCTTGGCTGATCGTGTCGGCAGTAGGAAGGCGATCAGTCGCCGGACAAAATGTGGGAGCTCCTCGGGCGGGATAGGAGAGCGTGTCAGCGACCACCCGTATTTTGATGTTTTTACTCCTGCTTCTGTCTTCTAATTGCTCCATTCGGCTCGATAAGTTTGTATAAGAGGAGTTAAGGTGTTGTACTGTGTCCCCAAGGTTGTCTATGCCCTGTTTCAGTGAGGTGATGTCTGCCTCTGTGGTGTTTAGCCTAGCAGTTACCTGTTGTACCTCCGTCTTCACTGCTATGATGTCCGTTGTGAAGAGCGTCTGCATATAGAGGAATAAATTGTATATGTCTCCCTTTGTGTCAAGTGGTGGTATTTTAACACGTTCCATGCACTAATTCTACCACCAGTCTTTGTAAACCTTTTGGGTAGCCATTCTTTTGTGTTATTTATCACACACATTGTACTTTAGGCATGGATTCTCAGCTCCTGTTTTGTATTACTGCCCAAGAACACCACAATATGTGTTCAGCAACATCTTCTGAGTACAGTGATACCACCCATGTACAGGTATGTGGGGTTCTTTGGGGGCTAAAAGACCTTATTTGGAGGGTGCGCATTCCAGTTTTCCAACTTGGAATTTTCACAGCTTGGCATCATGCACCCATGTCGTATTTGGCAAATTTCTGAAGCCGGCCAATGTAATTTACCCCCATCAAACCATATATTTTTGAAAAGTAGACACCTTAGGGCAGGCATAGGCAACCTTTGGCACTCCAGATGTTTTAGACTACACCTCCCATGATGTTTTTCTAGCATTATGGGGGATGTAGTCCACAACATCTGGAGTGCCGAAGGATGCCTACCCCTGCCCTAAGGCATTTCAAATGGTGGTATTTTAACACTTTCCATGCACTAATTCTATCACCAGTCTTTGTCAAACTTTTGGCTAGTTACTGACAAAGAACAACCCAATATGTGTTCAGCAACATCTCCCAAATACAACAGTGCCCCCAATGTACAGGTTTTATGGGTTTTTGCAAACTTACAGGGTTCAAATGTAGGGCTTTCCCCTTTTCCATGTTTGCACATTGAAATTTGCCAGATTGAAAGAGGCAAAAATTAAATAAAATAACATTATTACATATCTCTACGTAGCAAGATTCATAAAGGCTTGTCTACTCAACTCTAGCTCTGGTTGTAGTATGTATCTAGTATGTGGATTTCCAGCATCCTAATGTTTATGATGTGAGCAGAGACATTTGTCTAGAAGCAGCTGATGCTGCCCCGATTCTGAACGAATGTCCCGAAAAGGCATTGTGGTTGAGTCCCCACCTAGTTAAGAGTGTTCTGAGATACATTATGAATTTAGCTGTAGTGAGTGGTTTGCCTGCTGTGTAAATAGGGGCATATTGAGGTTTAGTCCTGTGAGTGATAACCTGTAAAGGTCTGGCATTTTGACCAGGCACCTTATTGTCCGTAGGATAGTACCTTATCTCCGTACGTTCGTCACATGGTAAGAGGAGGTGAACTGATTGGTACTAGGATAGGCACTTAAGATATGGTGTTGTATTCCAGTCAGGTAAAGTTTTGTAGTGTTAAGAGAGAGTTTTAAATTGAGGGGGCAAAAAAGAGAGGTGTGTCACGATGGCAACTAGTAAAAGAATATCAGTATTATGGTAATCGGTGGTAAACTTGTTGTAAAGGTGAAATCTCTATTGTTTGCTCGTGATTTATAATCGGAGAGGGCAGCTCTATCCAGAAATCTGCCAAATGCCATGAGACGAGTTAAGCCATGGAATGCAGGGGGGGGGTTAGACAGGCCTGTTGTTGGCTGTTGGGTGGGCTTCGAAGAATTAGAGCGAGATAAAGTGTCAGCTGCTTGTACATATGACCAGGAATTTGTGCCCACGTGATGTGAAATTGTAGTGTTGCTGCCTACCAGGTGAGTTGTCTAATAAGCCATGATTGTCAAGGATGAGGATCTGCCTTTATTGATGGTATTGCCGGCTGCTCCATTGTTAGAGAAGCACTTGACAGTTTCCCCTATCCACTCATACCCCCAGGCCTTGTAGGCGGCACTATGGGGTAGATTCCAAACAATGCTGAGGAGGGATGGAAAGATTTTAACAAAGAGTCTCAACTGGACAGGAAACTTAAAACCAAACGTCACCAAATGGAATGTGAAACATGTGTGCGGCTGCATTGGTCCATGTAACTGGGGAATGTTGAGAAATGGCGGGAATAACCTGGCCTTCTATTCCAGTGTGGTATGAACCTGAGCCGCCATATGTGTAGGTCTGCTTTAGTAAGCACAACTAGTGCCAAAATGCAACTGTCGGTGGGAAGAAGACACAGTGGTCAGGAAATAAACGTGCGGCACTGAGGAATAACTCATGACGAAGTTCAACGTGCCCAGTAAGAACTGTAGATCCCCCCTGGTATGCATGCTCTTTGCAAGAAAAAGGTTCCCCGGACTCCGTTGTGCTGTACCTTCTCTGTAGGTGGACATGTTCTGTTGCGTCATAGGGTCAAGATGAATGGCTAAGAAGATCAGTTTGTGAAAGTGGAACCCCTAGTGGTGAAAAAGTGCCATCGTCTTGTGAGTACTAACCAGAGTGGAGTGAGGGTGTTCTATCGTGAGGAAGTCATCTAAGAAACCGGGTGACTGCAGAACATTCGCTAATATTGAGTGGTAGCCAACATAGTGTGTTAGCAAATAAGACAAACAGCTTGGGGTTACTCTTTGTTTTAAAAGTTAAACGTGTGGGAAAGTAATTACAATCCCTCCATAAAATTCCACGAACATGCCCTTGGGATGGCTGAATAGGTAGAAAATTGGAGGTGTTGGAAATGTCTGTCTTGCCCACCCAAGCTCCGGTCATCCCCTGTGGCATATTGCTGGGAGAATTCCTTAGAGGAAATCAATGAGTTGAGGCTAGGGGTGGGTAATTAATATGGGTTGTCAAATACCTTCTTAAGCAACGTGATTGTGTTGCGGGGTCTATTAATGCGGACTGGAGGCTCTGAAACTCATGAATACTTGACGGGAGTGTGACCAGACCTGTGTGGAAATGGTGTGTGAAAACCTTGATGTAGAAGTCGACGGGAAGGGTGTGCTTGGAGGTAAAACTCCAGGTTGTCGATGCAAACCTTCTCTATGGTTAGGAGAAGTAGAGTCACTTATGTCACAAAAAGTCTGAAGGCCAGGATGAATTCTGGGATAGTGAGTTTCTAATTGAGTCTGGGATTCTGGTCTATATAACGACGGACAGATCATCGTAGTAGTAGTAAGACTTATACTCTAAGACACTGTGGGAGGCAATCAGTAAGGAGACTAAACTAACCCTTTCAGATGTCTTTGCGTATGGTTGGGGGCACGAAGTACACGGGAATGACAATGTAAACAGATGTGCTAGGGGTGGGATTTGAAGGGATAACATAACCATGAGAGGGATTTAGGAGCCCTGTGGCTGGCCCGTGCGTCAGTGCCTGTGGAGATTCCAGTCTCTCTAGTCCATCGTTGATGTTTTGTATGGAGGCAAGTAGAGTGGATATCAACTGCTTGACTTCATTGTAGTTATCCAGATTACCTGACTGCGAGCTAGTGCCCGGCTGAGGTGTATCAGTAATTTGAGCAGAAGTTTATAGAGTTTGGTTTGCGAGCTGTGGCCGGGTGTGGGCCTGTGTATGGCCTTGCAGAGGAATTGCGTGCCAGCATTGGCTGATGTAACATAGAATAGTTAGAGTGGAGTTGATGTAGGTTTAGTGAAGCCATGCCTAAATAGCAAGGGTTGGTAAGGATGATGAATTTGATTGAGTAGAATATAACAGCGATGAGAAAATAACCTTTACTGCATAATATGTGATTATTTGAAGTAGGGTCAAGGGGATCGTATAATGGTATGGTAAAGCCTGGTACACTACGGTTTGTACTAGGGAACTTGACGATACATATACTGAGCATAGGAGTGTGGCGTGTTACTAAAAAGGTTTAGTGAATAGGTGGTCGTGCTCCAAATAAGTAAAATACCTATCATGGGAGCAAGTATACAGATTGGCCATAACACATGGTAACATATGTGAACGTGATGACTGCCTCAGAACAGTACCAAGTCCATAAGTGATAGAATAAGACATTGCAATATATGATGGAAATGCTATACATGTAGTGAATATTAAACGCGCACCAGAGCTAAACTAGTAATGGGAAACTAACAATATCTGTGCACAATCGTAAATAACAACAAGAAACATAGCAAACATAACCGAACTACAGGGGGCATGTAAGGACAATTAGTAGCAGGCTAAATACATTCAAAAGAACCTGGACATTACATGTATCAGGGAACAGTGTAAAACTAACGAATGGGTACTATGATTGTAGTGGCCGCTACATATCAGCATGTAACGGAGATGGATTGGAGACTAGTTTGGTAGAAATTTGACGAAAGGAAACAAATGAAATGGGAATGGAACAAAGAGCAGGCAGGAGTAGGCAAACTGACTTAAGTCCTGAACGGGGAAAATGTCCCGAATGGACGGTATGTAAGGACGTAAACGTGCGAACAATAATATATTTGTTCACAGATTTAGCCCGTTCGAGCAGACTCACGGTTTGTGGATTTGACTGACACAGGAAGCAAACGAATTGACCCGGAAGCAGCGGTGAGGTGAAAGGTCAGCTATGCGGCTGGAAAGTACCCAGACTCGGCGGACACAGATGTTTGGTCCAGGAAAAGGCTTGGGAAGCCGGGAAGGGGTCTCATAGTGCCGGCGGGAACGAATGGCCAGTTCGGGAGAGGAGGTGGGTAGTCTCTGACCGTGTGTGGCTGGAACAGCATGATGGGAGCTGTCGGAGCAGGGAGAACTTGGTCCGATCAGCGTGGGAGCCACAGTAGGCCTAGACCAGTTTGTTTGGGGTTTTAGGCAGTCTGCGTCGATGACCTTTGAACTGGAAGTAGAAATTATCCCAGCAGCATCAGCCCTGTTGTGTAGGGGGCTTGAGTTTAAATAGCCGGGTAACCCCTCCCACAACTTCAGGCTCCGCCTTCCAATATATCTCAAAGTACACTTATAATGAAATCATATATACACATTATATATCTATAATATTATATAAAATTCTTTGATTATTTTATAATATATTATACAAATATATATATTTTAAAACTTTTTAGCAGCCTGGGGGACTGTCTAACAGCTCAGACAGTCCCCCTGCTGGCAGCTCCTATTGCGGCGATGTTATCATGGTGATCACATGGCCCTGGAAGGCCGGGGTGGCCGGAGTTGCTACAGAAGGACTGCTCGGGTCTCCGGCAGTCCTCCCCGACTGCGGTTGTCGTGGATCGCCGGTCCAGGTAAGTCCAGGGCTCATATGTGCCGCGGTCATACTAGGCACGTCAGTGGTCCTTAACAACTGTTTTTTTGTCGGACGTACATAGTACGTCCATGGTCGTTAAGGGGATATACATAGATATATATATATATATATATATATAATTTAATTCTAAGTGTATTTTGATATAAATTTATATATATTAATATCACAATATAGTTAGAATAAAATTATATATATATATATTTTTTTTTTATTATTTCTTTTTTATAATATATAGTATATATAGTTATTATATATATATTATATATACACGTGTGTAATTTTACTGTAAGTGTATTTTATATTAATATATGTATATATTAATAACAAAATACACTAAGGATGACGTTATATATAAGATATATGAATTCTCATATATATACACACACACACACACATACATATATATATATATATATTTATTTTATTTTTTTTCACCAGCAGGGGGACTGCCTGTCAGTTTAGGCAGTCCCCCTGCTGGCAGCACTGTGGACACCTATTGCGGCCATGTCACATGGCCCCTGGTGGTCCTAAATTGCAGAGGGGGGACTGTCTGGGCTCCCTAAGAAGAAGACCAATCGCCGGCAGGGGAACGGCGGCGGTCGTTAAGTACATGGGGAGTGAGGGAGGGTAGGGGTTAAATTTTTTTTTTTTTAAATTCATTTTTTTTAAATTTATATTTACTGAGTGCCTCGACCCCTTGAGGCACTCAGTACAGGCAGAGCATCGGAAGCCTGCCTAATGGCTTCCAATGTTCTGCCTCACTGCCAGGCTCCACGTGGAGCAACCCGGAAGTGTTCGCTCCGGTGGGAGTGATCACCCGGTGTTCTCCAGCGGCCAGGCAGTGAGGTGGGGGTATTGCAGCGATGCCTCGACATCAAGGCATCGCTGCAATACCATCAGAGCTGCTGTAAGCGATCATGAGTGTGGGTGCCAGGAACAAGTAAGTTCATGACAAAAGGTAAGAAGAGAGCTACACAGAAAGTGGATTATGAGTTTGTTACCTCATTGGTTAGGGGAAAAATAAAATTATTAGGAGGTGTGAATGCATGATAGAAATGTGTGAATCACACTTAATTTCTGTAGTTAACCTACTACAGTCCTATCAAAATGTTCACTGCACACTGACTTACCATACACCAGTGCAACATGGCTCACTCATTGAAAATCGCTTGTGAGAGAGCTGAAATGAATGTTAGAAGACATAGCATCTGCATCTAGTTAATGTAATATAACAAACAAAATAGAAGATTCACCAAAACAATGTATACATATCTTAGCTTGACTTTGTGAATGAAGATTTAGGAAGCCGGTTGTACAAATCTGATGCAGACTCGCTAATGGATGATGATGCCAGTGACCGGGCTGCAGCTGCTGCAAGAGAAAATCTGGTCTGACTTTGATGCCACACTATCATAGTCCTTCCTCTGTTCCTTTTTATTCTTTTTATTCCCAAGATATGCCCTATGTGCATTCTCGAAGGATGACACAGCCCAATGAATGGTGTGTCTATAGGTTATTGAAGACCAGTGCTGATGGTATTTGTGACAGGAACCAAGGGATATCTTCAGAGAGACCTTGTACCGATTTGGTGCTCCTCTGTCGCGGTGACCAATGGAGAGTTGGTTTGGCATACAGCACAATCCTGGAGACATGCCCTGCCCAGTGCAATTGTGACTTGAAAAGCATTGCCCTGATGCTAGTGGTCACTGCCTGTACAAGAACTTTGATGTTTTTTATGAAGTCATTCCATTAGATGTTTTAGACTGTGCAGAGGCAGTGCTGGCGAAAGCGCTTAAGGAGCTGTAGGTGGTGGCGATAGGTAATTCATGACTCAGAATCGTACAGGAGAGAGGTCAGTATGACAGCTCTGTACACACTGTTCTTTGTGCCTCTCTTCAGATGCTTGTTGTTCCAGATTTTTTTTATGAAGTCTACCTAATACTCTGTTTGACTTTGCCAGTGTGCTCTTTTTTCGATCTTGGCATCTGAGGAGATAATAAACCCAAGGTAGCTGAAGTGATGAACTATCATCAGTTCTGATTTGCCAAGGTGATGCAGTGGGAATGTAATCTTCATGAGGTGCCGGCTGGGGAGGACTACGGTCTTCTTCAGGCTGACTTCAGCCTCTGCCAAAAGTTATTTGCTGGAGGGTTGTCACTGTGTGAGAAAAAATGGAAGCATTGTCAGTGAACAGCAGCTCTCTGATAAGTTGGTCTGCAATCTTGGTGTGGGTCCTTAGTCGCCTCAGATTAAATAAGCAGTCTGCAGTGCGGTAAAGGATATAGACACAATCCTCTTCATCAAGGTCTATAGTAGCCCTTTGAAGCATCAAGCTAAATAATATTGTGAAGAGAGTTGGTTGTAGAACACAGCCTTATTTTACACCCTTGCCTATAGGGAAGTTGTTGCAGTGTCTGACTTGGCCACGTTGATCTTCGTGTAGCTGAATGATTATATTGAGGAACTTAGGGGGCAATACTAGGAGTTTCCAGATTTGCCACATATCTTTTCTGCTTACAGAAATGAACGTCACATACAATCCCTTGTTCTGTTCGCAACATTTATCTTGGAGCTGTCATATACCATGTCAGTGGAGCTCTTTCTAGCTTTCCCGAGAGCACTGGCTCTCTGGAAAGAGTTCTTCTGCAATGGTAGGTACCAGTCTGTTTAAGAGTACTCTTCAAGGATTTTTCCTGCAACAGAGAGCAGTGTTCTCCTCTGATTGTTGGAGCACTCAGACTTTTCTCCTTTGTTCTTATACAGGGTGATGATTATTGCTTCATGGAGGTCCTGTAATACTTTTTTCTTATTCCCAGCCGCAAAGAAATCATTAAGTTTAGTGTGTAACGCTGGGCCCCTATACCTCCAGTCGGAATTCCATTAACTCCTGCTGCCTTGCCATTTTTCAGCTGCTTAATAGCCTCTTCAAGAGTGGGAATCTCATCGAACTTAGTTTTTCTGGGCTGTTGTAGGAATGCGATGGAGTGCAAAAACTTGGACCATGCAGTTGGTGCTGAAGAGAGACTGGAAATACACTGCCTTCAAGGCTTTTATAAAACCCTCTGTAGTAACCAACAACTCTGCAAAGCTGTGTTATATCTGCAAGTTTGTCGACCACTTGTTCTGAATCTCTCAATGCTTGGGCTGCAGGTTTCTGCATACAGGCTGTTTTTGTGCTAAAATACAAGTGCAATGCTTATAAATTTTACACCAGAATATAAAAGCTTACCCCTAAATATAGGAATGGGGAAGCCAATACTCCTATGTAAAAAGAGAGGGGGACAAATGAAACAGTGCAATATGACATGGTTCTGAACATAAAGACCTTTGTGCCTTTTAGGCATCATCAAGATCTCTTCTGATAACCAGCCAAATGCACAAAAAGTGCATAAAGTAAACAGGAGAAAAAAGGAGAGCCATCTAGTTCAATATTGCCATGAGCCATGTAAAAAAAATTATATAGCTTAGTATGCTCAGCTTTACTTGGAGTCCATAAAATACTGGCTCCAAGATTGTAGACACTGTGCCAATATGGATTGGCACACCATCTCTTTGATTCAATTTCAGGTGGCGATTACCAGGCCAGGAGCCAGGTTCCTTTCTTGTAACTGTAGATGTCAGTTCTTTATATACCATATTTTCATGTAATAAAGGTTATAAAGCTGCAGTTCTTTTTAAATTAATCCAAAAGATATTGGATAAACAGATTGCTTTTATATTGCAAGGTATTCAAGTAATTTTAAAAAAGAATAATTTTTGGTTCAAGGAAATTTCTTACCTACAGACATGTGGTACCACGATGGGCACTAGGTTTGCACCTAGCTATGCCAACCTATTCATATCATACTGGGAACTCAAATCTGTGCATGGAGGGTATGACTGGGTGACAGACCTGTTCACCTAAGAAAGGTACATCTACAATTTGTTTAGTTTTTTTTTTTTTATCTGGTTGCGCAGTAGAGAGGATAGTATTCTCTTTCTGTACCATTTTAATTCTAATAATTGGGGCATTAAATTAACTACTATTTTTAAAGAAGAATCAGAACAATTTTTAGATCTCACTATTTTTATTCAAGATAATAAAATCAAGGTAAAGACCTTTTTCAAACTTGTAGATGTCAATAATTTTATACAACTGCACTGTTGCCATTTCAATCCACAGTTGAGGAACATACCTAAATCTCAGTATGTCTGAACTGGAAGGAACTGTACGGATGTGTAGATGTTTAATGCCCAAGCAAATAAAATGAACAGAAAAAAATGGAGTAAACGATATAAAAAATAAAAGATACTAGCAGAGGATTTTTTAAAATATAAATCTAAAGTTCTTAAAAATAAATTGGAAAATACCTTTTATATGTTATTTTAATAAAAATAGCCATCAGGTTAAAAAATCTTGACACAATTTGGGCTAATTTTAAAAAGTGATTGTATTTTTTTTTTAAAATTCTTTATTTTTATTTTTTTTATTGCAGGGTGTACATATTTTTATATCCCGGGTATACATATTTGGATGTTTTGTATAGGAGGTTAACAGTAATGCGAGACATAGAGATGAAAAATACAATTACGAGAGAAACTGCACAGTTTTTTTGTTGTTTTATTTTTAAACAACATCTGCTTTTTGGTCTGATGACCATGATGGGGTTAATTCACGTTCCTGGGCTAACATATGATCTTAAAAGGCAACAGGCCCAGCAAACCAATCTGGCAAACTGAAATGGGCAAGCCCCTTATTGACCCTGTAACTTTCCAAAACACCATAAAACATGGGGGGTATTTTTATACTTGAGAGACTTCGCTGAACACAAATTTATTACAACGATGATATCACCAGTAAAAGTGCAGTTTTTGCGTTAAAAAAAAAAAACTAATATGAACGCTAACGTTGGCAAGCGTTTGTGACTAAGTGGCTACTACAAAAGGCTGGACATACCCCATTTTGAATAACCCGGGCTGTCTACTTTTTCAAATGGTATGTCATGGTCGGGTTAATTTTCATCCATGGGCTGCCATACAGTCTCAAAGATAACATAGACCCAGCAAACCAATCTGGCAAATTGTGAATACCCTGGGTTGCGAGCACCGGACAGGAGAAGGTCACGGGCAGAGCGGAGAGACCGAGAAGGGGCATACCAATGGATCTGTGAAGAGATATAAGAGGGGCTAGAATTGTTCAGTGCTTTATAGGTATAGGTTAGCACTTTGAATTGACTCCTATAGGATACAGGAAGCCAATGTAAGGACTGATAGAGGGGCGAGGTGTGAGAGGATCGACTAAAGAGGAAAATACGGGGCAATAAGGCTTTTGGGAAGACCAATTAGGAGAGGGTTACAATAATCCATGCGGGAAATTACTAAAGCATGGACAAGCTCCTTGGTAGCATCTTGCGTAAGAAAGGGGCGGATGCGGGCTATGTTTTTAAGATGGAATCTACAGGATTTGGCAACATACTAGATGTGAGGCTCAAAGGTGAGGCCAGAATGAAGTATGACGCCAAGACAGCGCGCTTGCAAGGATGGACTTATGTGGATACCACTAACTTGAAGGGAGAGTGAAAGAGGAGGATCAGTGTTAGGAGGAGGAAAGACAAGGAGCTCAGTTTTAGAGAGATTGAGTTTCAGAAAGCGGGAGGACATCCAGTCAGAGACAGAAGAAAGGCAAGCAGTGACACGTTGCAGGACGGCAGGGGAGAGGTCCGGGGAGGAGAGATATATCTGGGTGTCATCAGCGTACAGGTGGTAGTGTAATCCAAATGAGGTAATAAGTTTGCCAAGAGAAGCAGTATAAAGAGAAAATAGAAGGGGACCAAGGACAAAGCCTTGGGGGACTCCAACCGAGACACGATGAGGGTAGGAGGTATCATTAGAAAAGGAAATATTGAATGAGCATTGGGAGAGATAAGAGGAAAACCACGAGAGGATAGAGTCACAGAGGCTGAGTGATTGAAGAGTTTGAACAAGGAGAGCATGATCAACGGTGTCAAAGGCAGCAGAGAGTTCAAGAATTAGTATGGAGTAGTGGCCTTTGGATTTAGCTGTGATTAGGTTGTTAGTAACTTTGATAAGAGCAGTCTCAGTAGACTGGAGAGGGCAGAAGCCAGATTGAAGAGGGTCAAAGAGAGAGTTGGAATTGAGGAAGTGAGACATACAGGTAAAGACAAGTCTTTCCAGAAGCTTTGAGGAAAAAGGGAGCAGGGATATTGGACGATAGTTAGAGGGGGAGGATGGGTGAAGAGATTTTTTTTTCAGGATAGGCACTACAGTGGCATGTTTAAGGTCAGCAGGGACAATGCCGGAAGACAGAGCAGTTGAAGATGTGTGTAAAGGAAGGCACAAGACAAGGGAAGAGAGATCTGATATGGTGAGATGGGACAGGATCGAGCAGGCAAGTGGTGGGGCAAGAGGAAAGGAGAAGCACAGCCACCTCTTGTTCAGTAGCCAGGGAGAAAGTTTGAAGGTAGGAAAGGCATGATCTACGTGTGGTTGAGAAAGAGAACGGCAAGGTGGGGAGAATTCTTTCCTTAGTTGTTCAATCTTGTCGGTAAAGTAGCAAGCAAAGCTATTGGCTGTAAAGTTAGTTTGGGGGGGTCGCCACAGCAGAGTGAAGAAGAGAGTTACAGGTGTCAAAGATTGGGATTGCGGGAGCATGAACTAACGAGAGAGGAAAAGTATGACTGTTTGGCGAGGGCAAGGGCTGCGCTGTATGAACACAATATGAATCTATTTATGCTGTATTTTTTTTAAGGATATAAAGAAAATAAACAAGTTATACAAGTATGCAATTATAATTTTTTTTGGATCATATATTTACAGTTTTATAGATTTTATATCCATCCCCCATTACTAATAACCCCCAACTCTTAAAGCCCCCTACTTAATGCCCATGGGTGAGGATACAGAGAGAGGGTACTATGTCCACTCCCCCTTCGCCTGTTAATTCACAGGCCACAATAGAGACCCCATTGTGACCAAGTTACTAATTTTGGAAGTTTAGTAGACAGTTTTTAAACCTTCATAATAGCAATAGTCATATTAACCACAATAGACTTTTTATTTGTTAATTGATTTAATTATTTAATCAAGCAGTTGGCTGGCAAGTCATCACATAATTATGATGATTTTCCACCTATGTGACAGCTGGCAAGTAGTTTGGATTTTTGTAAAATCCTGGCCCAGATTTGAAGAATTCAGTTTAGATATCAGCTGTCTGCTTACAAAGTAGATCAAATTTAAGTCTGTTTGGGGCCTGAATTATACAAATCCAAACTTTGTTAAATTGTGTGAACAATGTCCAGATTTAGCAGTCTGAATGGCACCATACACAGTGGGATTTTTTTTTGCCCTGTTCAGTATGGGGCCATATAGACATTAGTGAATATCCCGGTTATATTAGATTGCCGTGTGTTGAGGATCTCATTGCTTTGTTGATGGAGTATACTGATAAGCAACAATGAAGTATAGAACCCAAGTGACCAGTTAAAAATACATTCACTACTACTCAGTGATCACCAGAGATAGAAACATGTACACACAGGTTGGAAAAAAATAATAATCATTTGCCTCTTAGATCCTCCTAAAGCCTGTGGCAAGCATTTCCCCAAACAAACTACAAAGGTAACTGAATACTGAACAAGCGTTCAACACTTATGATTCTTCGCATCTATGCCTATGAAAACTGCCCCCAAGAATCAAATCAAAACCATCACACTGGCTTCCTATATAAAACAGTACTCTCCGCTGTATACCTTCGGCACTGAGAGTGCACTTTTCAGTGGCCTATAACCTTAAACAGGCCCCACTAGAGGGTCCAAAAGGCATATGATTCTTCAGTATTATTAAAAGTTCTTCTATATTAGGCAGCTATGAAACACTGTGTGAAGTGAGACAAGAAGAGGGGCTTCTTTTCACCATAATCATACCCTATGGAGCAATGGTCATTATAGTGGCCATTATAGAGCCATTTCTGAAGACAAACTATCGCTTTCAAACAGTGTTTGCCATTATGTTGCATTAAATATATTTTATGCTTATTTGTAATTTTGCTTTTCTGCATTTCTAAAACATCTAGGTTGTGAAACTTTCAATGTGGTTTCCATAACAACCACTTTTTTTTTTGCTTTTTTTGTGAATATGCTCTATAGACCTTAATTATTTAGAATAATTTTAAATTCCTTGAAAATGTTCAGAAACATTTTTATAACACTTTTCAATGGAAAACAATACTAACAATACTGGAGTGTTAGGCTAGGGGCAGTGTGAGACTGAACCTACAAACTGGAATAAAGTATGCAAAGAAAATTAAGTAAAGTTTAAAAGGTTGCTCAGAGCATCATAACCATTATAGCCTACTGTAGTGTTAATGATGTCAGGGGTATCCAAATGCTGTTCCTTGTTAATGGTCTTTTTAACAGTTTGCCTTCTTATCTGGGTCCCACCAGGCGCCACACATCTTGTAATGGGCAGTGATGCACATGCGGGTTCTGCAGATTTGCAGACGCTCAATGCTGATCCCACTGGTTCAGGTAGTGAACTACCGGCAGTGCAGCCGGTGTGACCGCAGCAGGACCCCAGCAGGTCAGGTGGCTTGTTAATGCCTGTTGCTCCATGAGCCGTCTGGGGTCTTTCCGGGTCACGTAGAAACCGATGGAAGCTCTGGCTCCAGAATAGAGGCAGGGCTGCAGGAAGGTTCACTGGAGCTCAGGGGTAGGAGAGCTGCACTATGGGTGAGTCAAGTGTATATGTGTGTGCGTTGTGTGCATAAGGGTCAGTGTTTGTGAATGTGGGTGTTTGTCAGCATGTGCATGTGTGTAATTTTATCTGTTCATGTGTATCAATCTGTGTGTCACTGTGCATTTCTTAGTGTGTATGTGTGTGTCTGTGTGCATCCCTATGTGGCCACATGCATCTGTATATGTGTGTGGTAATGTATGTGGCAATGCATGCAAACAACAACATATCACAGTAATACACCCCTGCATTCAAAGACTGACACTACGCACAAACGCATTCCTGAATTAAAATAGTAACATTACAAAAAACAAAAAACACACCCTAGCATTCAAACACCAATACAACAGATGAATACACCCATGCATTCTAATATTATCAAAACACAAACATGCACACAAACGTCATACAAAAACACGCCAACATTCATATACTCCCATATATTCATATATTCTACAGAGCGCCGCAATTGTGGAACGACCTCCCGCACACTTTAAAATCTTCCCCAAGCCTAAAGTCCTTTAAGAGATCCCTCTCTACATACCTCAAAACAGAATGCACGTGTCATGGGTGATTATATATTTCCTACCCGTTCTATGGTAAATTTTGTATATATTGTGTATTAATATTGTTTTTGTATTTGTATTTGTATTGTATTTGTATTTTATTGTACCCTAATGTAACAATGCAATGTTTTGTGGACCCAGGACATACTTGAAAACGAGAGAAATCTCAATGTATCTTTCCTGGTAAAATAATTTATAAATAATATACAAGCACTGCACACATATTCAAACCTGCAAGGATGGGCAAATGGTAGATCTACAGCTGAAAAAACATCGACAGAGTTGAATGACAGTTCAGATCTTCTTCTGGCAAATGATCTCAGAAATTTTCACACATGATAATTTATTTTCATACCTAAAATGCTTTCATAATTAAATGGACACTACAGTCACCAGAACAACTACAGCTTAATGTACAGTCAGGTCCATAAATATTGGAACACCAACACAATTCTAATCTTTTTGGCTCTATACACCACCACAATGGATTTAAAATGAAATGAACAAGATGTGCTTTAACTGCAGACTTTCAGCTTTAATTTTAGGGTATTTACATCCAAATCAGGTGAACGGTGTAGGAATTACAACAGTTTGTATATGTGCCTCCCACTTTTCAAGGGACCAAAAGTAATGGAACAATTGGCTGCTCAGCTGTTCCATGGCCAGGTGTGTGTTATTCCCTCATTATCCCATTTACAAGGAGCAGATAAAAGGTCCAGAATTCATTTCAAGTGTGCTATTTGCATTTGGAATCTGTTGCTGTCAACTCTCAATATGAGATCCAAAGAGCTGTCACTATCAGTAAAGCAAGCCATCATTAGGCTGAAAAAAACAAAACAAACCCATCAGAGAGATAGCAAAAACATTAGGTGTGGCCAAATCAACAGTTTGGAACATCCTTAAAAAGAAAGAACGCACCGGTGAGCTCAGCAACACCAAAAGACCCGGAAGACCACGGAAAACAACTGTGGTGGATGAAGAATTCTTTCCCTGATGAAGAAAACACCCTTCACAACAGCTGGCCAGATCAAGAACACTCTCCAGGAGGTAGGTGTATGTGTGTCAAAGTCAACAATCAAGAGAAGACTTCACCAGAGTGAATACAGAGGGTTCACCACAAGATGTAAACCATTGGTGAGCCTCAAAAACAGGAAGGCCAGATTAGAGTTTGCCAAACAACATCTAAAAAAGCCTTCACAGTTCTGGAACAACATCCTATGGACAGATGAGACCAAGATCAACTTGTACCAGAGTGATGGGAAGAGAAGAGTATGGAGAAAGAAAGGAACTGCTCATGATCCAAAGCATACCATCAGTGAAGCATGGTGGTGGTAGTGTCAATGGAACTGGTTCTCTTGTATTTATTGATGATGTGACTGCTGACAAAAGCAGCAGGATGAATTCTGAAGTGTTTTGGGCAATATTATCTGCTCATATTCAGCCAAATGCTTCAGAACTCATTGGACGGCGCTTCACAGTGCAGATGGACAATGACCCGAAGCATACTGCAAAAGCAACCAAAGAGTTTTTTAAGGGAAATAAGTGGAATGTTATGCAATGGCCAAGTCAATCACCTGACATGAATCCGATTGAGCATGCATTTCACTTGATGAAGATAAAACTGAAGGGAAAAATGCCCCAAGAACAAGCAGGAACTGAAGACAGTTGCAGTAGGGATGAAACCCAGCGTCTGGTGATGTCTATGCGTTCCAGACTTCAGGCTGTAATTGACTGCAAAGGATTTGCAACTATGTATTAAAAAGTTAAAGTGATTTATGACTGTTACTCTGTCCCATTACTTTTGGTCCCTTAAAAAGTGGGAGGCACATATACAAACTGTTGTAATTCCTACACCGTTCATCTGATTTGGATGTAAATACCCTCAAATTAAAGCTGAAAGTCTGCAGTTAAACCACATGTTAGTTTCATTTCAAACCCATTGTGCTGGTGTTTAGAGCCAAAAAGATTAGAATTGTGTTGATGTCCCAATATTTATGGACCTGACTGTATGTGTTCTGGTTAGTAGAATCATTCTCTTCAGGCTTTTTGCAGTAAAAACTGTCTTTTCGTAGAAAATGCAGTGTTTACATTACAGCCTAAGGATAATTCCACTGGCCACTCCTTAGATTGCTGCTAGATGTGCTTCCTGTGGCAGCGTTGCACACTGTGCAATGCTGCCATTCAATGTCTCCACCCTCTGCATGCAGACACTGAACCTTCCTCATAGAGATGCATCAATTGAATGGATGCGGATTGGCCAGGGCTCTGTTTGACTTGTGCTGGTTCTGCCCCTTATCTGCCTCCTTGACAGACTCAGCCAATCCTATGTGAAAGCATTGTGACTGTTTTACAGAATAACTTCTGATGATGTCAGGAATGCAGGCAGGTCAGGGGCAGAGACAGCAGCTGCAGACTTTAATACAAGTACGAATTTACTATATTTAATGAGGCTGTACGGGGCTAGATGGTGGTTTTAACACCATAGCATCAGGAATACATATTTGTGTTCCTGACCCTATAGTGTTCATTTAAATTATTTAATTGTAGACTATTGCTTGCCAGTGAGTCAGTTTGACATTCTGATATTGGATACACTAAATAAATGTGGGATACAATACAACTATGGGCCATGAATTCAAGGGCAAATTCAACAATGTTTGCTCATGGTTAAATGCACACTTTTAATAAGGAGTGCCCAAAAGGTAGATCCCAGATGTTGTAGAACTACAACTCCCTTGATGCTTTGCATACCTTAAGAATGTCTTTACAATGACAAAGCATCATGGAAGCTATACTTTGAAAACATCTGGGGATCTACCTTTTGGGCACCACTGCTTTAAATGTTTAGAACATTAATCTAATTTCTTCTAAAAATTGGTAAGTCCTAAGTATCATCCAGGCTGCTTTTTGTATAAATGTATATATTGTTAACAATGGAACTAATGACATGGAGGAACAGCATATGCATGTATTTTGTAGCTTGTGAAATGTTAAATGCATGGGAAGCAATTGTGGTTTGTGGATGCTGTTCTTAATTCAGTCCCTCTCTTTAGTGACATGCTGAGAGAACAGCTGGTGTGCGAATTGCACTGTCTCTGTTTCCCCAGCTCCTCTCCTGACATATCAGTTTTCGGATAAGGGACTGACTGAATGGTAACAGCTGCAAATAGCAACTGCTGTCCTGGAGCATAACTCCCACCATGATCAGGCAGGTTAAAACACATGCTTTGCAGGTTTTAATGCATGATGTGACATCACCCACCATAAAATATTGGAAAAACGTAATATCTACACATAGAAATAGAGCAAGGTTCTCCAAACTCTGGCCCACCAAATGTTGCTAAGCTACAACTCCTATGATTCTTTGAATGCATTAGATAGTCAGAGAATCATTGCAGTTGTAGTTCAGCAATATCTGGAGGGCCTAAATTTGGCGAACCCTGAAACAGAGCATAGAAAACAGTGAAACGAGTATTCAACTGATATATCATTGCCATTAAAGGAAAGTACTTTCCATGCTTTCAGAGACAATCACAGCAACCTTTACATAAAATACCATCATCATATCTAACAGAGTGTTTGTACAATTTTTCGATTATTATATAGAAAATAAAGAGAACAAAACAGAAAGCAAATAATTATATTTAAAATATGTAAATAAAAAGAAAGGAGTAAAGAGGGTACACCCACGATGAGACCTAATGCATGAGCAATAATATAGATGTTAGTCAGAAGAGGACTATATAGAACTAAATAGAAAGAGGGCAAGATGTTATGCACCGTGGCAGCTAGCTGAATCATTAAGTGACTCTCATCTATTTTGTCTCTGACTTCTCTGATCGAAGGGGCCGAGACTCCCAGCAACAATACTGCCAAGGCCCACTTTGCTGCTAAAGTTATTTTGTTAAACATTTTGTGAGCCTTCTTTGGGAAGCCCTCTAATGGTCCTTGAAAACAAAAGTAGCCAGGGGTCCAATTTAAAGGGCCTCTGAAAAACAGTCACCAAAAGATCCCTTACTCCCTCTCAAAAGGGAACTATCACTGTATAGGTCCACTACATGTGGGGTATGAGCGACAAAGTCTATATAATCTCAAACTATCATTGAATGTTCCCCACATGACATAATTGGATGGGGAGTGAATTATAAATTTGTTTCTATAATGTGACAACCCTGGCTGCCCCTTCCCAAATGTCCCCTCAGACATCCCCTTCAACTCTCCCGCAAATCTTGTTTCCATCGAGAAATATAACACATGGGTCCTCAGAGAACACACTGAATACAGCCCGATATGCTACACTGGAGAAAGGGGGGTAACCCCTAGTAGAAATAAACAAAATGTTTGAAAGTAGTGTACCAGTGAAAAGGTACTGGGAGAGTACTAAATGGCTCCACGATAGATATAGGAGTCTAAAGTACAAATGAGAAACTAGAACAAAAGAGAAAACAAAAAAGAATTTATTCATAAAATATAAAAACCCAAAGTGCTACACACTAAAACAATAGTGGAAACCTAAAATTAATAAAATAAATGCGGAGCACAATAGCTCCATATAAGAAACTCTGAAGTCACAAGATTTATAGTTAATAACCAGAAGCACACGTCTGTGCTGACAGGAAAGCTGTGTCTAATAGTAACTAATCATATCAGGGGAATATAGAGTTAATTATAGTTGATAGAGCAACATAGGATATGGAGCGTATAAATCCTATGTATTACATATATGGGATACAAGTAATAATTAGATGGTAACAATATATATAGTTACTGGTCAAAAATGCCTAGGTTGCCAGTATAAAGATAGCAGTGGTGATACTGCTGATAGCATATGAATACCACATACAATGATTAACTGTGGATAATGGTTATAGTGCACACAAGCTGCTAGTATAAAAGCAACAAATGATTATACGTACTAACCAGGCCCGAGTCTGGATGTCTTCTGAGATCTGACGAGATCAGGCACTTTCAGACTGGTATGGCCGTAGTATGTGTAATACATAGGATTCATACGCTCCATATCCTATGTTGCTCTATCAACTATAATTAACTCTATATTCCCCTGATATTACCCTGTAGGGGAGTAGACGTATTAACAGCAATATCTCCGCTAGTAGACTTGATCAGCATTCAAATAAAGTGTAGCTTGACAATTCCAATCCCATCCCCCAACAACTGGACGAAACACAGCTTTTGGAGTCAACTGATTTTTATTGAGCCAAAGCTGGCTTTTATACAATTCCCCACGCAAGGGGTTTCTTTAATTACATTCCAGTGGTTTTCCCCTGGTGGACCTTGTGGAGGACAGGGAACAAAGACACATTTCCCATGATCCTTTTCTGTACTTGGAAGATAATTGCGCAGGACAATTCTTTAATTAGATTAAAGAAAATTAAACAATATTTTAAAACATTGTAACTCCCATAATATTACTCAGAACTTCAATGAATAGCGGGGATCTGAGCGCCCAATCTGTGAAAATACCGCTCAGATCCGTTCGGTAGAACAGGAAAGCCATTCGAGTGAAGTTTTAGACTGGTCAGCCACGAGGTGAAGCCTCAAAACAGTTCCATGCGATTGAATGCTTTGACCGGTCTTCTTTGGGAGTTCTCACGAACAAACTAACAAAGCTAAACGTTCATAAACTGGGTAGTCGTGTGTCTGATGTTCGTTCGTTCAATTAAGTCGAATGCCGCTTTTCTTAGACTAAAGGAAAGGCATGTACGAACAGGATGGAAGTACAGCGGTGTTCGTGAGGTAGAGTGTCCGATTTTAGTTCGTGTGCAAAGATGGCCGCCGCGAACGGCGGCCATCCATCCGACCATTTAGAACATTGCGTTTTTTTCAAGTGTTACAATCCTCAACTGGAGACACACGACTACACTGGGTGGTCTCCCCGTTCGGTAGTTGGTTCGACTGATTAACAATATGTCCATATTCTGTTCGTGAAGTAAAAATAGTCGAACCAACTCAGTCTCTTGTACAAAGAAGTGGCTAGTTTTACCACATACCCCCCTTCTTTTTTTTTTTTTTACTACATATTGGTCCATCCTGACCTGAATTGGACACTCTCAAAAGCATTACTTCCCTCCTCTTACATAATAATGATCAACAACCAAAAAGGAGAGAGTCTGGTTTGGGTTGTTCAAGTATTTAACAAGCATTAGAAACCTCAAACCCTTTATTACTCTTTTATCCAGCTCCAATACTGGACATATAAAACTTACCTAGATGCTCACCGGTAGCCTCCCCCTTTTGTTATAAGAAAGCCTCAATGGAAGTGTTTCATAGGCCTCATATTTATAATAATTAGTAATCTAAACTACTTATGCACTTACCTGTGGTGGGATACCCAAACCTAAATAACCTGGGTACAGATAGATAAGTTGCTGCAGGCCTGTATTCCACTAGAAAATTAGGTTTTACAAACGAACAGTCTAATCTGCTTACACTAGAGGCCTCCTTACACACCCCATGTACCATTGTTATCCCCTCTAGCAGAGAGGCAAGGTCAGACCCCTGGACACTGAAAGGGGTACACCTACTGTTTCCTCTAAGGGTCGCGGCCATGCATATCTCCTTTGGCAAATTCTATGGGTGACATGACATGTAAGAAGCATTTATTATGTATTTATTGGACTGCATTCAGTGTTTCTGCCCAAGTTGGGGAATTAACATGCTTGCCCAAATACAGTGAACAAACTATCAATATTATCTTTTGGCTGACTAAAAGGTCAATTTGTTTTATGGATTAAATTGCTATTGACTGTGGTGAAGGTGGGGCTGAAGCTTTGTGGCAAAGTATATGGACAACAAGCTGGAAACATTTTCTTGAAAAAGTTTAATTGTTTGTACCATTGTCTGTGCAGTTGCCCCCTACTGTTTCTATGGAACTGTCTGACAGACCAAAACATGCACAGTGTCAAACTGTTCTTTATAGAAAATTAAGCTTGGATAACATCATCAACCAGTAAATATGGGATTTGAAAATATTATTCTCTTTTTTCGAAGGCGGGTTACCTATGCACTTAAAGTAACTATACTGTAATGCCTTATAACCTTTATTCTTACAGTAAATTACTATAAGAATAACGTAATTATGGTTTAAAGCAGGGGTAGATACCAGATGTTTTAAAACTACATCTTCCATGATGCTTTGTCATTCTAGAGGCATTCTAAATACAAGCAAAGCATCATAGGAGTTTTAGTTCTACAACAACTAAGGAACTACCTTTTGGGCACCCCTGGGTTAAAGCATAAGTAATGGTATGCTACATATGCCAGTTGTCAAGTGAACATTTTGACCCTGTCACAGATTGCAGATCTCATTTGTCTCTATATTATTAGTATTGCCATTTACATAGCGCTATCTTATTCCGCAACACTTTACAATATTAAACAATTCTGTCACAGAGCTTGTGATGAAATGATAAAAAAAAAAAGAAGAAAGGTAGTAGGGCTTACATTAACCCACAGGGCACAAGTAACCTGAGGGTTAGCTTTGTGGAGACTCGTATATCTCTGCATAGTGAATGCTCTTCCTACTTACCCTGTAAAGTTGTATCATCGACAAAGTCCAGATGAGATTCTTTAAGTTCTCCAGGTTTAGTGTTACGAAATTCACTTCGGAGAGATATTTTCCACCATCTGAAAATAACCTGGAGATACAGGAAAATAAGGCAAGAGACTTTATATTAATTTTCCTTAGACAGAAATAAAAACAAAAAAAATATCATGAAACACAAAATAAAGAAATTAACCTATCACCTTAAATACCAGATAATATAGCAGATAAAAACTGCTAAGAATGGAGTGAGTCCAGATTTCTGGGTATATATAAGCAACACAACCAAGACTTGTGAAACCAATAGTCTCAGAGAGTGCCAATCTGCCGTTTTATGTCAATCTGTTTAGGAACAGTCTGATAAAAACCGGGTGATCTTCCTGACATCCAGAGAGGGCATCCGTTACAATCAAGCTGATCATGGGGAATTTACAATTCTGTGTTATCAGTTTTTCATCCAAAATGGATAGCAGCTATTGGCAGAGTGCACTGAGCTATACTCTTTCCCCCATTCCAGGACTCCCCACCAGTAACCACTACCCATGTTTGATAAAACTGACATTGACTATTTGGAAGTTTTTATTGTGCATTATCAATGCGGCAGAGTTACAAATTTTAGGTTGTCAAGAACAGCAATGGTGTTTGTTAACCCCCTTCTAACTTGTGTGACATATATACCTCCTAACTCCAGTGTCCTGCAAATTGGTGTGCCGATGGGAGGGGGGAAATAGAGTAGGCTAATGATGCGATCACATCACTGGCACTACATAAATGGTGTTTTGACCCAAAAGTGGTTCTGCCAAATAAATGTTTGCCAGGCAGCCTGTCCTTTATCCAGGCTCGCCCACTGAGGGCAGAATCTGCAGGGAGCACTGTTTCAGTACTCTCTGCGGGAAGTAAAGCGCAAGTGCTTCTAATGAAGTTGGGACATGACTGTCCAGACAAAATTGGGATGGTTGGGAGGCCTGGACATAAAACCCTGAGAATGGTGGCCACATACTGCAGGCATAATAACCATTACATTGAGCTAATGTGGTGTAGAAAGTTACTTCAAATCTGCACTCACATGTGAGGTCTTTGGAATTATTTTTTTTTTTTTTTTTTAAATTCTTTATTTTTGCAGTGCATTTGGAATAACATATGTGCACGGGGTACCCCAAAGGCAATCCGCATGCTTTGCAAACATCAAGAACAATGGAGTATACATTGGTACTTGCACAATTTTTAGTTAGGAGATGAAGTCGTGTTTAACATAGATTAGTAGCAGATAGTATCTGTTAATCATAGCTTATTTAGAAGCGTTCACTGTTAGACATGCATAACTTTGGGTACATAATGTTTGGCAACTATTCGAGGGTTCAAGACAGGCTAAACCAACTGCGAGGGGTTAATAGAACTGGTATAGGTTTGAGTGCTATGGGACGAATAGAACTATGGTGAGGTGGCATACTTTTGGTTAGGTTTGTATATGGCTAGAACTTTGGGATGCTATGCAATATACGCTTATTTAAGTAGACCAATACCCCACTATGCTCCCTGTATTTTCCCTGTCTCACAATGGGTCTGAGCTGCTTGCTCTTGGGTTTAAATTGCACTCTAGTCTGGAGCTGCAGTGGGATGACCACAGTAAAGGGGTGCTAAACCATTAAAACAGCATATTAAGATATGGAGATAACGTATTGCTTATTTCTGGGCTGTCAACTTGCTCACCCTAGGGGGCCCCCTTGGAGTGGTAGATAAAGGCATTATCAATCGAGAGTCAAGAAAAAGGAGAAGAGATATATCAGCTATCAGGACTGCTGGTATAATCACATGCAAAGAACAATAACTAAAAATAAAAATAAAAAGTAAATAAAAAATAAAAATCAAATCAGCATTCTGAAGAAAAACATATTTGGTCAATAATAATTCCCAAAGAATTCCGCTTGTCAGCTCAGCTTAGCCTATGCCTGTGAGGGGCAGGTCACGGTCCAGTCTTTGGGAAAGATGTGGTCCCACAGCTCCCCGTTGTCTGTGCCCCTGGATCTCCGTTTGAGGTCGATGAATGTGCAGGAGTTGACGGGGTCTTTTGGGTGTACCTTGCTGCTGGCGTCGGGTCGCCCCCGGGGTGTTAGGTGCTTGGTATGAGTGTTCAGCGTGCGTCCAGGAGTGTGGGTACATGCTGCAGTGGTCAGAGACTTCAGATGCCGCTGGGCGGTGAGTTGGTCGGGTGTGTGTGGCTATTTTGTGCTGCCATATGTGGTTACTGTTGTTGGAGCCTAGGGAGCCGTTCCCCTCTCTCCCCCCTTCCGAACTCCCGCCTCTTCTCTGTCTGAGGGCCCTTCTGGGGACTCGGGTCGGGCAACCACTCAAGAGGCGTCGGGTGGCAGGACGAATCCATGCCGCCGCTTCTTTTCTCGCTTGTTTGAAGAGCCGGCGCCTATTGCGGAGCCCATACCATAGGCTTGTGCAGAGACGTTCAAAGAAGTCCAGCGTGTGACCAGGTGGTTTGGTAGGGGAGCCTTTTGTCGCTTGTCGCGCCTGTGGCGCCATTTTGTTTGGGCCTTGGCAGTCCCGTTTACCCGCATGTGTTGTCGCTTGTTCGTGTCTTGCTGTGGGGGTAATCGTCCCCAGCGAGGACCGGGATATCCCCCGCCGGTCCAGAGGGGGGGGTAGCTGGGCATCTTGTAGTTCTCGCTTGCAAGCAGGTCCCTTGCCGGGCGATCGGCCGCCTCCCCCAGGCTTCAGGCTCCGCTGCAGTTTAGGCCGCATGGCCGGTACATGTGCTCGTGAGTCGCTGTGGTGCATGACCTGTACCGTTTTGTTCCTCGTGTGGTTCTATATCGGTTTCTGGACTCCGTGGGCTGTTGGCTTAATTCGGCTTGCCAGGATTATCGTTTTTGTGCCCTCCGGTGTAAGAGCTCTTAGAGAGCACGTCCGGCCATTTTGGCTGTCAGGCCCCGCCCCCTTTGGAATTATTTTTCAATAGACTTCCTCAGCGTGACATGTGGTGTAAGGAGGAGGCTTCTTCTACTGTAACTGCTCCATTTTATCGAAGTGGTTATAGTGTCTGGAGTCCCCAGGCACTGCCTTTCCATTTGGAGTCAAAATGTTTTTAATGTGCTAATGCTAAAAGAGAGTCCCCATCAATCCATCTCCTCTGTACTACTTTGGCTAATGATTAACCATTAGCCGGAGTAGCAATCGATGACTGATTGGCTGAGAATGACAGCTGACCACGTTCATCCTATCACAGCGCCCATTGCTGGTATGAACTGGCGTTGCTAGAAGGAAGTGTGTAAGCTCTGCCTTAGCCACATCTCCAGTAGGGGCTAGGTTGTTGGTGCCCAGAGACACACCTTTAGTGTTAAACTGCTCAAAAATTTTGAGGTCTCTGGGATCTCTGAAGTAGAAGGACACACTAGCTAAAAATGTATTGCTAAACTTAATAAAAATTGGTAATGAGAAGGTTAATTCAGCACTATCAAAATCTGTATGAAATACTCAGACTGACTGTATTGGAATGTCACTGAAATTCCAAGAGTCAAAAGATAGGGACTACTTTGTCTCAGTATTTTCCCTATGCCTGACTTTTCTAAACACTGGGCGTAGCTACCGCTGTCTAGAAGTGTCAATTCTCCAGTCAGCAGGGAATTGGCTCTCTCTATGGAGGATAAAAACAGACATGCACGAGATTACAGAAGTGACTTTGGCTCCTAACGCCAGGACCATTCAGATGACGATGGTGTCGCTTGCGAGTGACAAGTATCGGTAAATTAAACTCACCTGTGCATGCCGCTACAGCCACCGTACCCCCAGCAGCGATATCACCATCGGGAGTCAGTGACGGTGCCGTTTTAGACTCAATATTCCTCTTATTAAATAGCCCAAATTGCCTTCTTTTACAAATGTTATGCCAATAATTGGTTAAAATGCAGCAGGGGCTTCTTTTTAGCCCCAACGTGTGAGAAACACACAAGAGACCCTGTTATGGATGTAAATTAGTGATAGTCAAATGTCCATCTACTGTGTATACCTGTATTCAATATTTACTCAAAATGGCTGCTAGAGCACCCCCTCCCACCGACTAACTACCTCATGTAACAACAGGCACCTACATCCGGAGTAAAATTCCGGGATGATGGTTACATCACGCCTCGTGGGATGTGCACTAGATGAGACACTTAACACCTAACCAATTGAAGATGTATTCTTTCTGTTATCTACATTTTTGCATATGATGTATTTTTGCCTTTATAAGGGGCTTGCCGCTCCCCTAATTAAACATTCCAAAGTCTTTCATTAACCTGATACCTGTGTCTTGGTTTGATCTACAACACTTGGTTTGATCCACAACATTTTGCGCTCAACGTGGGGCTCCGGGTTTGTGACCCTTCCCGGTCAGCTGTCCTAGAAGACACCGGGGGCAGACTGGCAGTGACAGGAGAGAGCCTGATGAACTCTGAATATATGGTAATGACTGCGGCAGCACCTTGTCTATATATCCTGTCCCTGTGATTGGCCTGTCTCCGTTGGCTGCTGGAGGGCACAGAAGGCAGGTAAATAGCTTGCCCGGAGTCCCTTTGTATAATACCTCTAAATATACTATCTGCCTCCTGGGTGTGAATGTCTTTTGCATTAGGGGAAAGGATTTTGCACAGATTTTATAGCTGTACCGCTACAGCGACGTAAGCGTGTGGCAGGGGAATTGCATTTTATAGCTTTACCGCTACAGCGCCGTAGGCGCGTGGCAGGGGAATTGCATTTTATAGCCTTACTGCTACAGCGCCGTAAGTGCGTGGCAGAGGAATTGCACTTCATAGCTTTACCGCTACAGCGCCATAAGCGCGTGGTAGGGGAATTGCACTTCATAGCTTCACCGTCGTAAGCGCGTGGCCGGGGTTTATTGTTAGCTTTAACACAGTAAGGCACGTGGCATTGTTTTTGAGTTATATTAAGGGATTTGTGTTTTGTTTGCATTTATTGTGCCCCACCCATATGATCTGCCATATGAAATAATGCCAGTACTGCACTCAGTGTGTGTTTACATTAAAAAGCGTGCAGGGACAAACTATAGACACCAGAACCACTTCATTAAGCTGCAAACTTACAAACAGATAAGGATGGTGATGGGCTCTGGCTGCAGTCTGGCTCCACTGGTCTGGTGTAGAACAGGATCTCTGGAGGCTTTTTTTAACTGTGGTCACAAAATTCAATGTTCTGGGAGAACAGGAAGCAGCTTCATTTTTTGGGGCCCCTTGCACAGCTCAAGGTCTGGGCCCCAGGGCCTGATGGTGAGTATGCTCATAAGGCCACCTACATGTTCCACCCATGAGTTCGCTCATAGGGAGTGGAGTGTGAGGGGATGTGTTGCTGTAGAGTATCTAATGTGTGTGCTTATGGAATGTAGTGTATAGGGATACCAGTTGGTGTAGTGGAAGCAGTGTGTTTGTGTGTAAGGGATACATTGTGTGAATCTGTGTTTGTATGCATAAGGGATGCAAAGTGTGTTTCTGTGTATGTAAGGGATGCAGTGTGTGTCTGTAAGGGGTGCGTTGAGTGTGTGTGTAAGTGATGCATTGTGTTTCTATGTGTGTGTAAGAGAAGCAGTGTGTGTAAGGGATGCATTGTGTGTTTCTGTGTATATGTGCAAAGGATGCATTGTCTTTATGTGTAAGGGTTGCATTGTGTGTGTGTGTGTGTGTAATGGATGCATTGTGTATTTCTCTGTGTGTAAGGGAAGCATGTTGTGTTTCTGTGTGTATAGGGATGCATTGTGTGTGTGTGTGTAGTGTGAATGAGCTCCCTGTCCTGCCCCCTGTCCTATAGAGCTCTCCCTTCCATCCCGTAGAGATCTCCCCTGCCCCTTAGTGGTCTCTCCTCTCCCCCCCACCTCCCTTAGTGGTCTCTGCTCTACTCTGCCCCACCTTTCCATTAGTGGTCTCTCCTCTCCCCCCCTCCCTTAGCGGTCTCTCCTCACCCCCTCCCTCCTTTAGTGGTCTCTCCCTCCCCCATGTTCTCCTCAATCCCCCCCTCCCTGTGTTCTCATCTCCCCCCGTGTTCTCCTCTTCTTCTCCCCCCGTGTTCTCCTCTTCTTCTCCCCCCGTGTTCTCCTCTTATTCCCCCCTCCCTTTGTTCTCCTCTTCTTCTCCCCCCGTGTTATCCTCTTATTCCCCCCTCCCTGTGTTCTCCTCTTCTTCTTCCCCCGTCCCTGTAATCTTTCTATTTCCTTTTAATCTTTCTTCTTCTTTTCTCCACTTCTGTATTATTCTCCCCTCCCCTGTGAATTATCTCCACTCCTCCTCGCCTTTTTAATTTTCTCCCACTTCCCTCCTCCTCCTCCCTCCTCCACACCTTCCACTCCTCCCTCCCTCTCCAATCTTTCCACTCCCTCCCTTTCCTCCTCCCTCCCATCTTCTCCACTCCTCCCTCCTCTCCCATCTCCACTCCTCCTTCCTCCTCCCTCCCATCTTTCCACTCTCCCTCCCTCCTCCTCCTCTCTCCCATCTCTTACTCCCTCCCTCCTCTCCTCCCATCTTCCACTCCCCTCCCTCCTCCTCCCATCTTCTCCTCTATACCCCTCTCTCCCTCCCATCTTCTCCACTCTCTCCTCCCATCTTCTCCACTCCCTCCCTCCCATCTTCTCCAGTACCCTCCCCTCCTCCCATCTTCTCCACTCCCCTCTCCCTCCCTCTCCCATCTTCTCCACTCCCCTCCCTCCCTCCTCCCTCCCTCCCATCTCCCACTCCCTCCTCCCTCCCTCCCATCTCCACTCCCTCCCTCCCATCTTTCTCTCCACTCCCTCCTCCCTGTAATCTTTCTCTACCCTCCCTCCTGTAATCTTCTACTCCCTCCCTCCCTGTAATCTTCTTCTCACCTCCCCTTCCCTGTAGCGTGGCCGAGCTCCTCTCCGGTCCGCGACCCGGCCGGACTGACAGGAAGTGCCTGTGTCAACTGAGTGTGCACTTCCTGTCAGTCCGGCCGGGTCGCGGACCGGAGAGGAGCTCGGCCACGCTACAGGGAAGGGGAGGTGAGGCAGTGGGGCAGCCACCCCCTCCTATATGGCGCCCTAGACGACTGCCTAGTTCGCCTTATAGGAAGTGCCGGCCCTGCTAGTCTACATTTTGGGAAGACACACGCTGATTAATATCTTGTGGCAGTTGAGCACTGTAGACGTTCCTTTCCATGAATGTCTCTATCTTGTGACGACTTGAGTACAGAGGATGGGACAGGAGCATGCAAAGCCCATTAAAGCTGGTTAGCCTTGGACATAGTCAGAGAGAGGGAGGGTGAAGGTGCAGTGGGGAAGGTGAAGAAACTAACTAAGCTATGCGGCATTACTATGTCTTCCAGCTGGCGGTTACAGCCGGAGGGCTGGCGCAAGCTGCTAAAAGGGATTATTGCAGGACAATAACCTAGTACAGATAGCGGAGGCCTGGTTTAGGGTTGCTAGAGCCATTCACCAGGAGGGGTGGGTAGAGGAAGAAATAGACGTCGGGGGAAGGAAATTATATGTTTACCATGAAAGTAATTGTAATGCTGAAAGTATTGTTGAAATCCCATGCCAGCCACCGCCCTATAATGGCGCTTGGCACGAAGGGAAGGAGGTCGACCCAGTCCCCGTTACCTCCACCCAATTACCTGTGTCAACAGTCACCGCCCCCCTGGCCCCAACCTCTGTGTTCCCCGTCCTTAGGGCAGATGGATCTTTATATTCCCCCGTCCCAGATACGTCCTCCCTCTCCGCCCCAACTGAGCCTGCTCCCTTCACTTCCACCCTTACTCTACCCTCGCTTCCTGCTCCTGTCACTTCCGCCTTTATTACTGCTTCCTCTCCCGAACCTATCACTTCCGTCCTCACCCCTAACATAGCGGCCCCCAGTAAGTCTCTTCCCAGCCCTGCATTGAGAATCCCAGAGTCCCCCAGGACGAGAACCCCAAAGTCTGGTTTCTTACAGATGGGGCCCCTTTGAGGTATGTTTCATTCACCCAGTCTCAGGCCGCCACTCTGGTGGGCTCTCTCCCAGATCCAGAGAAACAGCCCATGCCCTTCTACCGAAGAATTGCCAAGATCCGAAAGACCTATTCCACAGCATGGTGTGATTTGTTTAGCCTCTGTGAAATTAAAGCAGGTGATGCTTATTGGCCCATTATGGAGAGAAGCTTCTCCAATGCTCGACTCACTAACGAGTCTGACTTCTCCTCCGGTGTTGAGTTCTGTGAACAGCTTAAACTGTGGGCTCAAGATAAATTAGCTGACCAGGCTACCTGTATTAACGATGTCATCCATGATAAGACAGAGTCTGTGGAGAAGTATCACTCCCAAATCTTTTCTGATCTGGATTTCAGTTTATACAACAAGGCCCATACCCAAATGCCATCTGCAGCCTTTGTGGCAGGCCTTTAGGAATCTCTTCGCAAAGGCCTAATTCTGTCCCACCCTGAATACAGAATTATTCCTCTGGATACCATCATGCTAGTTGCAAAGGGCTTATTAGAGTCCTCCCAACTACCTCCAGCCCCTCTCATGTTCTCCCACCCTGTACACCCACACCAACCTTCAGGCCTCCCTGTGAGCCAGGCCTTATACCATTATAACTGCACCCTCAGCATAAAAGGGTTAAACCGCAGTTTAGTAGATCTTCCCATCCAGAGACACAGGCACAGCTACTGCAGAACACCAATCCGCCGAACAGGAAACCATATGAATGCCGTAAACAGCCGAATAGGAAAAACCATACGAATAGGTTTACACTCCTAGCAGTCGAACTGGAACAGCATACAATAAATCCCCCCAAGAACGAGACAAAGCTCTGTGTTGAGGGTCAAGCAGTGAACAGACAGAGCTGTGGGGTTATTGTTCTTATATGCACGTTAGTACCACCCACAGGGTTTTGGAACACAACCAATAAACACATACAATACACTCAGACACTCCCACACAAAATCCTCCCCTCTGCCTGTGATACAATTACCTTACACAATGGGTAATGTAATTATTAAAAGCAGAGATATACAATTTTTCCACATTATTCATAACTTGAAAAGTATGCATCACATTCACATAAACACTTATTTTCAGAATCAGCATACTCCAAATACAAACATATGTCAAAATCATCTAAATTGGTCCAGTGGTTCAAAAGATAGATCGTAGTCCTTTGTGACCAAAGGAAGCATGGCTTTTCTGCCCAAAACCAGTTCCACAGAGTCTTCTATCCTTGAGATAATTGGGAAGTAATCCAATTATCTCCAAGGACAGAGGCAAAACTCCATTGAACACATGGCAGCAAAAGACAATAAAACACATAAAAACATATAACTGTGCAGCCATTGCACAAAACAGGTACATTCAACATATCCCCAGATAGCTCAGATCTGAGCGCACATTATTACTGAATGGCGCTCAGAGCACACACAATTGCCATGGAGCCAAAGTCTTTCCCATAGTCTTTCATTATACGAATGGGCTCCATGGCATAGCTATCTGGGGTATCACCGCTCAAACAGGGCCAGCACCGAATGACCCGGCTTTCGTGTCTCCGCAGGGGAAAATCAAGCGTTTTATCATGGGGCCATAGTCCAGAGGCAACAGGCGAGCAACCAGGCTTCTCCAATGCAATGTGGCGAGATTGCTCTCGTCACAACCATCCTATAGGTCAGCCTCCTATGCAACAACAACTACAAAGAGGGTGTTATAACTTTGGTCAATCTGGACATTTCAGGAGAGACTGTCCTGCTCCTAGGGGCCCCAGACAGTTCATGCAGGATGTGAGGCAGCCCCACCCCGCAGCAGGTTATTCCCAGTTCTCAGCTCCCAGTTACCCTGTAGCTCCTCACCCCGCTGTCAGTTACCCCATTGCCGGTTATTCCCCTTCCTCAGCCAGCCAGCCTGCTGTCCAATACCCACCTCCTCCCCCTGCATCAGCCAACCACCCTTACACTGGCCCAGACTGTGCTGATCTTGATCTTGTACAATAGGTAACTGGCAAACCTGTGTCACCCACCCCTGTCATGGCAGTGTCTACAGGGGATAAGGGAGGGCCCCTAGCAGGGCCGGACTGGGAAAAAAATTAGGCCCGGGCATTTTTCAATTAGAGCGGCTCCCCAAAAAGGGGGCGGTGCCAGAGAAAGTGAGCATGTTGGTTCAATGCGCAGAGCCCCGCTGAAGAGCTCTAGCATTAGAAAAAGGCCCTGTATTTGTTCTGCGCAGCACAAGCAAATGTAATAACATGCTTGCGCTGTGTTTGCTTTTAAATTGTCTATGGTGTCTCCACAAGTGGGATACCAGAGTACAAAAGGGCCAGGAAAGTGTATGGTGCATGTGTTTGGCGCATGCTTGTGGGATTGCCTGTGTGTAGAGTGTGGTGTGGTATTGTGTAAATAGGTCAATTTTGTGGTGTAATATGTGTGGCTAGGGGCTGTACAGAGTTCGTGTATAGGGGCATAGTGTTATAGGGGATGTAGCGAGTGTGTGCATACGGGCAGTAGTATGTGTGTATAGGTGACGTAGTGTGTGTCACTTATACACACACACTACTGTGTGTAGAGAGGGTGTGTTTAGAGAATGTTGTATGTGTTTGCTTACAAGAAATGTAGTGTGTGTGTGTAGGTGGTGCAGTGTGTGTGTGTAAGAGATCTAGTGTGTAAAGGACCCAGAGTGTGTATAGAAGATTGTGTGTGTGTGTGTGTAGAGGATTAAGAGTGCATATAGGGTAAGGGATCTAGCGTGTATCTGGAGCGTAATGTGTGTAGTGGTGCAGTGTGAGGGGTGCTGTAGTGTGTGTGTGTGTGTGTATATATATATATATATATATATATATAATCTCAAAAAAACAGGATGCTTGGCACTCTCCTTTAAGTAATAAGAAAGAACTAATAGCCTGGGTGCTATATCCCAAACGTCAGAAATATACAAAAATCAAAACTGAGGATGCACTCACAGGACTTGGTTAAAGTGAAAAAAAGGGACTTTTAATTATTCCATGTGAATGGAAAATTGATTTTTCTGTACATTTCACATGGAATAATTAAAAGTCCCTTTTTTTCACTTTAAGCAAGTCCTGTGAGTGCATCCCCAGTTTTGATTTTTGTATGTATATATATATATATATATATATATATATATATATATATATATAAAATATATTTGGACGTATTGTATGTGTGAGGTGCGCAGCGTGTTTGTGTAAGAGGGGTGCTGTGTGTAAGGGTGTTTTTATCTGCCGTCACATTCTGGGTTTCTAATTTTATTTGTCTGTTAACTCACTGAGGGTTATTTTATATAATATATATGTGCTGTATATGTGTGGGAGTGAGGGTCCTGTGTGTGTCTGGGTGTGCTCTGTGTGTGTATGGGGGTGCGCTGTGTGTGTCTGTGGGGTGCTGTGTGGGTGTCTGGGGGTGCGCTGTGTGTGTCTGTGGGGTGCTGTGTGTGTGTCTGTGGGGTGCTGTGTGTGTGTCTGTGGGTAGCTGTGTGTGTGTCTCTGGGTAGCTGTGTGTGTGTCTCTGGGTAGCTGTGTGTGTGTCTCTGGGTAGCTGTGTGTCTGTCTCTGGGTAGGGTGTTGTGTGTGTCTGTGGGTGCGCTGTGTGTGTCTGTGGGGAGCTGTGTGTGTCTGTGGGGAGCTGTGTGTGTCTGTGGGGAGCTGTGTGTGTCTGTGGGGTGCTGTGTGTGTCTGTGGGGTGCTGTGTGTGTCTGTGGGGTGCTGTGTGTGTCTGTGGGGGCTGTTAGGGAAATTATTTTTAAAATATTTTTTTTATTTTATTAATAATTATAATATTATTATAATTAATAATTATTAATAATTAAAAAAAAAAAAAGTTATGTCCCCACCCCCCTCCCTTCTTACCTTTAGCCTGGGAGGGGGGGGAGATCCGTTCTGCGTGGAGGAGGGGGACCATGCTGCCTTCCCTGGTGGTCTAACCTGCGGGTTAGAGTTCACTCTCGCGAGATCTGAGCGTTGCCGCGAGAGGACCGGGCGGAGCTGCTTGTTAGAGCTCCGCCGGGTCCTCTCTCCTGCCTCCCTCCCTCCCTCACCCAGCCTGCGGCTGCCTGTAACAGTGCCTGTGGGCCGGTGAGGGAGATCTGTGATCTCCCCACCGGCCCATGGAGGCACACAGCGGGGCCGGCGCTCGGGTAGTGCTGGCCCTGCAAGGGCCGGCCGGGGAGATCCTGTGATCTCCCTGCCGGCCTCAGCCCCACGGCCATCGCGGCCCACCGGGCATTTGCCCGGTATGCCCGATGGCCAGTCCGGGCCTGGCCCCTAGCCACGGTGGTCCTGCCTGTGGAAGGCCACCTAACCACTTTTCTAGTTGACACGGGCGCGGCCCAAAGTGTTCTTAAAGAACAAGACCTGCCTGACTCCTCTTTCCTGTCCAATATTGATGTTTCATGCATAGGTGTAGATGGCCTGGTTTGTGGTTTCCTCTACCTGCCCAATTAACCTGTTAGGAGCAGATGTCCTCTCCTGTCTCCAAGCCTCTATCTCTTTTACCCCAGACGGCCAGATACAATTGTCCTCCCCCCTGTCCACTACTGAAACTTCAGCCCTCTGCTCCATACCCCTCCTGCTCCACATGGAGTCTCCTAAAAGGGATGCAAGGGTCCTGGATGATCCCCACAGTGCCTTTGACAGAATACCTACCAAGTTGTGGTCCACCGGCCCAGATGACATTGGACGCCTCCAAGTCCCGCCCGTCGTGGTGAAATTACTTTAAAACTAAGGTGTCAATCCACCCTGTAAACCACAATATACTCTGAGGCCTGCCCAGGCCCTTGCTATCTCCAAACAAGTTGAAAGTCTGTTATCAAAAGGTGCCCTGGTCAAATGTGAATCTCCCTGCAACACTCCCTTATTCCCCGTGAAGAAAAAGACTGAAAAGGGTGAGCCAGAAAAGTATAGGATAGTCCAAGACCTCAGAGCTATCAACGATGCAACCGTTCTGGACACCCTTATTGTACCCAATCCTCATACTCTCCTGTCAGGAGTCCCACCTACGGCAAAATATTTTACAGTGGTGGATTTGGCTAATGCCTTCTTCAGTGTTCCTCTACACTCTTCCTGTCAATATCCTTTTGCTTTCACTCATGACCGTCAGCAATTCACCTGGACTGTCATGCCTCAAGAAGCTCAAAACTCACCAAGTCAGTTTGCTAAAGCTATGGCTTCCATTCTGGACTCATGACAAAAGACTCACACTGATGTGGTCCTCCTCCAATATGTGGACGACCTCCCCACGGCTGAACGTACTTCAGAAGGTCTACTTTGTTACCTTGCTGTACAAGGATGCAAGGCCACCAAGAAGAAGCTGCAGTGGTGCCGGCCCTCCGTGGTCTTCTTGGGACACTGTCTTTCCCATGGCACCCGTCTCCTCACTCGGGACCGGGTGTGGGGTATCTTAGCTATCTGCCCACCCACAGCCCATAAGCCCCTTCATGCCTTCCTGAGCCTCATCTCTTACTGCAGGGCCTGGATTCCAGAGGCCTCCACCCTGATGCAGCCACTCTATGATGCCCTAAAGACTGAACCATTTTCTCTATCCCCTGAAGCCTTGTCCAGCTTCTTTGCTTTGCAATGTGCCATCTCTACTTCGCCCACCCTGGGCCTTCCAGATTATAGTTAACCCTTCAAGTTGTTCGTGTCTGAGGAGGTTGGGTCATGCCTCAGGAGTCCTCAATCAGTCTCATGGCTCCCGCCAACGCCCGATTGGCTACTACTCCTGCCAGCTGGACCCCGTGGCAACAGTGGGTCCCTCCTGTCTTTGAGCAGTCTTCGCAGCACAAGCCCTCATTGACAAGACAAGTGATTTGATCCTTGGGCATAAACTCACCATTCTTGCTCCCCATGACATTGCCACCATCCTCAACCAGGTACAGCCCAAGTATCTCTCGGCTGCCCGCCATCTCCGCTTACAATGCTCCTTTCTGCTGCCAGATAATGTATCCTTGCAGAGATGCTACTTCCTCAACCCGGCCACTCTTCTGCCATTTCCCAGGGGGGGGGAATTCCCTACTACTGGCACAGTCTCGACAGCCCTGTCCCCCATGATACCCAGCCTTTCCCCCATTGCACCTTGTGGTTCAAAAAAACCCTAGGACCTGAACCCCATTATGAAGAAGAACTGTTCCAGCTGGTGGAGGTACGCCTTACCATAACTGATCTGTTCTGTGACTCCAATGGCAATTGTCTAGCCACAATTCTCCTGCCTATGGAGATAGGCCAATTATACCACCACTGGGGTGTGGCCGTCCCTCACATGGCTTTCTCCAAGTCCCCACAGATTTCATGGAAGGAACTTAACCCATTGGCTAAATCATGGAGCACCGCAGACCAAACCCAGCTCTCTGAAGAGGGTGTCACCAAGTGAACTGTGAACCTCAAAGCAACTGGCTACCCTCGATTCCACACAGAAATATGCACTGACTCCCCTCCCACAGACCAGGACCAGGATCCATATGCACCTCATGATTAAAATGGAAACAACGTATCTCCCAACGTTGCATGAAACTGCCCTACTAGAACCTGACCTCACTGATCTGGGTCCAGATATGCTGATAAACAAGGAAGATATCACACTGGATTTGCCGTCACTACAGTGGACACAGTGCTCCAAGCATCCCCACTTCCCTCATCCATGTCAGCTCAAGAAGCTGAGCTACAAGCTCTCACCACAGCATGCAGGATCGCTGAGGGAAAGCGCGCCAATATCTACACTGACTCAAGATACGCACTAGGCGTGGCACATGACTTCGGACTAATCTGGAAGATGAGGGGATTCCTCACAGCAACTGGCACACTAGTCAAGCACAGCACGGCTATCAAGGAGCTGATGGACGCCCTAACTCCTCCCTGAAGAATTGGCAATACTGAAGGTAAAGACTGATGGAAGACTGAACTCGTGGGAAGCACAAGGCAACTACATAGCTGATGATGCTGCCAAACAGAAGAGTGTCCGCTGAAGAGACTCCCATGCCCATACTCACCATGCTGACCTTACCTACAGACCTCAAGCTCCTGAAGGAACAACAAGCAGCTGCTGATCCTGAAGAAAGACAAAGCTGGAAACAGAAAGGGGCAACCCTTAAAGATGGGCTGTACTCCAACAATCTCAAGTTCTGTTTACCCAGAAGCATGTACTCAGCAATGGTCCAGTGGGCCCACGGGGCTGCACACTTGTCCAAGACCCTTATGAATTCCCTGATTAATAAATACTACAACACACCTGGGATCACCTCTCTGGCAGACAGTTACTGCAGATCCTGCACTATTTGTGCCAAATGCAACCCAGGCAGGGTGGAGAAAGCCCCCCTAAACATCTGGCCAAACCCCATTACCCCTTCCAGAGAATCCAAGTTGACCACATCCAAATGCCAAAGAGTGGCCGGTATGAATATGCACTGGTCATAGTGGATATGTTCTCAGGATGGCCAGAAGCCTACCCAGTCATCAACATGACAGCCAAGACTACCGCCAAACGCCTGCTCACTGAAGTAGTAAGCAGATACGGGGTTCCAGAAGTTATAGAGAGCAACCAAGGCCTGGTCTTCACTGCATCAGTAACCAAAGAAGTCTGGGCAGCACGGGGGGTGACCCTTGCATTCCATACACCCTATCACCCACAGAGTAGTGGCAAGGTAGAAGCATGAATGGCCTAAAAGCCAGAATGCTTAAGATGGCCCAAGAAACTAACCTGCCCTGGCCCGAGAGACTCCCCATAGCTCTGTTTAGTGTAAGGTACACACCGAGAGGGAAGTTCTCTCTACCTCTTTATGAAATTATGTTTGGCTCAGCCCCTAGACTTGGGTGCTATTTCCCCCAGCAGCTTCAGCTCCAGTCTGACATATTGGTTGATTATGTAACTGCCCTTTCCCGAGCATTGACCAAAATCCATGCACAAGTGTTCTCTTCCATTCCAGATCCAGAGTCTGATACAGGCACCCACCGACTGCTTCCTGGTGATTGGGTTCTGGCTAAGAAATTTGTGAGGAAGACCACTCTTGAGCCAAGATATGATGGTCCCTTCCAAGTCCTTTTAGCCACAGCTACTTCTGTAAGTTGGCCGGAAAGAGCACTTGGATAGACGCCTCCCACTGCAAGAGGAAGTGGACTGTCCTAAGTCATGAATCTCCTACATGCCTTTCTCCTGCGAGGCCTGACAGGGGCCCAACAAGTTGCCATTACTAAAGATAATCATGTTTATACATTTTGGTACAACTCATCTAACACACATGTGGCCACCTTTACATTTGACTATTGTGACATTGTCAGTTGTTCATTCCCACAGTCATTGCTCTCAACAGTATACAAAGACATACCCACCATAAAAGACCCTTACGTATGTGTGACAGACGACTATTGGGGAAATGACTGCAGTTCCTGGAGGGCTGCGGGTTGGAATACAGGGCTAACATGGGGCTACAAACCACAAAGTGCCCTAGATAGGGTGGACAAGAACGGGGAATCCTTATTGCATAGAATGACTTTACGGCAGTCAGGTGGGGGCGACCCCAATGAAACTCACCCTAAATATAGAACACCCCAGTCCCAGGGATGATGGAGAATATGTAATGGGAATGTATTGGAGGGTGAGGATCCTATAATAAACAGGGAACCTTCTACCTACAACACATGTATCTCTCACCTGAGTGGATAGATTCCCGACATATGACTGTCAACCCTCTTAAACCCCACATTAAGACTTTTAAGTACATGGTAGCCATAGCAAACCCCATATTCGAAGATTCTATGGCTGTAGAGACGGGATTCTTGGATACTAACCTATGGCTTGAATGGATAAGATATAATGCTAACAAACATAATAGATCTAACTGCTATGTCTGTGGAGGAGCCTGAACTCATCTAGGCACTATACCCCTAAATTTACCCCCCGACGTAGAGACATGTTTTCTAATCCTCTATGCCTATTTTAAAACTAATTGGTCAGTGTGTGAGTTATGGAAGAAGGAATATCCTATGATCACCAAGAATGTTAAGCCAGCCGAGGGCATAACTGTATATCCAGGAAACTACACCTATTTGGTATTTACAATGGGATGGGCAGATTTCTGGGTAATTTAACTCATGGATATTGTGTCACATATAGAACAGTCCCGCTTGCCTTGCTACAGAAACATGTTAGGTCCTTGTATGGCTGTGTGGGTATATGCAACTTAGGTCAATGTTAGAAGATGTATGGTGGGGGGGAGTGTACCCTAGCCAAGGTTATTATGCCGATACACATAATATCTGACAACCACCAAGGTACTCCTGACACGCCACATTCATATTTCAGAATCAAAAGGAGCACCCCTGTAAAGGGCAGTTTTGACCCCCATGTATATATAGATGCCATAGGGGTGCCAAGGGGGGTACCGAACAAATTCAAGGCAAGAGACGAAGTTGCAGCAGGGTTCGAATCCATTCTCCCGATCATCACATCCCGATTTATTATATCTATTATAATCAACAGCGGTTTGTTAATTACACAAGAGATGCCCTTCAAGGGCTGGCTGAGCAATTACAAGCTAATTCCCTGTTGACCTTCCAGAATAGGATGGCCCTAAATATGATTCTGGCAGAGAAAGGGGAATATGTAAAATACTCCCTGACACCATGACCTGTTGTACCTTCATCCCAGATAATACTGGCCCTAATGGCAATAGAGAAGCTAGAGAATCTCTCTGAAGAGCTGAAAAGGAATTCTGGGGTCACAGATCCATGGGAACGATGGTTTGGTTGGATGAATAGTTGGCAGAAAGTTCTGGCCCAGGTAGGCGTGGCTGTCTTGATAATGTTGGTTATCCTTGTTCTCATTGTCTGTTGCGTGTTACCTTGTTTTAAAAAGTGCCAACAGAAGACTGCAGGTCAGACCACCCCGACTTTCATTCACCAAGACAAATAGATGGCGAAGACTATGACTGACCTCATTCTCCGTTGCAGTCCATTCACACCAATCACAAAGCTACTTCTTTTTAGGGATAGTACGGATAGTGTCTGTCTTTACGGGCAAAGTCTGTAGCGAGAGGGGTAGTGGACAAGCCACTGCCCGTCTTATGCGGAGCATCAAAAGAGTTGCAAGGCTTGTTAGACAGATGTGCTGCAGCCTCTTAGGGACAGATTTAGATGTTCAGTAGTTTTTGTAGCGTGTTAGTAAATAGTCATTTTAAGGGGGGACTGTTATGGAAGTAAATTAGTGATAGTAAAATGTCTATTTACGGTGTATACCAGTATTCAATATTTACTCAAAATGGCTGCATCCCCTCCCACCAACTAACTACCTCGTGTAACAAGATGGCGCCTACATCCGGAGTAAAATCCCAGGATGATGATGACATCACGCCTCGTAGGATGTGCACTAGATAAGACACTTAACACCTAACCAATTAAAGATGTATTCTTTCTGTTATTAACATGTTTGCATATGATGTATTTTTACCTTTATAAGGGGCTTTCCGCCCCCCGTAATTAAACATTCCGAAGTCTTTCCTTAACCTGATACCTGTGTCTCGGTGTGATTTACTTCAGAGCGTGCACGCATTTATTTTAACAATTTGGAAGGGAGCAGATACTCAAATAAACAAACCCTTGGTTTGATCCACAACAACCCTACCTCTGTAACCATTTTTAAAAATATATTTTTGGGTCAAGACTGCCTCACTGGGCTGATAACCAGCCAACTGGAATACTCTCTTTCTGGCTAGCAATCAGTTTATTACAAATAATATTTTTTCCATACTAGCTGTTTTGTTTTTTTGTTTTTTAGTAGTCACAATTGTAACGGACACAAGTGTGAATACTTACAAAACAGCACTAAAATATTTTGGATCTCAATAAAAAAAAAAAAAAAAAAAAATATATCGCAAATCTCAGAGAAGTTTTGGACTGGAGATTAAACAATATGCAGCACCAAGAAAGAAATAAGTTCTTGGCAAAAACCGATCCATCTTCATTAGCGGCACACGCCAATTCTTAAGGCTACGGAAACATTTGCGCATATTTAAGTAAATTCAGTTGTTGGGTTTTTTTTTGTTGTTGTTGCAGTTAGTATATGCTTTTTTGAACAATTGTTTTCCTTTAAATCATAGGGAATGTACAATCTCCACTGATTTGTGCAAGATCTTATGGATATGTGTACTCCCTAAAATTCCTATGTGACTAGGGCTTTCATAAGACTCTTTGAAATGGCTTGCTAAGAAATGGCTCGTGCAGTCGCCTTGTCTATGACAGGCGGCTACTAATAACCGGCTTTGGTAGTTTAATAATCCCTTAAGGACACATGATGTCCCTTTTATTCCAGAGGTTTGGTCCTTAAGGGGTTAATTTCACTTCTGGCGCCAAACAACCTTCATACTCCACGGACGTCACAGCACTGCCATTTCAGACAATGCCATGCGCACGGCTGACTGGGAAATGTTAGAAGGTAATAATCTTGTTTATTTTATAATAATATTAATCTCAATTTTTTTTTATTATTTTTTTTTTGGAGAGTATCCACACAATTATTCCACATTAACACATTGATAAAAAAAAAATAATAATTTCTGGAGAGCAGAATTAACCCAAGCCTAGAATGTCCCCCCCCCCCTTTCCCCTCTGCCACTGCAGTTGTTGTGGACTACATTTCCCATGATGCCTGCTCAAACTGCAGGTTCAAACAGCTTCCAGAGAAGGAAATGTAGTCCCCAGCTGCAGACAGCGACCAGCTCCATTGTGCGGGTACTCAGAGGGCAGCTTTCCTTTCTCCTCTCCCCGTTTGTGGAGAAGGTTCTCCCCCGTTACCTCAGTGCGGGTTACGAGGATCTGGTGGAAGTCCTTGCTCGGGGAAGGAGCCTGCTCGCTGCTCTCGAACAGGATTTCTGGTAAGAGGGACGCCATCTTGAGACGCTGTTCGCGGTTGCTAAGGGAGACCGGGCCGCATTACGCGTTCCGGCTTGTTTTGTGGGAGGGAGAGAGAGAGAGGGATAGAGAGAGATCCCTCCGCGCGGGAGGCGGAGATGCGGCCCTGAGACCCGTGCTCCTCCCCTCACATTGTGAACAATAAGCGGCGGACTCAGCGCTCGGACAGCAGCGCGCACGGTACCGGCCGCCTCGCACCGGAGCTCTCAGTGCGGCCAGTGGATGGTGGCAGTGTAAGGATATAGCTGTCACTGAGCGGGCTTTTATTGGTTTTAAAAAAAAAAAGAGAGAAAAAAAAAAAAAGGCTTTAATATCAGGTGACCCCCCCCCACAACAGACAAAAGGCGCATTGCTGTCACCCCATTTCTAGCTAGCCACCCGCCGGGTGGAAGGATACAGCCGCTATGCCGGGACTCTGAACCCCCTGTTTTCGCTAAGTAGTGCGCGCGGATGGGTACATAACTGACTGCTTGGCGTTGTGTGGTGTGTCCGTGAGAATAAGGTACCGCCGGCTGTGGTGGCGGAGAGCTTTCTATCTCGCTCTCTCTCAGTAAAGAAGTAGTGCGCGGAGGGATCAGCGCCTGGCTGGGCTCAGCTGATCGGTGAGACGGCGGAGGAGAGCGGAGACACCCGGGGGCAGCGCGGCGGAGACAGAGGTACCCGGGGAGGGGGGCGATGGGGGACTCTGTCCCGGGGTCTCTTTTACTCGGTGCGTCATCGGCTGGGGCCCTGGCAGCCATAGGCAGAGAGAGCCAGGACTCTGCTAATAGACCTTACACAATATACCCTCAGCAATGGCAGCCAGCCAGGGCCACCTACCGACACAGGGGCTATGTACTAACCTGGGGGGCGAGAGCAGCGCTATCTGTCCACAATATCCTCCGAATAGACAGATACACTGCTGGTAGTACATAGCTAGGCCTACACTGTATGTATGGGGCCATGGGGGAGGGGGTAATACTCCATATCACTCTATATCAGCCCTCACAGGCACAACAATGTATCACTATCATCCTCCTCCTCCTTGTATCACTATCCTCCTCCTCCTCCTTGTATCACTATCCTCCTCCTCCTCCTTGTATCACTATCCTCCTCCTCCTCCTTGTATCACTATCCTCCTCCTCCTTGTATCACTATCCTCCTCCTCACTCCTTGTATCACTATCCTCCTCCTCCTCCTTTGTATCCTATCCTCCTCCCCTCATCCTTGTATCACTATCCTCCTCCCTCCTTGTATCACTATCCTCCCCTCCTCCTCGTATCACTATCCTCCTCTCCTCCCCTTGTATCACTATCCTCCTCCTCCTCCTCCCTTGTATCACTATCCTCCTCCTCCTCCTTGTATCACTATCCTCCTCACTCCTTGTATCACTATCCTCCTCACCCTTGTATACTATCCTCCCCTCCTCCTTGTATCACTATCCTCCTCCTCCTTGTATCACTATCCTCCTCCTCATCACTATCCTCCTCCTCCTTGTATCACTATCCTCCTCCTCCTTGTATCACTATCCTCCTCCTCCTTGTATCACTATCCTCTCCTCCTTGTATCACTATCCTCCCCTCCTCCTTGTATCACCATCACTCCTCCTTGTATCACTGTATCCTCCCCTCCTCCCTTGTATCACTATCCTCTGCCTCCTCCTCCTCCTTGTATCACTGTCTATAGCTCACTGTTTTTTTTTTGTTTTTTTAAACAAGTTCTCCCATATTCAGTTTTCTATTGAGAAACTCAGACTTTATTTTAGTGTAATACTATTTATAATTTATTCTTTGTATTACATATGTCTTTTTGTGGCATACAGTAAATTACATATAGTGTGTGTGTGTGTGTGTGTGTGTGTGTGTCTATATCTATAGTTGGCAATATATGGTGGTTTGTGTTGAGGGTTGGTATTGTGCTGTTTTTTGTGTTCGTAGTATGATGACCTGTATATAGGTACATGGCTTTGTGTTTATCTTGCCTTATTGTTTATTAGAGGGCTGCCAGTATGTGTTTTCTTAGGATTGTAGGGTTTACTGTGTTTATTGTATACAATACACAGTATTGTGATAGTCTATATGTGCGATTGGCTGACATTTGGTGATCCCACCTATGACTGGGGTCAATGGTGGGGTAAGGTGGTCTTTTTTAATTTGGATTTATCATATATATTATATATACACACACTCTTTGTGTGTGTGTGGCTGCTTTAGCCCTGCTGTAAAATATCTCAAATTTTTTATTTTTTTCCTCTCTATTTTTGTTCTATGGGGAATCTCCATTCATAGATTAAATTATGGGCCTCCGTTTCAGGTCTGTCACTGTATTAAATGCTATACACTGACATTTTTTATTTTTAGCATGCAAGCTGTATTTTTGATCTGCTCAGTGTTTTAAACCTTTTTTTTTTTAAACAAGGTTATTGTTGTAAGTTCAGAGTGACCTGCAATGAAAACAATGTCAGCTTCCTGTCTCTCTGATTTGGTCAGCCATCTTCATTTGTTTCGTCCACCAGAATGCAACCTATATTTTGGGGTGATGTAACCCAATTAATGTGTAACAAATCACTTTTTATATATCTTTATTGGTGTCTTGTTAGCAAGGCCTTCTTTGTGTTTTCACAGCAGCTTCCTGTTATTGTTCTTGCAGTGGGATTTGGCCTAGTGACGTTGTGTGGTTATTAAAGGGCTTATCCTATATTTGTAACAACCAATGCTTTTCCTGTATGTGTTTGTATGTTGTGTTTTTTTTCACTATATATCAGGGCTTATGGGCTGTCCCCTACATATTTGAGTGTTTCCGCTTAATTACACTTTAGTTTTTTTGTTATGCATGCATTATAGTTTAGTCATGCATAATTTATTTGGGAGCATTGCAAAAGGATTTACCTGTTTGTTATGGAAGTTACATTTGGGCTTGTATGTTGTCTTATTTTAAAGGTCATTGGGGTTTACAGTAATATTTAGGTTTGTAGAGTGCAGAGGGTGTCTAATGGCAATACAAATATGGCTGTAACATGAAGGCAACTATATGTTGTGTTAGGGGCTTCAGTGAGGTTTGATGGAAACATTTATGATTCATGGGGATTGGCAACATGTCGAACCTGCATTAATTGATTGGTATAAATGGATCAGGGCAGAGTGAAGTCCATGTTTTGTTAAGTTACATGTATGATTATTTTATATGTGTGCAGCTGCATTGTTTGTTATTGGCTTTCAGGAGTGTGCAACAATTCAGCTGCATGTTGGTATATAGGGGATTATTAGTATGGACGTGGCATAAGGGGTGTATTTTGGGCAGTACATTTCTTGAGGTTTGTATGATATATTTCTTGTTTGTAATTTGTTATATATCCATATTTTTTATTCCTCTAACTTATTTTCTATTTATTTTTTAATATAACTTGGTGGCTTTTGTTTGGTATGGGTATACCTATTAAAGTCAGTATAATGTTAATTTTATGTACATATCATTATAACCAGTGTTTTACATTGGAACAGGGGTTTTTAACCTAAGGGCTTTGACCTAAACCTAGGTCCCTGTGCTATTTGAGTGGGTCAGGCCTCATGCAGCTGCCTGCAATAAATTGTTTTAAGTAGTGGCACTGCTTTCCCAGTGTAAGAGAACCATTGAGGGTGATGTGTAGGTGTATGCAGAATTTCGTTATATTGCATTTAAAGCTTCTTTCTCTCTGGTTTCACACAGATCAGACCCTTCAGCTGTTTTTACCTGATATGGCTGGCTTTTTCTATGAAGAGACCTGAGGCCTGCTGTGTCACTATTAAAGGGACAATATAGGTACTGAAACAATTTTAGCCTAATGAAGCAGTTTTGGTGTATATATCATGCCCCTGCAGTATTTTTCAATGCCATTTAGGAGTTAAATCACTTTATTCATCCCTAGTCATACATCCCTGCATGTGACTTGAACAGCCATCCTAAACATGTTGTGTAAAGCGACATAGAATATTTAAACTTCCTTTATTTCACATTGTTTGATTTAGAATGTATTTCTTGCCCTGTTGATAGCCTGCAGGAGCCGCTCGTGTATAATTCAATTACATTATTATTCAATTGCATACACTTCAAACGCAAGTTAACATCTGATTGAAAATTAAACAACTTTTTTTTTTTTTTCTTCAAATGCAGACTGTCAGTCACAGCCAGGGGAGATGTGGCTAGGCCACATAAACAAAAGCAATTTAACTCTTAAATTGCTGATTGAGCAATGACACTGGAGGGGCATGCTGCTTCATTAATCTAACCTAAAATTGTGTTGATGTCTATAGTATCCTTTTAAATGTGACCTCTTTATTTTACTGAGAAGCACAAGTAACATCTAGTAGTAGACCTTGACTATATGTAAAAAAGCAAATGTGATACACACTCTTAAACCACATTTAGGCAAATAATACCAACTAGTTATCCATATTGGATTTACCTATTTATTGATATCCAAACCTTACTGGCTTTTGGCTTTAAGAAGTATGCTCTTTAAATTCTGCTTAAAACTTACAAGTTTTATATTAAGGGATCACTAAAGTTACCCAGTCCACTTCAACTCAATTAAGTGGTTTGGGTGCAGTGGTCCTGTCCTTTTAACCCTGCAGTGTTTGTTGCAGTGATAAATCTACCTTATGCTGACAGCTACCTTAGTTGCTTCTGTTGCGCTGACAGAGTAAAACTTGGTCACGTGAAGCAAAGGCCCCTATAGCAAAGCATTGAATCAGTGCTTTCCTATTGGGATGCTTGGATGCGCACGTGGCGTTCACTGTGCATGTGCATCAGGTCCCCAATGCTCCTCTATTACGTTGCAGGAGGAGGAATGGTATGCAGCACAGAGGGAGCCTCTGCACTGGAAAATGTAAGTAAAAGATTTATTTTTAATAATGTATGTGAGTGGGGGGGAAAGGGAAGGGGAGGCACTTTTAACTAGGGACAGGAACACTAAAGCATTAAGAATAGTTTTGTACTCCTAAACACTAGTGTTTCTTCAAGTTCTCCATCTTCAAATTCACCAAATTAATCTGTGATATCTCTGTCTTCACTTCTTTTAAGAGATGTCAATATTTTCCCAAAAACTAGTTGCTCGAATGTGCATATACTGGCTACATGAAGTGTTACAGGAACTGATAGGGAAGACCCTGCTCAAATAAACGTCAGTTAAGTGCTCTCACAGACATGCATGAGAACTATATAGGGGTCTGGAAACTCATGCAAGTTTCTAGATGAAGATCTTGGCAATACAGTATTATAGACCTCTTATGTACAGCTCAAGAGATACCGGTTATATATATTTTTTTTTTTTTTTTTGGACAAGGGGGAGGGGGGGGGAAACAACTTCTAACTCTACCTGTTGTGTCACACATTACCATTAATTGGTATTTACATAAGACAGAGTACTCCTTATGTTTGTCTTGTGTCTTCTAATTGTATTACAGTTCCTTAGGATTTCATAAAGATCCTGCCTTAGTGAAAAATGGACCGTGCTGCCTCACAAATTAATAATAGTATGTTTTGAGATTCCTGCAATGGACATGGGTCTAGATCAGTCTAATTGGGACTGTACTGGGACGATGTAATTCAAACGACACAGCACTCCCAAGGTTAAATCCCTTCTCATTCAAAGGTGTCCATGTATCATGGAACATTCTGATTATTAACTATTGTTATATATTTACAAAGGGAACACTTTCAGATTACTAGCTATGAGTTAAGGGGACACTATAGTCACCAGAACAACTACAGCTTATTGAATTTGTTCTGGTGAGTAGAATCATTACCTTTCTTACTTTTTCAGAGAAAATGCAGTGTTTACATTACAGCCTAGTGATAACTTCACTGACCGCTTCTCAGATAGCTATTTAGAGATCCTTCCTGGGTCATGGCTGCCTAAAATGCATCCAAACATTCAGTGTCTCCCTCTGCATGCAGACACTGAACTTTCCTCATAGAGATTCATTGATTCAATTCATCTCTATGAGGAGATGCTGATTGTCCAGGGCTGTGTTTGAATCATGCTGGCTCTGCCCCTGATCTGCCTCTTTGTCAGTCTCAGCCAATCCTATGGGAAAGCATTGTGAGTGGATCAGGCTACCACTTCTGCTGATGTCAGCAGGCAGTGGGCAGGTCAAAAGGAAACCGTGACAAAGCAAGCAGCTGCAGACTTGAATACAAGTAAGATTTTACTATATTTATGGAGGCATGAGGGGGGGGGGCAGGGGGTCTAGATGGTGGTTTTAACACTATAGGGTTAGGAATACATGTTTGTGTTAGTGATCCTTTAATTATTTAAATTTACTGTGACGTATTGGGGATATAAAAAAAAACTACATCCACTGTCATTATGGTAATAAACACTTGAAGGGTTATATATTTTTTTTTTTTTTTTTGTTTACTATTTTTTTTGTATTACAACTTTTAAAAAATTGTTTTTTTTTAAATGCATACAGATTTTGAATTTTATATAAAAAGTGTGTGTGTGTGTGTGTCTTTGTCTTTTGTAGGTTTCCATTCTCCTCTTTCCACTTCAACCAGGAAGTGGCTACGATATTGGCCATTCACTGTTGTTGTATTGACACAAGTGAAAGTAGCACTGCAGGTGTGTGCTGTCACATGCATTCAGTGATCCCCTGCAGAAATCAATGGAAATTGATCACGCTTATACTTCTCATGTAGTGAGTGTTACACTCAATGCAGTGTATAGAATTATTTTTTTCTACTTTCACTTGTGTCAATAGAACAACAGTGAATGGCCAATATCGTAGCCACTTCCTGGTTGAAGTGGAAAGAGAAGAATGGATATATATCTATATCTATATATCTATCTCTCTCCCCCCCTCTGATGTGATGTTACTACCGCAAAGGATTCTGGGTGGGATTATGCAAATTAGTTTAACAAAGAATCCAATTTTTGCCTCAATACAATTTAAACATGGATTCCTTATGAGTTTGTTTGCTGTATACAACAGCTTTGAAACACAACTTAGGAAAAAGATGCAAAGCCGGTGAACCACTCACGGACAGCTGTTTCATTGTTAATGCAAATCCTCAGCATGAGGTTGATTACTGGTTGGTTATTGAGGCTTGGGAAGCAAAAACTAAATTGGGGAAACTATCCACAGACTTCAGGTGGAAGGTGTTCTCTCTGAGGAAGCTATCATATATTGCATATATGTATAATATATTATAAAATGATTTTAGAATATAAAGGATAGAGAGATAGAATAATATATATATTATACTCCCTCTCCCAGAATATTACATGCAATCTATAAAACAAGGAGTGTACATAGAACAGTATCAGACCTCTGAAAAGTATAAGCATGCATATGGACTCAGTACTTGGTTTGGGCCCCTTTTGCAGCAATTTCTGCCTCAATGCGGCGTGGCATGGAAGCTATCAGCCTCTGGCACTGCTGAGGTGTTATGGAAGACCAGGTGCTTCAATAGCGGCCTTCTGCATTGTTCGGTCTCATGTCTCATCTTTCTCTTGGCAATGCTTCATAGACTCTCTATGGGGTTCAGGTCAGGCGAGTTTGCTGGCCAATCAAGCACCGTAATCCCACGGTCATTGAACCAGGGGTTGGTGCTTTTGGCAGTGTGGGCAGCTGCTGGAAAATAAAGTCAGCATCCCCGTAAAGCTCATCTGCGGAAGGAAGCATGAAGCGCTCCAAAATCTCCTGGTAGACGACTGCGTTGACCCTTGACTTAATAGAGCACAGTGGACCAACACCAGCAGTTGACGTGGCTCCACAAATCAACACAGACTGTGGAAACTTAACACTGGACTTCAAGCATCTTGCAGTGTGTGCCTCTCCATTCTTCCTCCAGACTCTGGGTCCCTTGTTTTCCAAATGAGATGCAAAAGTTGCTCTCATCAGAAAAGAGGACTTTGGACCACTGAGCAACAGACCAGATCTGTTTTTTCTTTAGCCCAGGTAAGACGCTTCTGACGTTTGTTGTTCAGGATCGGCTTGACAAGAGGAATATGACATCTGAAGCCCATGTCCAGGATCCGTTTGTGTGTGGTGGCTCTTAATGCACTGACTCCAGCCTCAGTCCACTTCTTGTGAAAGTCCCCAACTAGGGATGCACTGAAATGGAAATTCTGGGCCGAAACTGTAAATTCAGGATGCCCTTGGCCGAAAACGGAAAATGACTTTTCCCTAAATGATTTGTAAGGTGTGTGTTTTCTATAATTTTTTATTAGACTTTTTAATGAATTGAATTAATCTAATATGAAAAACTTCCCTTCTCTTTTAGTGCCCTCCCACGCTTAATGTTCCTCTCCACTCCCTCTTTTTTAGTGTTGTTTCCCCCTCCTCTCCAGTTCCATAGTGTTCTTTTCTCCCTTCCCCTGTCCGTGTTTTTTTTTATAGTGTTCCCCCTCCTCTCCTGTCCCATAGTGTTCCCCCTCCTCTCCTGTCCCATAGTGTTCCCCCTCCTCTCCTGTCCCATAGTGTTCCCCTCCTCTCCTGTCCTGGTGTTCCCCCCTCCTCTTACAGGTGTTCCCCTCCTCTCCTGTCCCGTGTTCCCCTCCTCTCCTGTCCCACAGTGTTCCCCTCCTCTCTCCTGTCCCAGTGTTCCCCCTCTCTCCTGTCCCACAGTGTTCCCCCTCCTCTCCTGTCCCCAGTGTTTTCCCCTCTCTCCTGTCCCAGTGTTCCCCCTCCTCTCCTGTCTCCCTCCTGTCCCACAGTGTTCCCCCCTCCTCTCCTGTCCCAGTGTCCCACAGTGTTCCCCCCTCCTCTCCTGTCCCACAGTGTTCCCCCCCTCCTCCCACCCCCCCTCCTCTCCTGTCCCACAGTGTTCCCCTCCTCTCCTGTCCCACAGTGTTTCCCCCCCTCCTCTCCTGTCCCACAGTGTTCCCCCCTCCTCTCCTGTCCCACAGTGTTCCCCTCTCCCCTCTCCTGTCCCCACAGTGTTCCCCCCCCTCCTCTCCTGTCCCACAGTGTTCCCCCCCCCTCTCTGTCCCACAGTGTTTCCCCCCCCTCCTCTCTCCTGTCCCACAGTGTTCCCCCCTCCTCTCTCCTGTCCCACAGTGTTTCCCCCCCCCTCCCCCCCATCTCTCCTGTCCCACAGTGTTCCCCATCTCTCCTGTCCTCTCCTGTCCCACAGTGTTCCCCCCCTCCTCTCCTGTCCCTAGTGTTCCCCCCCTCCTCTCCTGTCCCACAGTGTCCCCCCCTCCCCTCCACTTCTCCACTTCTGTCCCACAGTGTTCTTCTTCACTCCCCCCATTCCCCCAAAAAAATCTCACAATTTTTATTTTTATTTATTTTTTTATTTTTTATTTGGCAAGTCTGACCCGTTTTCGGCTGAAACGGGATAGGCCCGTTTTTGGCCAAAAATGTTGGCAGCCAAAATTTCGGTGCATCCCCTATCCTCAACACATTTGAATGGCTTTTTCCTGACAATCCTCTTCAGGCTGCGGTCATCCCTGCTGCTTGTGCACCTTTTTATTCCACATTTTTCTCTTCCACATAACTTTCTATTAATGTGATTTGATGCAGCATTTTGGGAACATCCAACTTCCTTCGCAATTACCTTTTTGAGGCTTTCCCTCCTGGAGGGTGTCAATGATGGGTTTTCTGCACAACTGTCAGGTCAGCAGTCTTCTCCATGATTATGATTCCAACTGAACCAGACTGAGAGACCATTTAAAGGCTCAGAAACCCTTTGCAGGTGTTATGGCTTACTTAGCTGGTTAGAGTGGAACACTGTGAGCCTAGAATATTCCACCTTTTCACAATATTCTAATTTACTGAGATTGTGGATTTGGGGTTTTCATGAGCTGTAAGCCATAATCATCGCACTTATGACAAATCACTGCTTGAACTATCTTGCTTTGCATGTAATGCGTCTATCTCATATGTTTCCCGTTTTATGTTGCATTACTGAAGTAAATTAACCTTGATTAATTATAATTTTGAGGGACCAGGCAGACAGTCCAGAGAATTTAATTGGCAAGCCCTATATTTAACCCCGTAACTTTAAAAAAAAAAAAACATAAAACCTGTACATGGATGGTATTGTTATACTCGGGAGATTTAGCTGAACACAAATGAGTGTTTTAGAAAGTAAAACTTATCATGACGATATCACCAGTAAAAGTGCAGTTTTTGTTTAAAATAAAATAAATGCAAAACAACATAACACTAACTTTGGTCAGCGTTTGTGACTAAGTGGCTACTACGAAAGACAGCAAATACCCCATTTTGAATTCCCTGGGTTGTCTACATTTGAAAATTGTATGCTGTGATGAGGTTATTTCACATTCCTGGGCTACCAGATTTGTCTGCTGGGTCTATGCAGACAAATCTGGCAAACTGAATTGGACCCAGCAGACAAATCTGGCAAACTGAATTTGGCAAGCCCTATATATTGACCCTGTGACTTTCCAAAACACCATAAAACCTGTACATGGGGGTATTTTTATACTCTGGAGATCTTGCTGAACACAAAATATGAGCGTTTTAAAAAGTAAACCTTATCACGATTATGAAATCTCCAGTAAAGTGCAGTTTTTGTGTAGATTTTTATATAAAATGCAAAAAACAAATCTGAACGCTAACTTGGGCAAGCATTTGTGGCTACTACAAAAGACTGGACATATCTTTTGAATACCCTGGGTTGTCTAATTTTTCAAATGGTGTGTCATGGTGGGGTTAATTTTCATTTCTGGGCTGCCATACCGTCTCAGAGGCAACATAGCCAATCTGGCAAATAGCAATTACCAGAAATTGACAAATCTTATGTTTGACCCTGTAACTTTCCAAATCACCATAACATTTTCAGTACTTGAGGGGTACTGTTTAGGCATGCACCAAAATGAAATAGAGAAATCAGGATGCCCTTTGCTGAAAACCGAAACCAAAAAGGCTTTTTAATTTTTATTTATTTATTATTATTTTTTTAAGTGTGTGTTTGTGTGTGTTTGTGTGTGTTTGTTATATAGTGTGTGTGGTGTGGGATAGGGATGTGGTTTATGTTTGTAGGTTATGTAGAATGTGTAAGGCACGTAGTGTTGGGGGGGCTAGGGATAACAGAGTGAGAGGGTGACATAGCGTGGGGGGGGATGGTGAATGGTGGTAGAGTGGGAGGGAGTGGGCAACTGGTGACAGTGAAGTAGGGTGTTAGAAATTTTTTTTTTTTTTGTGCCAGTGTTCTGGCTGCAGACTGTGCTGTATGGTGGTCCGGTGGTGTCTCTACAGTCTGCAGCTCACACCGGGCAGAGCTGCAGATTGGGCTGTATCTTGCGAGCTCCAGAAGTCAGTGTTGCGGCGTTGTAGACTGTACTGGCAAACAGGGCAAGCTGCCGGACCCCCTCCCGATGTCGGGTGACCTATTTTCGGCAGATGTGACCTTTTTCGGCTGAAATGGGATAGGCCTATTTTCGGTCAAAAAATATCGGCGCATCCCTAGTTACTGTTGTACTCGTGAGACATTACTCTACACAGTGTTTTAGAGCAGTAAAATGTATTCTACTGATATCATCGGTGAAATGGCAGTTTGTGTGAAAAATGCAAGAAAAAAAATAATCTAAAAGCTAATTTTGGCCAGGGTTTGTGACTAAGTGGCTACTAAATAAGACTGCACATACCCCATTTTGAAAACCGTGGGTTGTCTATGTTTTACAAATGGTATGCCATAATGGGGTTAACTTTCATTCCTGGGCTGTGATACAGTCTCAAACATAGGCCCAGCAAACCAATCTGTCAAATTTCAATGTGCAAACATAGATAAATGGAAAGCCCTACATTTGACCCCTGTAAGTTTGCAAAAAAACATAAAACCTGTACATTGGGGGTACTGTTGTACTCGAGATGTTGCTGAACACATATTGGGGTGTTCTTGGTCAGTAACACACAACAGGAAGTGAGAATCCATGCCTAAAGTACAATGTGAGAGAAAAATAACACAAAAATGACTACCAAAAAGTTTGACAAAGACTGGTAGTAGAATTAGTGCATGGGAAGTGTTAAAATACCACCATTTGAAATTCCTTAGGGCTGGGGGTAGGCATCCTTCGGCACTCCAGATATTATGGATTACATCCCCCTTAATGCTCTTACACCCATAGTGCTAGCAAAGCATCGTGGGAGGTGTAGTCTAAAACATCTGGAGTGCCGAAGGTCGCCTATGCCTGCCCTTGGGTGTCTAATTTTCAAAAAATATATGGTTTGATGGGGGTACATTACATTGGCCAGCTTCAGAAATTTCCCAAATACAACATGAAATGTGCACCCTCTAAATAAGGTCTTTTAGCCCCCAGAGAACCGACACACCTATACATGGGGGGTATCACTGTACTCAGATGGTGGTGCTGAACACATATTGTGGTGTTCTTTGGCAGTAACCCTTAATGTTCTCCGTACATGTATTCTTAAATTGCTATGTGTGTCAAAAAAAACTTACTTTTTTTTTTTTAACATTTGGCATAGATTGGTAGTAAAATGGTAGCATGAAAAGAGTCAAAATACCCCAAGTTTAATACCTTAGGTTGTCTTTTTAAAAAAAAAAGTATGTATGTATAGGGTTATTCATAGATTCCTGACAGATATCAGTGTTACACTGTAACTTGCGTTAATTTTGAAAGAAGGGTTTGGAAATAGCAAAGTGCTGCTTGTGTAAAAAATAAATAAAAAAAAAAAAAGGCTAAGAATCTGTTAACATTGGGTATTTCTAAACTCAGGACAAAATTTAGAAACTTTTTGGCACGGGTGTTTTTTGGCGGTTGTAGATGCGTAACAGATTTTGGGAGTCTTTGTTAGAAAAGGTGTGGGTTTTTATTTAAATCATATTTTATAAAAAAAAAAAAAAAATTATTGTAAAATTGATATGGTGAAAATAATGGTATCTTTAGAAAGACCATTTAATGGCGAGGAAAAACTCTATATAATGTAAATAAGTAAGAGGGAACATTTCAGCTAAACACAAACACCGCAGAAATGTAAAAAGAGCCCTGGTCCTCAGCAGTAAGAAAATTGGGAAAACAGTCTGGTCACCAAGGGGTTAAAGGATAATGGACTTAGTGAGGAATATGTATACATTTATACTTTCAACCCTTTTTATTATTCTACTGCCCACATATTAATAGGCAAGGGGTTAAGAGATACAAGGTTAGTATGATAAATGCATAAGGCAAAGAACTTACTTTCTCTGTAATTAAAAGGCCCAGATTTGTTAGTGGGAAGATACTCTAACTTGTTCTATGGACTTAAAGGACCACTATAGTGCCAGGAAAACATACTTGTTTTCCTGGCACTATAGTGCCCTGAGGGTGCCCCCACCCTCAGGGACCCCCTCCCGCCCGGCTCTGGAAGGGGAAAGGGGTAAAAACTTACCTTTTTCCAGCGCTGGGCGGAGAGCTCTCCTCCTTCTCTCCTCCTCCATTCCTCCTCCTGGGCTGAATGCGCACGCGCGGCAAGAGCTGCGCGCGCATTCAGCCCGTCGCATAGGAAAGCATTTACAGTGCTTTCCTATGGACGCTTGCGTGCTCTCACTGTGAAAATCACAGTGAGAAGCACGCAAGCGCCTCTAGTGGCTGTCAATGAGACAGCCACTACAGGATTAGGGGGAAGGCTTAACCCATTCATAAACATAGCAGTTTCTCTGAAACTGCTATGTTTATAAAAAAAATGGGTTAACCCTAGAAGGACCTGGCACCCAGACCACTTCATTAAGCTGAAGTGGTCTGGGTGCCTAGAGTGGTCCTTTAAGTTTGTCTGCACACCACAGCCACTCCATTATATGTAGCTTATTTCTGTAAAGCAAAGAGTAGTAGTGCTTCCAACAAGCATACTCTTAAGACTTGTGCCACCTTTTGTTATAATAGTTAGACTGCCAGTGGTACTTGTAACAATATACTAAACAGACATGGAGTTGTTTATCTGTAGCAAATAACTTTGCTGTGGGACACAAATCTAATTAATTTATGTTGCCTCACATAAGGAATTAATCTTCATTATAGGTTGTAATTGCCATATTATTCTGGTTGTAAAATAACGATTTACTCCTCCTCTTGTCAAATTCCATGAGTATGGCAAATGCCGCAGCACTGAACTAGATCTGCAAACCTGTATCTGGTTACATATCCACTAACCTAATGGCATCATTCATGGCTCTGGATATTACTACCCAATAGTGGAAGAAATATGGTGGGTGTGTGTATGCAATTTCTTTTTTTTTTTTTTGTCTTTCAGTTGTGGTTGTCTGAGCTCCAAATGCTGAATGATGTAGAATTAGTAAAGGAAACTAAAGATTTTGGTACATGATCTCTGACTGACGAGGTTATGTAATGTACTGTGTTCTGCTGAACATTTCCTTTCACTAGCAATGACCTTCAGTGATTGTCCAAGATTACTAGAAAATGTTGAACTGCATGCCACTCAAACAACCTTGGTCTAAATTTGGGTAATCTTTTTGCATGCAAATTTGCCTTAAAATGTTTCTCTACGCTTTACCGGTAAAAAGAGAAGCTTTCTAGTTAAAGCAATATAACCTATAGCTAATTTTATTTGATATTTTTTTTGGGTGGGAGGGGGGTTTATTTTTATAAATATTCTTTTATTTTTTTTTACTTGTCACATTTGCATCTACTAGTTGAAATTAAAATTTATAAAGGGACTAGTTTCCATAGCAACTATAAACAATGGCTTAGAGTGCTCTGTCTAGAGGGAATACAGTGATAATTTGCAGCTTACTAAACCCAAACAACCTCATACACATGCATTCTGAAGTGAACAGAGGGATCTTGTAGAAGTGAGTAAGGAAGCAGAAAAAAAAAATGGAACTAGCAGGATTGGTGTGCAGTATGTGTTTATTCATTTTTTCTGAGTGTGTGTATTTTAAGGGACTCTCTAGGCTCCCAGACAATTTCTTACCAATGAATTGGTCTAGGTGCAATGTCCCTTTAGTTGTAACAGAGTAAAACTTGGCTATTTCAATATGATTTTTCTTAATGAGACAGTTTGATTGGCACATTACCTGCCTGTTTTGTTGCCATGCACACTAGCTTTTAAATTCTTTCCTATGGGAAAGCATTGGATTGGCTGAGTTCATCAAGATTGTTACTGTTCCGAAGAAGGCAAGGCCAGCTGCAGGAAGAGCAGAGCTAGGGGGTGGGAAAAAGGTGTCTAAATATAATTTATTTTTCTTGCTTGGCGGTGGAGGGATGTCACCTGTTCTGTGACATCTGTATTCCTAACCTCCCACACATCTAGTGTTCTTTTAATCCCTTTCTGTTATGATTATCAGCTAAGTGATGGACTAACTGGAAATGTAGTAATCTAGTCGTGTGCCGCTCTTTGTTACGTAGGGAAGCATTGGGAGGGGCTAATGCACATGTGAAGCAATCGTGATCTCCTCCTAGGGATGCATGATCTCTCACTCTCTCTGGAGAGCGTATGTGGATGCTCCTTATTAGTTCAATGTTAAAAATGTGGGCTACAGGACATGGGCATTTAAAATAAAAATGTCAACTATTGTTTGTTGATTTTTGTGTATCTGTAAACTGCATAAATTACAAAATACTGTGTAGATTACTACACCGATTTGTTGTGTGAGAAAATCTTAATCCAAGGATTGCTAAATTTTAGACTGGTTTAAATATTGCCAGTTAACCAACCAATTCTGTTAATGGAATGTCTATAGGGTTTGATGGTTTAATTTTGGATTCTGAAAGGATTCACATGGATTACATCCCACAGCTTCCATGAGGTTTTTTTTTGTTTGTTTGTTTTTTTTGTTTTTCCTACCATAGTGTGGCCTGTAAATGGCTATTGGTCTGAAATGCCAACTTATCCATGTTAGAATAGATTGCCACATAAACCGTGGATGGTTATCTGTATACTATGCTTTAATGTTAATCTCTAAAAAGACACATGTACATGCAAGTGGGGTGTTGCTGTAATCTGTAATGTAACTCTGTAGCTTTTTTTTTTTTTTTTTTTTTTGGGGTGGGGGGTGTATCGGATATGTATATAGATTACCAGGTTCCTTTTGTATAAGGAAAAGGTGTGTGGAGAACCATGAAATTTAACTGCAATCCAACACAGATACTTCTCGCTGCAGCCAAACATCCTATCACAAGATCATCATTCCTGGTAATCTCTATTCCAATCAGATGTTTTGCGTAGAGAAACATTGAGGACCTGTGGCACATAAGTTGAAATCATTGTGCCCTTTCAATCCAATGTTCTCTTCGAGATGCATTACCCATCCTATTTCCACATCCTACGTGATGATGCTGAATGTGATGACATTTGAAAATGTAAAGGGTCTTAAAGAAATATTCCAAGTAAAATAAACATTATAGTGTAGTGTCTATGGTGCCTTCTCCTCCGTCATAGAAATCAAACCATTTAATTAAGTTTTGACTTCTTACCTCCAGTTGTATGGATTAAAAAAAAACAAAAAAACACAAAAAGTTTGCAAATAAGTAATATCCTAAGCTCTGGAAGCTGTACAAATCTTTTAAAAGATTACTAAATGTAATAAACAATCCTGACTGTAAAAAGTAGAGCTCATTATCACATTAAGTAGGTGGTGGTGTTTTTTTGTTTTTTTTTGTTTTGTTTGTTTGTTTTGGGGCTTGTATTGTGTCCTTGGACTGGTGGTGAAATAACAGAAACCAGATTACTAGATGGGAGGGGGGTATCCACTACAAAATGAGTGCAGCCTCTCTAGCGAGCTCTAGTTAAATCCACCTGCCATATCTCTAAGTTATTTTAGTATTTAATTTATTTGTAGAAGTATAAATTAGTCTATAGATTAACAGTTTTGCTAAAAGGGACACAAACGGTGACTTGGATAGCCTAAGGGACATGCTGTATTCATTATGGTACAACCAGTCTCCTGGCGCAGGTCTTATGTTATCATTAAAGTCAAACTTTGTACTAACTCATTAAGATCTAGTTCATCCCTACTTGGATGGGATTAATTGTCTGAGAGTATCAGCTATAGCTTTGTCTATGAATTTTGTCTAAACACAGATGCAGTAAATGTCACAATTACAGAAGTAGGAACGTCTATTTGAGAAACATCTGTCAAGAGGACTGCAGAACTGTGCCAGTGTGCTGTTGTGCCAATTCTGATCTTTTTTTTTTTTACGCTCATTTTGAAAGCGTGTGGTTTTTATTTATTTAGTTTTTAGTTTTTTTTTAATTTTTTTTTTTATATAATGTATAGTAATTTTCCGAGTGTTCCTAGATTAAAGGAACACTATAGTCACCCAGATCATTTTAGCTTTATGAAGTGGTCTGGGTGCAGTGTCACTGTCCTCTTAACCCTGCACTGTAAAACATTGCAGTTTTTGTGAAACGTAAATTTTTACATTCAAGGTTAAGTCCTCCTCTAATGGCTGTCATACGGACAGCCGCTAGAGGCGATTCCGCTGCACTAACAGTGTGAAATTGTCACAATGATGTGGAAACTGCATAGGAAAGCATTGATTCAGTGCTTTCCTCTGGGAACGTTTGTGCGCGTGGTGGTCACTGCGCAGTGCCTCTTTCATGACGTCATATTTAGTGTGTGTAATATTGTGCTTCACTGTCCCTTTAATACTGCAGAGGCTAGGAGTGCTTGTGGCTATCTGTTCTATTTATAACTGTGAGATCTGTGTTTAATATTTATGCTCCACGTGTGAACTTGCATAAGGTCTGATTTGATGCATTGGGCAATTCATTTTTTGCTAGACGGAGTTCCAGTATGTTAACTCTTTCTACATCCGATAACCCTGAAAAAGCTTTGGAAGCTACGTGTAATCAGGCCTTTATCTGTAAGACAGTAATTCTGTATTGGGCAGCGGTGATGGTCAACCAATACACTCCAGATATAAAGAGGGGAACTGGAGCACAGTTACAGGGTTAAAAATCTTATTTACCCATAGCAAGTACAAATTTAGCCTTTGTGAATGTCATAAATTTGATCCTGATGAAAGTCATCTATGCAGGACTGAAACGTTGATCGTCTTTTATATTTTGAATTAATAGGTTTTGGACTTTTGAATCCGTGAGTGCTGCTACCTAATTGGAAAGATGGATACTACTAGCACCCGGTTATTAAGGGATTAAAGCGTGAGTGCAAGAGTACATTTTAGGCTACAGTTCTTATGTTTAGCATTTGCCAGCCCTCCTCTTTAACACTGCTCAAAGTTTGACTGTCCAATCACAAACTTCCCAATGCAGCTCAATGAGAAGTCTTTGCAAGGCAGGTACCCTGGGCAATTGTCTGCCTCTTGATTTTAGTTCCCCAGAGATAAACTAGCAGGAAATAACGGGACTGGTTGTCTGACAGCAAGTTGGCTATAACAAGGTTAATCTCTATAAAAAATTTTTTAAACTTTTTGTCAAATGGGGGAGAGGTGGTTAACACACTCTCCACATAATACTAAGCACTGTGTGGAGTGTTCCTTTAATGGCCGGTCAGATCACCTGCCCCTAGGCATCTTCTCATGCATTGAATGCCTCTGTAAATAGGTATCTAGTCCTCAAAATCTTCCATAGTGCATCATTCTATCTTAAACACACAAGAATAGCATGTGAACCTGCTCGGGGGTATAGCGAGTTAGATTGTACTGGTAATATTTAAGAAAAACAAACCACTATTTCTGACCATATAGTGGTAAAACCAGCATTTAGGAGACTTGCACATAGAAAGGGTTAAAACGTACCTTATTTCCATCTCTCCATGGGTCTGTAGGCGCGGCCCCTGTCCCTGATTTGCCTCTTTGGCTGACATTATCAGAAATTATTTCAGCTAGTCCAATGCCACAGGTAAAGCATTGGATTGGCTGAGATTGCCATGTAGGCAGGGAGGGAGCAGGGCCAAACACTATCCTAACCAATCAGCATCTCCTTAGATGTATTGAATCAATGCACCTATATGAGGAATGTTCAGCATCTCCAGGCAGAGCTGTCCACTGTGCAGCACTGGCCCAGGAAGCCCCCGTAGTAGCCATCTGAGTGGCCACTGAAGATGTATGTAAACACTGCATTTTCTCTGGAAAGACAGGGTTTCTGGGGCTGACTATACTCACCAGAACAACTAAATTAAACTGTTTTTGTTCTGGTGACTATGGTGTCTCTTTTAAAGACCTAACAGGATTTCTGTTGAGTTTTTTTTAGAATTAATATACTGACTGGTTAAAGCAAAGGGAAGAAACATAAATTAATTTATTTTGAAATATCTTTGTATAGAATATGTGGAGAATATCAGTGTAGGTTAGCCCAGTCCACATGGCCTATCATTGCTGTCTAGTTTGAACAGAAATGATAATGCAGAACTGCATTTTCTGCATTGTTAAAACTGCTAAAGCTGGTAGAAGTCTCTGTATGTCACAATGTATTTGGTGGCTTTTTTTTTTTCTCTCCTCTGTCTGCCATTTTGTGGATCCAAATGGTATGACACAAAAAAAATGTGGTGCTTTTTTTAATGGACTTTGTACCTCAATCAGTACACAGTTTTTAGAAATTATGGATTTACGATCTTCTCTTCACATGGTAACTGCTAAAACTTCTCCTATCTCCTTAAAGAACCACTAAAGTCACCTAGATTATTTCATCTCAATTAAGTGGTCTGGGTGCCGTGGTCCTGACACTTTAATCTTTTATTGTAAAACCTTGCACTTTTGTGGGGTTACACACATCTAGTGGCTTTCTGGAAAAAAGTAGAGGTACTTATCCATTAAAACTCATGTTAGAGGGAAACTAGTGCCAGGAACACACACGTTTTCCTGGCAATGTAGCTTCCCCTTCTGTCGAGGCACTCTCCCGCGGCTCAGCTCCACCCATACTCCTCCCCCGCTGCTGGTGGGGGAGACGTAATGCGCATGAATGGCAAAGGCTGCGCATACATTAGACCTCCCCATAGAAAAGCATTATTCAATGCTTCCTAATCGGGATTCCGGCGACGCTCAACATACTCATGCAGAGCGTGGGGACGTCAAACGTCATTTAAAACACTTTTTTTCGTGTTCTAAGAACACGGAAGCACCATCTAGCGTCTTGTCTGAGAGAATTACCCCTGTAATCAAAACAATGAGGTTTCTCCAAAACCGCAGTGTTTTGACTAACAGGGCTAAGGGGAGTGGTCTGGATGCGTACAGTGTCCCTTTAAGCGACCGCTTTTAGGAAAGCCTTGAATTCAATGCTTTCCTATCAGTTCTTGCATGTGCTCACTACGCATGCACATCAGGATTGAACAGAACATCATTGATCTCATGCCAGAGAAGGCCATGGGTCCTGAATGGCGTTGCAGAGATATAAGAAGCGCCAAGGATGCCTCGGCACTGGAAAAAGGTAAAACAATCCATTTTCTTAACTTGGGTAGGGGCTTTAAACCAGATGGGGGCACAAATATTACAGGGTTAGGAATACAGGTTTGCATTCCAAATGTTGGTGTTTTTTAATTCTCTGCAAGATTGTAAACTCTTGCTCCCACCCATGCAGGCAGTAGATTGGGACATTATTGTGGAAAAAGTATTTTGTAATGTTGTGGTAGGCCAAATGATTTACAAGGAATGTAGCAGATCACTTTGTAAGGAACACTATATAATGTCAGGAATACAAAAGTGTATTCCTATTACTACAGTGTTAAAAATCCATGTTAGGTTTTTTGGTTGTTTTTTTTTTTTTCCTATTACCTTGATGGCTCTGCCTCTTTGGCTGAGATCATCAATCCTGATCTCTGCTAATCCAATGCTTTCCCATAGGAAAGCATTGGGAGACTAATAAGCACCAATCAGCATCTCCTCATAGAGATGCATTGAATCAATGCATCTCTATGCGGAACGTTCAGCGCCTCAATGCAAAGTAAATTTAAAGGGAAAATGTTTATTTTTATGTTGGCACTGAGACGGAGTTTGTCCTGCTGCTCTCTCCTCCCATGATGTCATCCAGTGCTTGTCATAGAGAAGTGCATGTTACAAATGGCAGTGTTTTACATTGCAGGGCTAAAACGCCAGAGACACTACACACAGGATGCTGAATTCAGTTTAATGGAGGAAGAAAAGCAAGTCAATTTTTAAATATGTTTAACCCCTTCAGGACCGGACTGTTTTTGCGATGTTTGTACGTTAAGGACCAGAGCTATTTTAACACTTTTGTGGTGTTTGTGTTTAGCTGTAATTTTCCGCTCTCATTTACTGTTCCGATACAAATTATATATATATATATTTATTTTTTTAGGACAAAAAGGGCTTTCTTTACATACTATTATTTTTATCATGTCATATAATTTAGTTTTAAAAAAAATAATAAAAATTAAAAAAAAACACGTTTTTTGACTACTTAAATCTTTTACTGATCTGCTAAATAGATTCAAAATTTTGTTCTGCGTTTAAAAACACCCAACGTTTACGTATTTTTTTGCTTTTATTTGCAAGTTATAGGGCTATAAGTACAAGTAGGAAATTGCTGTTTCAAAATGTACATTTTTCAAATGTATCGATAGTGACATTGTAACACTGTTATGTCATAAATCTCCAAAAAACACCCCACATGTGTATATATTTTACTTAAACTAGATAACCCAGGGTATTCATCTAAGAATATTTTTTAAAAAAAATAATAAAAATTAAAAAAAAACACGTTTTTTGACTACTTAAATCTTTTACTGATCTGCTAAATAGATTCAAAATTTTGTTCAAAAACACCCAACGTTTACGTATTTTTTTGCTTTTATTTGCAAGTTATAGGGCTATAAGTACAAGTAGGAAATTGCTGTTTCAAAATGTACATTTTTCAAATGTATCGATAGTGACATTGTAACACTGTTATGTCATAAATCTCCAAAAAACACCCCACATGTGTATATATTTTACTTAAACTAGATAACCCAGGGTATTTTTGTTTGGTTTTTTTTCACATACATTGCAATTCAGGTATAAATTCACAGATTCTGTTAGGTGTCCCTGCCAAACACCCCAATATGTGTTCAGCAACATCTCCCGAGTACAGTGATACCACCCACGTATAGGTGTGTCGGGTTGTTGGGGGGGCTAAAAGGCCACATTTGGCAGGTGCGCATATCCGTTTCCCAGCTTGGAATTTTGACATGTAGTCAACCTGCATGCATGTCCTATTTGGGACATTTTTGAAGCCAGCCAATGTATTTTACCCCCATCAAACCATATATTTTTGAAGAGTAGACACCCTAGGATATTTCACATGGTGGTATCTTAACACGTTTCATGCACTGAATTCTACCACCAGGCTTTGTCAAAGATTGAGTTAGTAAAATTTTTTGTTTTTGTTTTTTTCACACACATTGTACTTTAGGCATGATTTAACAGATCCTGTAATGTGTCACTGCCAAACACACCAATATGTTCAGCAACATCTCGTGAGTACAGTGATACTACTTATAAAAATTATCCACATAAACAAACAAGGGGTTTAGTAGGTCCCATACAAGTTTCCCACTTGTCCCCAGGGAGTCAGGACAGCCAGGAGGGTCCAGTTGACCATCTTTCCCCTCATATACATGAAAGGCAAACGTGTATCCACTTTCGCTCTCGCACAGTTTGTACAGTTTTATGCCATACCTAGAGCGCTTTGGGGGGATGTATTGTCTGAACCCTAATCTCCCTTTGTATTTCATTAGCAATTCATCTATAGATAAATTTTGTTGTTGGGTATAAAATCCAAAAATTTGTCCTGAAAATGGTCTAGCAGTGGGCGTATTTTATGAAGCCTGTTGTATTGGGGGTGATCTTTAGGGTGACAGAAGGTATTGTCACTGAAATGTAAAAATCTCAGCAGGAACGCGTATCTGGCTCAAGGCATGGTTTGGGAGAATACTGGACTAGACCTTATTGGGTTGGTGCTCCAGTACGAGTGATTCGATGGCTTCTTTATAATCCCCATGAGCATTGAAAGAGCCCAGAATTTTTTAAGCTCTGGGACATCTGTGGGATGCCAGTCATGCTCCCTGACTGTATAGCTACCTGGATTGTTATCAATAAATTGGGTAGCGTACAAGTTAGTTACCCAGATGGTATCCCCTAAAAATAGTTTATAACACCCACTTTGACAGCAGCCAATTGTGAGCAATTGCGGATCGCTCACATGCCGCAATTGGCTGTTACTATGTGCCTGGGATGTCTGGCAGATAGTTAGTGTTATACAAGCGGGAGCCATCTTTGATCGCTTCCCGCAGCCAGTTTTTCGCTATGACAGTTCAGGACCGTCAGCGGTCCAAACGCACGTTTTACTGCTGACTGTCCTGAAGGGTTAAAAATTATGTTTTTTTTTTTTTTTTTTAAATGTATAAATATATTTTTGTTATTAATGGTGCTGTGACATAAACAGTTTGTCTGGCAACTTAGTGTCCTAGTTTAAACCAGTCCTGCTTTGCTGCCTGTGTAGCATGTGTCTGAGGAAGCTCAGATGAGTCAGCTTGGCAAGGGAAAGTGGGATTGTTTAGTGACTGCAAAATTCTGGTGACGTAGGATTTTTTTTTTTTTTTTGTGTGATACTCTTGATAGGAAGGAGTCTGTGTCATTCTGAGTAATCTCAACATAGTGGGTGTTTCAGGCTCTGCCCATTTTCATAGCAAAAACTTCCTCCTGTGCAACTTTATTCTACACGTTCACAGGAGCCTCTTTTTACAGGATGCTGCACCCTTTTCCTCACTTCCAAAGCTGCGTAGAAAGGGTAATTTTTCTTATAAATTTTGTTTATCCGTGAAGATGTTCGTGTTTCAAGTTTTTACTGGGCAGAAAATAATATCCTAGAAGTGGTTTCTGGGGCAGAGCCTAATGCCTGCTGAAAGGAGGCCTTGTGTAGGGAGGATTGGGTTAAAGGTCAGCTGTATTTATTTGTGTTGCATTTAAAAAAAAAAAATAAATTGTGTGTTCAGATTTTGTACATTGTATACTATAAGGTACCAGTTATCTCAAATGGCTAGTGGACATATTTCTCTGTAAATGTTATTTATTCAGTGTTTGTGTAAATTGTTTTCTTTAGTTTTCAGAAGTAGATATAGTTTTAATTTACCTGCATCTGGTCATTCCCAGTTTACTCCCTTTGGTAAATGCTCGATGCAGAATCTGGCCATATTAAAACTTTATTGTCCTTTGCAGGTCATCTCTATTTTTTAACTTTGTAAGAACAAAGGATAATCCGTGTTGTCCTCTCTATAATCTGAAAATTAAATCCCTTTTTTTTTTTTTTTCATGTTTTTTTTTTTTGTTTTTTTGCTACTTTGATACAGGCATTAAACTGCTGCCACTAAACATTCTTCGTTAAACAGTGGGAAATCCCATTGTCTTGGCAAAGGTTCCCTCCCATCAAATTTGTACACATCCGTGTTTGGGTTAATATTACTCTTGTGTACAAACTTTAAAAATAATGGTAATAAAATGGCTGCAGGAATTAACCAATATGTGTTAAATAATCTAAATTGATGAGCTTAATATCAGTAAGGGGGGAAAAAACACTACTGTTTTTCTTGGAACTCGTTTTTGTGGTTCGTTGATCGCTCTCTGCTGGTGGCTATAACTTTTTTCTAGTTGGCTTGCCACAAATGCTTTGGCAGGCAGTGTCTAACACATTTCCAAGTGAGTGCCACAGTAACAAGTATAACAGGCTGGTCTGGAATGCATTACTTTATCACCAGTGGAAAGTTAATGGGTACGATCCACAAAACCTTAAAATAGTATATGCTGTACGTCAGCAAGTGTAACAAACAGATCACAATGTAAATATACCAATCGTAGCTTTTAGTCATGGCACCCAAATGTGACCTTTTAAAGAGAAAAACACCTTGTTCTTAATGTAATATGAGTACATTTTTACTACTGTAACCCTATTCTGTGTACCACAGTATTCTGATCTAAATATTTAATTGTTTTGGGTGGGAAGAAAGAATTCTTGTTAATTATGCTGTTTAGCAAAATGTATGTCTCTAACATACTCTCCATCACAGACTCATAGATACTCACACACTCTACTACTACAAGTACACCCACACATTAACAATGCTGTTATTTTAAGCCACCTTTTTTTTACTTGCTCTTTTGCATCAGGAGGGTGGATTCACCGCAGCCCAGTGGGGACCAGGTTGGTCAGGTACAGGAAAAGGGCACAAGCTTTGGTAGGCTGCTCTCCTCTTGCACAACTTCTCCTTCTCAAGCACTGGAAGCAAGTGATCTTAGATCGCTTCCTTCTAGGTATCGTCTGAAATTCAGCCTGAAATAATGACAGACAGGAGGGGCTAACACAAGCCGCCTTACATGTCAGGACTCTGACGTGACTTTGGTGGTCTTCAAGTCAAAGAGCGCGACAATCAGGGAAGCGAGTCCAGCAACAAACAGTGGCACTTAGGGGAGGAGGAGGCTGCCAGATAGGAGCAGCACATTGTCAATGCACAGAGAAATTGTCTTTTATTTTTCTTCCAAAACTGTAACTGTTACTGTACAGAATATTAGTACAAACTATCGGCCTGAAAGGCCACACATTATCGGTATTGGTCGATCCCTACTTCCTTCTAATTCACAATTGAATCATTATCGCTAGCTGCAACTGGACACATGAATCTGAATTATTCCAACTTGGATCTCTGTTAGACCATACTCTGCGGGGAGATCCCCAGCCTGTTTTCTGGTCCGACAGCCTAATGTGCCATAGGTTCTATATGCTTGTTACTGAGTTTCAAACTGAACAAGTATTATGGAGTTAAGTTTTGGGATGTTAAACTTTCATTATGAAGCTTACATATCTTTACTATATGGGTAGATCTAGTTTTTATGTCTTTATTATGAGAAATTAGGGTTTTAAGATTGTATAAGCCTAACACTCTGGTGTAATGAATGTAATCCTTTCTGTGTGTATGTAAAAAAAAAATATATATATATAATATATATATATAATATATATATTATATATAATATATATATATATAATATATATATATATATTATATATATATATATATATATATATATATATATATATATATATATATATATATATATATATATATATATATATATATATATTTTATATATTCTAATCTATCCAATACCCTCTGGAAAGCAATCCTTCTTGCTAATGGGCGGGTGTGCCACCTGGCAGTGTCTTTGCAAGACATCACATACCAGTGTTTCCATTTCACAGTGAATGTGAAGGCATGCAGACCACTACAATTGTAATTGGATAGTTAATTTAAGCATGTCTTTGGTACAGTTTAAATCCAATAATTAATTACACCCTGTTTTGTTTAATGGACGCTTTTATACATGCACAGGCTCATGCACAATCCTATTGCCACACTTTTTCTTTTCTTCTACTTCTCAACCTAAAGGTTTAGGTTTTGGTCTAGTGCTCAAAGACAAAAAAAATCTTCCAGTACCTAGGTTTTTATAGAGTTAGTCTAGCATTTTATAAGTAATAATTATCCTGTATATTAGAAAAAGCAGCTGTTTCATCTTCCTCGATGCTTTGCCAGTATTGTTTCTGAAATGGTTACAGCTTGTTCCCCTGGTTACTCTTATCCAAATAGGACCCCTGCACATAAGCACAGGTAGCATTAACCCTTTAAGGATGGATTCAGTTGTTCTGAACCAAAACTATCTTTGAATTTGTGCTATGCTCAACCATAATTTTCCACTTTTCATATTAAAGGGATCCTACAGTGCCAGGAAAACAAAGCTGTTTTCCTGGCACTATAGGGTTACTAGGTTCCCCCTCCCCCTGGGCCCACCTCCCCCTTAAGCCACTTACCTAAATCCAACGCCAATGTCCCTCAGACTTGACGTCGGCGGGGGATACCAAATGGCATGTGCGGCAATGGCGCGTGCCTTAGACCTCCCCACAGGAAAGCTTTATTCAATGGTTTTCTATGGAGAAAATCTGACGCTGGAGGTCTGTGAGGACATCCAGCGTTATATAACTGAACAAAAGTCAGTTTAGATTCTGAAAGCCCTCTAGTGGCTGTAAGACAGCCACAGAGGACAGACTTGGAGCTGCAATGTAAACATTGCAGTTCTCTGGAACTGCAATGTATTACATTGCAGCACTAAGTGCAAAAAGGTCACAGCACCCAGACCACTTCAATTAGCTGAAATTGTCTGGGTGCCTACAGTGTCCCTTTTAAGTGGAGAAAATAAATAAAATAATAAATATATATATTTTTTTATTTTTTTTTAGGACAAATAGGGCTTGTATTTTGACAGAACATAGTTTTATATATGGAACCTACTTTAATATAAGCACAACTTTTAGTATGAGAAATGTCTTTGTAGAAATATATGTATGTTTTTGTTTATACTTGTACAAAATATGAACATCAATATTAAAACATTCATATAAGTACAACAGTGCTCCAGGTTTGCTGAGCCTTTTGCCCCACTTTTTTTTTTTTTTTTAAATCATCCTTGTCTTTTACTGCAATGAAACACCCCCATATTTCATCCATGTCCCATGAGCTCAACAATACCACCATGTACAGGTTTTATTGGAATTTACAGTTCCATATATAGAGCCTGCCCATTTCACTCTTCATACACTGAAAATTGTCATTGATTTTCTATATCCCTTTTGAGGTGGTATGGTTGCCTTGGAAATAAAATTTCCTCTGTTATGGCAAACCATATAAATAAAACCAAAAAAGTAGACTGCACAGGGTATTCCAAATTTTCATTTTTTTTTTTTTTATTTTAGCCACTTTGTAATAGTTTTATAAAGTCAGGGGATCCACAAGCTTGAATAATAGTCTGCATAACAAGACAATAATTTGACAAAGGCTGCTGACTGAGTTATCAGGGCAAGCTGAGGTCCGGAATCCAGAGTAACATAGTTATTGACTTAATATTTTTTATTTTATTTTATTTTTCGACCATCTTTATTTTGAGATTTTACAAACATTGTATAAACAATTTGTTCAGTCGAGGAACATAGCAGAGTGGTTTTGCGCCCAGCCTCCCAGCGTTCGCCGCTGCACCACACTTGTGTGGTGTAGACAGCTTCAGTGGTCAACGCTACCCCTCTTGGTATATGTTCTGTTATATGTTCCCCTTATTATACTACCGTACACCCTCAACCTCCCTACAAGCGTCCTTGAGTCACGGTTCCGCTGTGCCTTAGGTTTATGGTTAGCAGGGGCACCGTATAGGCACCCTGACTTTGACCTCATCATCTACGTGCCCCGGATGCAGGAATTGTGGGCTACTTTATGCTTATCCGCGGGAAGGGGCACGGAAATCCATGACCTGTGTGATATCTGCTGGGCGCGTAACCGTTTATGGGTTGTGTGCCAAAATTCTTCCTGCTCAGGCTAGTGCATCCTCCGTTCCTGTCGTGGAGGGGATAGGTGAACTTGGAAAAACTTGTATAACTGGGATAGGCACAAAGTGCCCTAGTTCTCATGAATGTGCGTGTCATTCAGTAAGTAAGTGGGCTTAATTGTTAAAGTAATGTGCCCCAGAAGGTTTACCTCCCACGTCACTCCCTACCTTTCCGATGGGACGGGTTCTCATTCTGGGGTGGCGGTCCAATAAGTCTGTGTCCAAGGTGGGTAGAGGAGGGGGGGGAAAAAAGAGGTGGGGGGGAGGCAAAGCCGAAAGCCCCGGGCAAGGGGATCCATCCCCATCCTCCGGGCCCACCGCCACAGTGTACATCTTACTCTGCCCCCGAGGTCCCCACACCGCGGGGTCTGCGGCCCATGTAGTCTATCCAGGGAGCCCATAATCTAGTGCATTGAACTGTTGTCATGTAGGTCTCCTGTCAGGCTCTCCATTTGATATATTTCCTCCACCTTCTCCATCCATTCTGAGATCGTAGGGATTGCTTGAGTCCTCCACTTAGCTGGTATCAGGCTCTTTGCTGCATTCAAGAAATGTTTCGTGAGGAATCTCTTGTATCTCCCAATGGGCATCATGGTGTGGTGGAGTAACATTGGGAGTGGTTGCAGAGGAATATCGGAGTCCAGGATCTCATGCAGTTTGTCGTGGATTTGTTACCAAAAGCAGGCAATAGCTGGGCACGACCACCATACGTGTAAATCCGTACCTTCCGCGGTGCCGCACCACCAGCAGCTAGACGTCTGGGCGAGACCCATGCGGAAAAGTCGTGTCTGTGTCCTGTACCAGCAGGTCATGAGTTTATAATTAAGCTCCTGGAGCTTGGCGCTAATCGTCCCTTTATGCGACAGTATTTGGATCTTCTCCCAGTCGGCCTCTGACAACACGTGCCCCGTGGCCTGCTCCCAATTCGCTTGGTAAGGTTTGACTTAATATTTTAACTTTGGTCCTCTTCAAAGCGGTTAAAAATGCATACATCATGTAGAGATGGGCAGGAGGAGCAATAGGAACTAACTCCTTGTTTTTTGTAACCGTCTACAGTTTTTCTGAGGTGACTTTTTGTGGGTGGGATTCTCCAAGGAAAGTTCCTGTCACAAAGTCTCTAAACATCTTTGCATTCAAAGGTTGTAAGGATTAGAGGTCTGGCTAAAGAAAATATCTGATAAAAGCACACATTGATTGTGGACTCCAGTCAGGTTATGTATATGGCAAGTGATTTTCTTTATTTTTTTTTTTTTTTTGTTCTACTCAACAATGCACTTTAGTGTTTTTTAGTTTTCTGTATCACTTCTACTGACTGAAATTGCCTCTGTACATTAATCATGAAGTGTGGACAGTATGTACATGTTATAATTTTTTGATCTGTATACCAAATGGCCAGCGCTTTGTCATGGCACAAATCAATTTTTGTGCCTTTACGGATTTTACTACACATCTGCTTCTGGTGGCAACTTTTTTTTTTTTTTTCTCCTACAATCTATGGTGTGTACAATTTTTTTAAATCTATGCCAATTCAATAAATGTCTACCCATAAATGACTTTTGTTCACCAGGAAAGGACCCACACAGTTCTGCTGTTTGTGCCCATATAATCAAGGCAGTCTGGTGGATCCTTCATAAATGAGAAATTCCCCTAGAATAGCTAGTATCACAATTTTGAAAATGTAATTACATAGTAAGGTCCCGTAGATGGAATATATTTATTGAAAAGCAGCCTTTCCTTGGGTTTCTTAAGGAATCCTTTTCATACAGGTGTTCTGGTTAGGGTGTAGTTTTCATAAATGTTTTCGGTGGCCTAATTTTGAACAGCCTGTCATGCATGGGGACATTTCTAGAATGACACTGGTTGTTGGGGCCTGTGAGTGGTCTCTTATGATATCCTTGATCATTAAATTCTTCGACATGCAGTCTGTTCTGAAGAATGTGACAAATGCGAGAAGTAACTATTTTCATATTTCTTTTTTCTTCAAATCTGTATAAATTTATGAAAACGGACAGCACAATGTAGACAGAGAATTTGGTGCAGTTTAAAAGAGCAAAAGCACTCCCAGCATGACCGCATACTTCATGTTGGTCCTCAGGACAAAAGCACTGTACAGTATATAACAACTTATTTTGAAACCCGTTGACACTTTATTAATAAGATTTTAATGCACGGCTGCTTTTTGAGGAATATATCTTTTAAAAATGCGTGTATGCTGAAATCAGTTTATTTTTTTACTTCAATTGTCACAATTTGTTTCATTGTTTTCTTTGGGTTGGTGGGAGGGTGTGTGAGATTTTTTTATTATTTAAATTTATTAGCATTTTTCTAAAGAAAAAGGGTGTACCTTTTTTGGTGTACCTTTCCTGCTTGGTTGCTGTATTTTTATTTTATCTTTTATAGACATGTTACATAGCTGAAAAGACACTTGCATCCATCAAATTCAGCCTTCCTTACATATGTTTTTGCTGATGCCAGCTCAATGGTCACATAAATGTGTGGGGTTGTTTTTGTTTGGTTTTTCTCTCTCCAAATTACATTATACACTGTTGCAGACACCTCGTGAAATTTTTTGAAGTGTGTGTGTGTGTATAAATATACTGTGTATCAAAAAAATACCGGCACTCTGAGTTTTCTTCATCCGATTTTAATTTATGAATCCAAAAGATGTCAACGTTTCAGCTCCCGGTCGGAGCTTTCATCAGGACACATGAAAGCTCCGACCGGGAGCTGAAACGTTGACTTTTTTGGATTCATAAATTAAATCGGATGAAGAAAACCTAGAGTGCCGTTTTTTTTTCCTGTATTGTCATTACTGAGCACCGGGTATTTAATAATTTTTTTTATTATTTTTTTAGTTGGAGTGCAAGGGGTCTATCCATTTTTATATATATATATATATTGCAAAATTGTCACTGTTGGCACGCATTCCCAAGGCGCGTTGTGTTTTTTTTTTTTTTTTCTCTCATTAATTACTTGTGGGAATAATAGTTTCCTATGTCTCCTCTGTGGACTGTGACTCTTTTTGTATATAATTCCTGTTTTTAGATTTAGGCATTTGACAGTCTTTGGACCTGGTCGCCAAAAGCTCTGCATAGCATGCATTTGTAGGTGTCTTGTGTGGTGGTGTTCCCCTCCCCATATTATAAGTAATCAGGCCAATTTTATAATTTGAGGAGTGCATTGTTTCTTTAAATGAAAACTCTCTAATCACAAAACCAACTAGTGCTTATTCAGTTGGTCTTCATGTATATATCAATTCCCTTGCCTTCTACCTGTTCAATTCTCTGCCATTTAGGAGGTAAATCACTTTATGTATCCCTAGCCACACCTCCCTTGGCTGACACGCACTGACTTGCTGCACACTTCCTAAACAAAAAATAGCCAACTTTTTTTTTTTTTTTTTTTAACTTCCCTTATTCCACCATGTGTTTAATTTAGAAGTTCTCTTTTAATAGCCCGCATGTTTGATTAAAGGTTAGTTTGCAGGACACACTGTGCTGGATATGATTAGAAAATTTAAAAAACAAAACAATCATGCATACTGTGTGTCACAGCCAGGGGAAATGTGGCTAGGGCTGCATAAAATGAAAAACAAAGTTCAGATAAATGACATCAAATTCATAAATGTTTCAGGTGATGTGTAGTTCACGGTGTTTTCAAAGTTTACCTAATTGTTATTGCCATGAAATCCCCATATGTAGAAAACGTTTATGAAGATTGTAAAAAAAGTTTCCATGGGGAACTTGTCATTGCTCTGGGATTTACACAATTAACTACACCTTAAAAATCACCTATAACTCTTTTTAACCTGTTGTGTATATCTGTTTTGGGGTTTGTTTGTTTTTTGGGGTGGGGGTGGGGGGACTTGCTCCATATTAAATTATGTGCTCTTATTAATTACATTTTATAAAAAAGCTTAGAAAATGACCTCATAATCCATATCAGGCAAAGCAAAACCGTTAGAACAATGTTTGGGTTTCTCCACCTCAATTCTGTCTCCTCTCATCTTTATTCTTTCTTTTTGACTGCTTGGTGCAAGAAGCAGAGCTTAGACTAATAACTAAGATGGAGGCACCTCGTTGCCAAAGAGATATTGACGTTCAAACTTTGTATTACGAAGGCGTGAAAAATATAAAATAAAATTTTTCCATTGGAGTATAAGAATATATTTTAAAAACTACTTGGTAGATCATTGCCACAATAAAAATGCATATGTATTGATTGCTATATTAATTTACATTGAGTTATATCTAAATACAGTTTGCAAACACTACAGATCTCTTGTATGAATCCTTTGCAAACCCTCTACTTCTTACCCTGTCCAGACTTTCTGTGGTTGTCCAATCACAGACTTCCCACTACCGTTCAATGAGAAGTCTTTGCAAAGCAGGTGCTCTGAGCAATTGCTGGCTGACTAGTTTAGCTCCCCTAAAAGTGCCACTTTCTCTTGACACCGTGCACGTGAGTAAGATAAATTTAGTTGTTTTGAGTGTTTTTTTGGGGTATAGAGATAAGTAAAAGTAATAGTAAAAATAATCTGGGATGTGACCGTTCCCCCTTAAGGACACATGACATGTCTGACATGTCATGATTCCATTTTATTCCAGAAGCTTGGTCCTTAAGTGGTTAAAGAATGTTTGCGTGTAATTGAGTGTGGGTTTTTTTTTTGTTTTGTTGGGGGCAGGGGGGCCTGGGCAATATCCATCCCAATGTGTAATTGCAAATGCAAACAGATCACATGGTCTGCTTGAATATCAGGCATTGGAAAGTACTGTACCCAGTACAAAAGTGTAAATTGTGCTATAGTTTATACTTTACTTTCTGTCTACTGGAGTCAGTACTAGAACAATGGTCATGCATGCTGATGTAGCTAGAAGTCTGTGTTTTTGCTGTTGGATCCTTAACAGTGCGATATATATTTATATAGAATCTATCTCAAGGTATAGGTATAATGCTGAAGGATCCTGTCCTACATTAAAGGAAGGGGAGAGGGTTTTTGTTTTGTTTTTTTCTCCTTCAAAGAAAATAGATTTTTATATTTAATGAATTATGACGTATTGATGAAAAATATTAAAACCTATCTTTAATGATGTTTCTGCACAGACTGGGTATTTTGCCTTTCTAAAGTTTATAGATTGCTGGAATTGGCAATGTTTGGGACAAGTACAAGAATCTGTTAAGGAGATTTATTTTAATACTAGCAGTCCTACTTAAAGGACCACTATAGTGCTCTGAGGGTGCCCCCACCCTCAGGGTCCCCCTCCCTCCCGGCTCAGGAAAGGGGTTAAAACTTACCTTTTTCCAGCGCTGGGCGGAGAGCTCTCCTCTTCTCCTCCCCGTCGGCTAAATGCGCACACGCGGCAAGAGCTGCGCGCGCATTCGGCTGGTAACATAGGAAAGCATTCATAATGCTTTCCTATGGACGCTGGCGTGCTCTCACTGTGAAAATCACAGTGAGAAGCACGCAAGCGCCTCTAGTGGCTGTCAATGAGACAGCCACTAGAGGAAATAGGGGAAGGCTTAACCCATTCATAAACATAGCCGTTTCTCTGAAACGGCTATGTTTATGAAAAAATGGGTTAACCCTAGCTGGACCAGGCACCCAGACCACTTCATTCAGCTGAAGTGGTCTGGGTGCCTAGAGTGGTCCTTTAACCGAGCAAATTAACACCACTTTGCAAAGTAGAGTGTAGTTTGCTTAAATAAGTCATAATAAATAGGCTACTTTTTGTCAAGCCATTTTTTAGAAGCAAGAATTTTCTTTGGGCTCTACATAGCAACATTTTAGGTTTTATAACCGAGTAACATTTTGTTTAGGCTATATATAAAAAAAATTTCCCAGAAATAATTTGAAATCGGCAATATTAGATGTTAACCCCGGCTGCCCGAATTGTCCCACACGTGTATTTTGTTTCCCCAAACCCCTTTTCATGTATTATTTAATCATCTACCTCTGTGTCAGTCATCTCAATTGTCCTCATCCTGGCAGTGATGCTGCATCTCTGCTTTTTCCTGCCCTTTCTTCTCCACACAGGTCAGATCTTGTGCATACTTACTGTGTGCATGTCTGGAAAGTAAGATTATATTAGGCATGCATAGATACAAGAGACTCACGATCTGTGACCTCAAGGAACACAATGGAAAGCTAAGCATCATGTTGTGTTTTGGGGGGGTTGTGTTTTTTTTTTTTTGTTTTTTTTTTTTTACAAATGAAGTAAGCTTTACTTAAGCTCCACCTTTTTTCATGTTTTGTTAAAGTGAATAGAATGCAGACAAATAAGAGGGGAATCAAATGAGATGACAGAGCTACTTTTTTGTTAGGGGTGTGTCCAAGAGAAAATTAAAGGTGGATTCCAGTATTCTAATCGGCGATGGTTGAATATGCTATGTACGCACTATAATATTGATTTGGGATTTCTTTTTCTTTTTTTTTTGATTAACACAAAAATGGTGGTGGTTGTCTGGTATTGTTTAAGGACATCGTTTTCAGTACTCTATTATTTCGCTTATATTTAAAATCACAAAATTAAACCAGTGTTGATCTGTGTGGGATCTATATACTATTCTGATTTAAGGTTACTACTAGAAAGACTTGGAGTGGGAGAACAGTTATGGAATGACTTGCAGAATGTGTTAGGAGGGATAGGCTACTTTTTGTTAAGCCATTGTTTAGAAGCAACACTTTTGTTTGGGCTCTACAGAGCACCATTTTAGGTTTTATAGCAGAGCAACATTTTAGGTTTTATAGCAGAGCAACATTTTAGGTTTTATAGCAGAGCAACATTGTAGGTTTTAACAATTTTTTTCCCCCTTCTTTTTACAGTGAATGGTAGTATCTAGAAAGGGTATGTCCCTTCAGGAGAGAGGTGCCAATGTCCAGCCGGCTTAATAACAATCCAGGGGGGTCACTGCGACGTTCACAGAGGAACACTGCTGGGGCCCAGCCGCAAGAGGACACCACTGGAGGAAGGTGAGACATCAGTTTGCTCATTAAGATTCTCTTCCAAGTAGTGGAACCAACAACAACGAAGTTTACCTAACTTGTCTGAATGTTCTATAGACAAAAATTAGAAATCTACACCTGTCAAGCTCACTGGCGGACCCTAAATTCCACGTTGTGGTTCAAAATACAGTGTAAAACAACAAACATTTAGTTATTATTATTGACATTAACGGGACTCCATAAACACTATGCTCTATTGTAGTTTTTATAGTGTAATGAAGACATCGAGCAGTTGCAAAATTTAATACAGTATTTTTCTAATTTTAAAGGGACACTATAGTCACACAGACCACTTCAGCTCAATTAAGTGGTATGGGTGGCAGGTCTCTCGGGTTTTAACCCTTCAGATGCAAACCTAGCCGTTTCAGAGAAACGGCTATGTTTACATTTGTGGTTAATCCAGCCTCTAGTGGCAGTCTTCCGGACAGCCACTAGATGTGCATCTGCGACGCTGGATGCGAATTTCGCATCCATCGCACAGAGCGTCCATAGCAAAGCATTGAGAAATGCTTTCCTGTGGACTCTTTGAATGCGCGTGCGGCACTTGTCGTGCGTGCGCATTCCGCTCCACTAGGGGTCGGATGGGGAGGAGAGGTCACCAGCACTGAGGGAGTCTGGCGCTGGAATAAGGTAAGCTGCCGAAGGGGTTTTAACCCCTTCAGCGCCATGGGAGGGGGAACCTGAGGGTGGGGGCACACTCAGTGCCCTATGGTGTCAGGAAAACTTCTTTGTTTTCCTGACACTATAGTGATCCTTTAATAAATTCTCAGCAACCAATCTGCACCCCTCCTCTTATATCATTATGAAGAATTGTACCTATCAATAGAGGAAGCAGGATTCTCAGTAGATCTTGCGCATGTTCAGAAATACCGTAGCCTATTTAAAGTAATAAGTGTTGATTTTTCTTTCTGAAAGAATAGTTAGAAACTATTTTCTACTTCTGCATCATATATTATTTGACAATTTTTAATGGTAATAGAGGCTGTAGTTGGATTAAAAATATATATATATATATATATATATATATATATATATATATATATATATATATATATATATATATATATATATATATATATATATATATATAATTTTTTTTTCTCTACATAAAACTTTTTTTTTCACTAAATTTCATTTACTATTTATATAGTTTATAGATTAGATGTTGTAGTTAAAACCATCTCATTTTGGTATATAGCAACTGATCTTATCCCATAAGGAATGTCGTTTGAACAATTGGGATAATCTGATGACAGCCGCAATATGGCTGCTTTCTGTTTATACACAGACTGTTTCACAGTTGTGTGACCCAGTCTGGTTTTTTCTTTAGGAACGCTATGGACGCACATGCAGTGTGTGGACTAACAATGTCACAGCCTTCCTTATCATGCATGAGCTGCACACACAATTGGGAAATAATTGATACAAGCAACCCATAACATAAGTATTCCAGACTGCCTGATAAAAATCCATTGTGATTTGACTTTTAGCAGAAAGTGCTTTTTATGATCGTTGCCACTACAATCTGAATGGACTGAGTGCTGTAAATACCATACAATAATACATAGTGCTTATGGTATTTGGACTGACCCATTAAGGCATTATATGCTTGACAAATTTGTTTGGAATATAGGAGCCAGCTAAAAAAGTTAGGAGCCAGTCATTTTCAACGAGAGTGCAATTCTTAAAGGGACACTATAGTAACCAGAACCACTACAGCTTGATGTAGTTTTTCTGGTGTCTATAGCCTGTCCCTGCAGGCGTTTCTGTGTAAACACTGCCTTTTCTGTAAAAACGCAGAGTTTACATTGCTGCTTAGTAACACCTCTAGTGACAGTCATTCAGATGGCCACGAGAGTCCTGGGTCACTGCTGCACCACGTGCAGCACCCAGGTTCATTGTCTCCAAGCTCTGCATGGAGGCACTGAATGTTCCTCATAGAGATTGATTGATGTAATGCATCTCTAAAAGGAGATGCAGATTGGTACATTTGCTACGCATGCACAAAATCCTCCCAATGCTTTCTTAAGGGAAAGCATTGGCTTAGCTGAGATCATAAAGATTGATCATCTCAGCCATGACAAAACTGGCACGGCGTGGGAAAATGGGAAGAAAGGTGAGTAAAAACACCTTCCCCATGCGATCGGAGGGGAAGATACCTAAACGCACGCACACACTCTGACAGGCTCACTTACACACACACAAACTCTTGACAGGCTCTCACACACTCTTACACTGACAACAGGCTTGTACGCACACTCTGACAGGCTCTTTCTCACACACATTTTTGTTTTAATTGAAACCCACTCAGCCTCCCTAGCTTTTGGGAGAGCTGAGTGGCTCTTTCCTGGGGTCCAGTGGGGCTTCTCTCTTGCTGTGTGCAAAGGAGCAGTACTCTGCCTGTAGCTCCTCTCTGCTCCTTCGCGCTCTGTAATGATGCCGGGGCTGGAATGACATCATATTCCGGCTCCTGACATCATTAGACAGCGCGAGGGAGCAGAGAGCAGCTACAGAGTACTGCTCCCTCGCACGCTGCCCATAATGTTCCTGCGGCCAGCCGCATCCAATATTCCCCATGACGGCCGCCGTCAAAGCTCCCTCCCACACTAACTAGAGAGCTGGCAAATCTCAGATGCCAGGGCAAAATTTCTAATCACCGTGGCGATCTGGTGTCTAAGATTTGTCGAAACATGATATAGGCCATATAAAAAAATAAAATAAACCTGCTCACGTTTGATAGAAGGGGATTCCTGCTGCACAGTTCCGGAAACTCTAAGTAACAGTCCAGTCAGCGTACGCCATCTCAGTCCAGGGTTCCCAGATTTTTTTTCTCGAAATTTAAGCATAGAGTTCCTCACCAGTGCCGTCAGCTTATCTATAAGGTAGTTGTCTTTTTATGTTATCAATTACTGTTGAGATGGTTTGAGCCAGCCCAGAGCCAAGGCTCATCTAGCTGCTAAGGTTATCTTATGTAGAAGCTTTTGTTCTGGCCTAGTCCATCCACCAATAGACCTATTTACCAGGCACACCCATGGGTTCATAGTAGGTCTGCGGTGTAAAACCTGTTCTAAAACATCTCCCAATCTTTCCCAAAAGGATAGCATTTGAGGGCAATCCCACCACATATGCAGCTATGTGCTGCAGAGGCCAGTGCCTCTCCCACACACATTTGTTGGGGTCATACGGTACAGTTTCACAATATTTGAAGGTACTTAAAGTGACACTGTAGGCACCAAGAACACTTCAGCTAATTTAAGTTGTCTGGGTGAATTGTCCCTTTTGCATTTAGAGCTGCAATGTAAACATTGCAGTTTCTCTGAAACTGTGTTTAACATTGCAGCACTAAGTCTGCCCGCAGTTGCTGTCAACCAGACAGCCACTAGAGCGCTTCCTAAAAACAGACCTTTGGTACGGTGTCTGACGATGGACGTCCTCCCGTTCTGCATGAGGAGATCAGTGTCAGATTTTCCTCCCATAGGAAAGCATTGATTCAATCCTTTCCTATGGGGAGGTATAATGCAACTTTTCTGGGAAAAGGTACGTAAATAAGTATTTATTTTTTTAATAACCCTTTTTATTTACCCTGTGGGGAGGTGTGGGCGCAAGGGAGAGTTGGTGGGAGGGTGCTGTATTGCCTGGAATACAGCTTTGCACTCCTGGCACTTATAGTATCGCTTTAAATTTGCAGTTTTTGGAGTGAACTCTACCATGACTAGTAAGCGACTTATCCAGTTGTTATGCTCCTGGATAAGCAGTGCTTTATGACACATCGGGGATTCTGAACACTTGTTCATTTATCAGCTTTCTACTGTGGAGGAAAAAAAACAAATACAATTATAATATTGAAGAAAGAGTGAAAACATCAGAGGCTGGGAGGGAGGTACAGAGGGGCTGGACATGCGGTACAAATAAAAAATTAAAAGCACACCGTAAATAACTACCTACCCTTCACAATGCAGACATCCTGTAGGTAATAGCACTGCTTATCTGATAATATCAATCTTCTCTGTCCTTCTGTTTTATGTTGGCATTGATAATTTATACTGTCTTGGTTATCTGTCACATAAAAGGCAATTATTATTATTTTTGGAACTAGTGAACAAGGATCAAAAATTCCAATGCATTTCTAAAACTTGTACTTATTGCTTGTCCGGTATTTCACTTATGTGCAGTTTTATTTTTGTACATTAGTTGATTATTTCATCTGCACTTTCTACCTTTGCCTGTCAATTGTTCGTCTTGCTTAAAGTTAAAGCAAGACATGCTGTAAGCATCTGTTATGAGCATTGTAAGATGCACACTGTTCATCCCACTATAAAGAGCAGGACATATACGTATAATTAACCAAGCAAATCTTTTTAAACTATATGTAGAGAGGTCACCAGCATATAGATACAAGTAGAAAGGTCCAGGCCCTCCAAGAAATTGACTAGGCAAAATTTGATGAAACCCAACAGTCAGCAACGTTGCGATGCAATTAGTATTTTTACAAGTATATTTTGGAGAAACACAAAAAAAATTGAAGATGGAGAAACCCACGTACGATCTAAAAATTGGAAATGTAGAAGCAAGCGCATGGCGCCACTGGGCCCAAGATGGTAATGCTCTCGGGCGGCTGCTCCGATTTCTCTGAGGAGCTCTCGGACACAGAGGAGGATTTTCTGCCTGCTTCAGCGCCGAAGGCTTCAACATGTCTGGATGCCTTCCCGGTGTCTACCACGGTCCTGAAAGCCCTCCAAGAGTATCTGCAGAAAAATATACTAGCAGACATTATAGCGATCCGCAGTGACCTGCGGAGTCTAACAGGGCGCGTTGGAGCTCTAGAGAGTACCGCTAACTCAAGCACCCAGCAGACAGCTGTACTCCAGCAGGAGTTGCAGGAATTGAGGCCGCAAAACCTGTCACATGAATGCTGCCTTGCGGATCAAAACACCCGGCATAATAACCTTAAAATCAGGGGAGTCTCGGAGGAAGTCCCAGAGGTTGAACTACCACGCTGTCTGAGACCCTTTCTATCTGCCCTGCTGACCTCCGACAGGCCAAAGCAATTACCTTGGATGGAGTCTTTCGGATCCCCAAACCTGCCAAGGCACCGGCTGAGGCCTCCTGGGACCTAATCACCGTCCAAAATGGGAGAGACTAAGCGGCGGTCCTCACAGCCCTGAAGGTTAACTCTCCTTTCCAATTCGAGAATGTCGCTGACGATCTATAAAGCAACACTCGGGCCTGGAGAAGGTCACTGACCACTCACATCCATACTTCAAAAGCATGAAATCTGATACAGCTGGCGCATCTCCCGTTCACTCGTAGTGCAGAAAGGAAACACAGCGCATGTCATACAAGATCTCCAGAGTTCAGCAGCACTACTGAAAGACCTGGGTCTACCCCAAGACTCGCTTAGCCAGCCAGAGAATCACATGGCACCTCAAGCACCCCATACCGGGGACCCAGCTAGAAGTGCCCTGTTTATTCTGTGAAGGGGCACTCTGGACTCATACGTGGCTGTCACCACCTGAATGGGAACTCACACAGCCCATCGGGCACTGTTTTAATTGTTTAGTTTGACTTGCGTTAACATTCTGTTTACCTTACATTACAACACCAACGACTTAAAGGACCTCTAGGTCTCAAGCCCTGCTAATTCACCCAGGGCTGACAGCTCGCTTTAACTACCTACCGCCCCAAAGTAAAACAGGCCTAACAAAGGCCGCAAGTTAATCTTAATGGGAACACATACCAATCCACTAGCTGGGAGTTTGGCTCCTCCCTACCTTCTCACCAAGCGCTTTCCTCTTAGTGCTGAAGCCTATCAGATACATATCGCCTAATCTTCCCATGCCTGTGGACTGCTATTCCTATCTGCCCAGGCAATAAAAGGCTTGTAACCCACCAACTAGGGGTATGTGGACTCCATACGGAGAGCATAGGCACACTGACTACCTCGCCCACTTACACATGATAAAAGGGCCACCCTCCTGTTTAAACGGGATTCTTCTCGCAGTTACGCACTTATTACATTTCATTTTAATCAGTAGTATGATGCATGGGGCTGAATATTACTGGAGCCACGTGTGGCTATCTCCCAGCCATGCTGTTGTCTCGACCAGTCACTTAAACTGCATGTCCACGCCACCGTGGCAGCTTACACTCCCTTGTTGTTCTATTGTTTTATTTAGTTTTACTTTCCTTTAATTTTTACTGATATGTCTGATATACCTGTGACCGAACACTACTTGAGACGCCAACGGCATACCCAACGGTCCGCTTGCCTCTCTATTCTGTAATCCACAGGCTCGCTGCATACAGTCACTAGCTTGTGACAGAATAATTTGTGCTCACGTCTGCAGTGTTATTGTTGGAATTATTGGTTTCTTAAAACATAAAAATCCTGTGCGGTCACAGCCATGCTATTGTCTTGACATGTTGACTTACCAGTGCTTGTTCATGCCGTCCTGGCTGCGCAAGCTTATTTGTTATGCCTTGCACAACAAAAAATAAAGAATTAAAAAATAAAACATCGGAAACTATTACTTTACGGAGAGGGTAGTGGATGTATGGAATAGCCTTTCTGCTGAAATGGTAGAGGTTAAGCATGCGTGGGATATGCATAAGGCTATCCTAACTATAAGATAAGGCCAGAGACTAATGAAAGTATTTAGAAAATTGGGCAGACTAGATGGGCCAAATGGTTCTTATCTGTCGTCACATTCTATGTATAATAGCAGTGTTCCCTATTTTTGTTTACATTTTATGTAGCTGTGAAAATTGCAAACTGTATGCTTGCCAGTAGTTTGAAAAGGGATTTGTTCTAGAAATGTATATACCTGTATTCATATATATTTTTTTTTTTCTGACTGGGTTCTCTCTTGGTTTTTCAGCAACAGATCTCAGTTAGAGCAGGCAGAACATAAGGCCCCTAGCCTTCCTCAGAGCAGAAAATCTCTTTCTAAGACCCCTAAAGTGCAGTCTAAAACAGCTTCTGGCCAGTCCAGAGGATACAGCTCTAAAAGGTAATTTTGTTAACCGTTTTTTTTTTACTTTCTGTTTTTCCTTTTTTTATTTATATATAAAATTTCAATCTGTATCCTACATGCCAGCCCAAATCTACTTGTTGCTGGGCTCAAAGCTGTCTCTTAATGACTGATGGGGTTTTATGAAAAATTGCATGCATATCTTCAAATGAATGTTATTAAATAAAATAAAAAAAAGAACCATGAATGCAATTTCAGGTTTAATTTTACATACTACATTAAAAAAAAATCACTTTTTTTTTATTTTTATTTTTTTTAATTAAGGGGAAAGTTCTGTTTTGCTTATCCTGTGACACATTACACGTCACATATTAATTTTTTTTTTTTTTAATTTTCTTTTTGACATGGCCCTCTCTATAATGTTTGCAAATAGGTTCTTTGGTAAACCAAGATTTCACTGTATACTTTGCACCTTTTGCGTTAAGCTGATGAATAAATAAATGGCTTATGTTTTCAATTGGCAATGACTGCAAAACATACACAGAGTTGATGACTAGTATCATCTTGGGTAGGTATGTTTGTAATTTGCAGATTGTGCTGATACAGATGATTATTGCTTCTTTGTTCATAAGATTGCTATTGCAATGGATACTGTGCAAACAGCCATCTTTGTTCATTGGGAGGAATATATCCCATAATGTTCGGAGTTTTGGAATGTTAGAAGGGTCATTTAAGGCCTAGTGACAGCATGTTGGCATGGCTATAAAGGCACAAAAGTTCATGGAAAATTTAGGCATAACTTTGAATGTATTTGTTAGCAGTTTGGCTTGCACAATATATAGATGATATCTTGCCTGTACAGTGGCATAAGACCATAGTGTGCAACCGATCATGTCCGGTTTATCTTCACTTAAAATCATTACTAAGCAATGATTATATCACTTGAAGGAACACTCTAACACTATTAATCATATTATAGTGTTGGTGTAATTTTCAGCCTCTAGATTCAGGGCCCATCCTTTAGAAACATGGGGGAAAAAAATATTTTATCCAGACCATCCTGATCTTGTCACCAAAGCTGCTTCATCCGTATTAACAATCTTTTTCCAATCAGAGATTTCTTATAGTGAAGCATTGAGGACCTGCAGCACATGTGCACATTCTCATAGAAAAGCATTATTACAATGCTTCTCTGAGACACCTTTTCGAATGGCTTAATGAGGAATACCTCTAGCACTAGTAACTTGTTCTTACAAATGTAAACATTGCCGTTTCTAAGAAGGTACAGGGTCACTAAACCAAAACCACTACATTAAAATGTAATGCTTTTAGTGCTTAAAGTGTCACTTTAAAGCTATTCAATATTTTCAAAGTCATCAAAACAACTTTAGCCTAATGAAGCAGTTTTGGTGTGTAGATCATGCCTTTGCAGTCCCACTGCTCAATTCTCTGCCATTTAGGAGTTTAAACACTTTATGAACCCTAGTCACACATCCCTCATGTGATTTGCACAGCCTTCCTAAACACTTCCTGTAAAGAGTCATCTGAAGTGTATCCTTCCTTTATTGCAAGTTCTGTTTAATTTAGGTTTTCTTATCCCCTGCTATGTTAATAACTTGCTAGACCCTGCAAGAGCCTCCTGTATGTGATTAAAGTTCAATTTACAGAGAAAGTGATACAATTGTTTAAGGTAAATTACATCTGATTGAAAGTAAAACAATTTTTTTTTATTTTTCACACAGGCTGTCAGTCAGAGCCGGGGGAGGTTTGACAAGGGCTGCATAAACAAAGTGATTTAACTCCTAAATGGCAGTGAATTGAGCAGTGAAACCTGGGAGGCATGATCTATACTCTAAAACTGCTTAATTAAGCTAAAATTGTTTAGGTGACTATAGTGTTCTTTTAAGAGCTGCTATGATCTTTCTTTACCTACTTACCAGTGTTCTATAGGCTGCTGGGTGAAACACTAATGTAACACTCAAAAATACAAAATTAGCCCTGGCACTCAAACTCCCACCGCTCCTGGACTGCAGCGACGGCTATAGTATGATCAGCCCAAATGCATAGAACAAAAGCAAAGTTATCCCAATTTCCTACGCATATTTTTAAGAGGAGGTTTTGGTACTACTCCATTAGCCATTAAAGTGCAAGCTCGCCTACCCCACCAATGAGAGTTCTACACAACAATGCACTTTGCTGCTGTCCTGTTTATTTATTAGTGGTATCTATAAAGAGTCAACAGATTCCGCAGCGCTGTACAATTGGTGGAGAACATACAATATACACAGACAAATACAAAAGGTAGAGAGGGCTCTGCCTGTAAGCTGAGATCTAGCCATTTAAGCTCTTTTATACAAAGAGCATAGCTAGATAGCCAGTGAGCTTACAATCTAAAGGATACCATGGGGATTTGAGACAAGAGGTAGCAGGGGAAATCTGGAAGTGATGGCTAAAAAAGTAAACAGAGTTGCAGCTATTGGTTGAATATAGAGGGAATGAAGAGGTGTATGAGTGAGAATTTTAAACAGCTGGAGGAGCACGCTATAAATTTAAATTAGGGGGCGTGTGGGTGGGTTAAACCGAGTAGAATTGAAGAGGCTTGAGCAAAGATGGTATGGGACATGGGCCTAGGGAGAGAGTAGAGAAAAAACGTTATATCAAGGTATTTATAGCTCGGAGTAGCAAGCATGGGGGGAGCAGAGGTAGAGGACACAGTTGTGATCTAAAATTTAGAATTTTACCAATCAAATCCTAACGGCCAGATTATTACTTAATATATGTAGCTGCAAGTACAAGATACTACAGTAGTACACTATAGATAACAATGAAAACTATATTCTAAGTAATCTAGTGGCAAAGGTGATGGAAATCCTGTGGAGCATCTTCTGAATTTCAATGTGTACCTTAAAGATGTAAAAGGCAAACGTCTGGGAGAGAAAGGGTCTATTCCTAATTAGGGATCGACCGATATTTATTTTTTAGAGCCGATACCGATATTTGAACTTTCAGGGCGATAGCTGATAACTTGCCGATATTCTGTACATTTACAATTTAGAAAAAAATAAACCTTTCTACAGGTAAAGGCACAAAATATACATGCCACATGCAGTGCGTTTAGACAGGGGAGCTGCGTGTGTTTGTGTAGTGGATTCAGTGTGTATTTGTGTAGTGTGTATATAATGAATGCAGTGGGTGTTTGTGTTGTGTGTGTGTGTGGTGTGCGTATAGTGAATGCAGTGTGTGTGTTTCTGAAGTGATGTATTTCTGTAAAATGGGGGCATTTTATTTTTAATATTTGTTTTAATTTTATTTATTTTTGTCCCCCCTCCCTGCTTGTTACCTGGCCAGGGAGGGGGGCTATGGCATTCCCTGGTGGTCCAGTGGCGTGTACTTAGCAGTGGGGGTCACAACAAGCGATTACTTACCTTCCCTTCAGCTCCCTGTGTGCAGCACAGAGCGTTGCCATGGTAACCAGATGCAACGCTATGACGGCCGCGGGACTCGCGAGATTTACACAGGGAGCTGCTGGGAAGGTAACGGCTTGCTGCGGGCCCCCAGGACCGCCGGGCTTGTAATGGGCCTGGCGGTCCTGTTCTGTATTATCGGCAATATCAGTATCTTCATTGGCCGATACCGATCTGGCCGAAAATACATATCGGTAAAACCGATAATCGGTCGATCCCTATTCTTAATGAACTCCCCTACACACATCCCTTGGTAATATGAGACATATGGGTATGCATTTCCCCTTACTGTAACACCAACCCTCTAGACCAGTGGTTCCCCAACCAGTTCTCATGGGGTAAAAACACAAATTCTGGATAGTTGGTGGGCTGTTTTATTCCAATGGAGATCCTGACAAAACCTGGACTGGTTGATTTGTCTTGAGGAATGGTTTGAAACACTGCTTTAGACCCAACTCCCCAGGAGAACCACCTGTAGGAGATTCTCCTCTCATCTGTCAGATGGCTGTTAGACTATTGACATGTGAGTTGAGAACCTGATTTTCTTAGATTTTAACGGAAACCATAACGTTTGCTGACTAAGGAGGTTTTGATGTATAGATCAGACACCTGCAGTCTCTCTGCCATTTAGGAGTTAAATACATTTTGTTTTGTTTATGCATCCATAGCCACACCTTCCCCGGCTGTGACTCGCTCAATGAGCATGAAAACAAAATGGCTTTTTTTTTTTTTCTTCTTCTTCTTACAGGTATTATCATTTCAGAGGTACAGTGATTGGCTCATTCAATTATTCTTTATTTCCTCGTATTTTACACACACGCACATGTAAAAAAAAAAAAAATAATAATCTCTGGACAATATAACCCATGGTTAGATGGGGTAACTGAATAAAATGTGTGGGGATACAATTTTTTTTGTGTAAGAACTACAGATAAAAAAAAAGCATGTATAACACGCGAATAACAGTTTTATACATAAGAAAAAGGTACATGTACACAAAACTGAGGCAAATGTTACTAGACAGCCACTAGAGGGCACTTCCGTGTCCATAGCACAGGTTTTCGCTGTGTGAGGACCTCAAGCGTTGCTCAATTTTCAATTCTTTCCTATGGAGAGCTCTAATGAATGCCACGCACGCGCATTAGGTCTCCTCAGCCGCCGGGCGGGATCAGTCTCGCCCACCTGCTGACGTAATGACTGGGAGGAGCGTCGGCGACCCGAAACCACCACCGAGGGAAATCGGCAGGGGGCTCAGGTAAGTGACCTGAAGGGGTTTTCACCCCTTCAGCAACCGGAGATTGGGAGGTGGGAGGGAGAGGGGACCTGCAGTGCCAGGAAAACTGATTGTTTTCCTGGCCCTGGAGTGTCCCCTTAAGTATAAAATTGGAAACGCTTGTTTTGAAAGTCACTGTCCAGCTCCTAAAACATCTTTAAAGATGCCATGTAGCTTTTTAGTTTGCCCAGATTATTCTGTACCACCTATATAAAAGATCGCTAATTACATTTTTAGATTTAACCTTGCTCCACTCATGATGAATGTGTGTTAATAAGTTGTGTATTTATAACTTTTTTTTTTTTTTTTTTCTTCTTCTTCTTTTCCCTCTCCCCACCTACTCTACAGGGGTTGTAGCTCTTCTTCTGTTGTATTACCACAATCAGAGGATCCTGATCGGACAAACACGTCAGAAAGTGAAAGGCCTAAGAAAGAAAACCCGCGTGGTGTGAAACGTAGTGCTAGCCCTGATTATAGCCGGACCAACTCCCCCAGCTCTGCTAAGAAATCCAAAGCACTTCAGCACACTGAGCCCTCTGGAGGGACAAAGCGACCAAATAAACTCAAGAAAAGACAAGCCAGCCAGGAGCAACCTACTCCACTCACATCATTGCCGTCTACAAGCAAAGCCCACGGCAGGAAGGGTGGAGCCCCCGGCACCTCCCCGCTCCACAAAAGAAAAAGGACGGATAGCTCGTCTTGTGTGACTATCAGTAGCGCGGCCGTTTTATCGACCGGTGCAGAACACAGACCTCCAAAACCCTCCAAGCTGGCTTCAAAATCAGCCACCTCAGCCAAAGCTGGGTGTAGCACCATTACAGATTCTTCTTCTTCTGCCTCCACCTCTTCTTCCTCTTCCTCCGCTGTTGCCTCTGTCTCTTCTGCTGCAGGTGCCCGTGTGAAACAAGGAAAGGATCAGAATAAAGCCAGGCGCTCTCGCTCTGCTTCTAGCCCAAGCCCCAGGAGAAGTAGCCGGGAGAAGGAGCAGGCAAAAGCCAGCAGCTCCTCCAAGTTTGATTGGGCAGCTCGTTTCAGCCCTAAAGTCAGCTTCCCAAAAACAAAACTATCCCTTCCTGGGTCTTCCAAAGCTGAGACATCAAAACCTGGACCTTCAGGATTACAGGCTAAGCTCGCAAGTAAGTTAAATGCAAAATAAACACTCCTTTAAATAACCTAGCCATAAAGGGGGATTTTAAGCACCATAGCCACTACAGCTGAAAGGTTGACAAAATAAAAGCACACAGTCCAGCCTCTTATTCAGAAAATGCAGCCATTTTAATTCTGTGTTCTCTCCAAAGATGTCCACCCTTCAGTGCCAGTGGTTGGCTGCAAGCAATGGCCTTGCATGCACAAAGCCTATAATTGCTGTGTAACGTTTGACAGTTAATGGGAATGAAACTTCTATATTATGAGTAACAAGCAAAGAATCGGGCTTTGGGTTTCCTGAAGACCCTATTTTTGTTAAACGTCTCAAATAGTATAAGAGGCAAGTTGTGATATGACATCAGTAAGGTGACCAAGGCAAATGAAGGCCTGTGTGAACTCCTATCGCCAAAAATACACCTACACAAAATGTGTGCAGATGGCCCATGTAACCTTCTGCCTGACTAAACACACGTGCAGATATCAGACTTTGGGATCTACGGCCTGCGTGCATGCACACTGTGTTGTGTGCCGATGGCCTTGTTTGTCTGTGTAACCAACTGTTAAGTTTTCTCACCTAGGCACAAAATGTTATGGAAAACGTAGATGGAGTAGCACAAAAGTAACGGACAACTTTTTATTTGCCGTAAGAGTGTGGTTCATCTTTAAATTGCTTTAGGTGACATGTACTAGAATGAGGCCATGTGGCTGTTCAACTTTAAGAATAATTTATTGAGATAAGTAATGCTACGGGGCAGGGGGGGTGTTTCTGTTTTTTGGGCCACTTTGTGGCACATCTATGTTCAGGGCACACTGTCATCTTTTCAAGAAATGCTGTATGAATACATGCTTGCTCTAGCATTCCTTCAATAGTACAGTCAGGGCCCATGCACAGCAGGGATTCATTTAGTTGTCTGTGTCAAATCCATTATAATTTTTTAAATAGCTCTTACCCTGTGTAAATTCTCATGGAATTATTTACAAAACACTGAATTTTGTCCAGAAGGACAAATTACAGTGAAAACGACAGAATGCCGACCGCAGTGACAATTCTCATTATTATTTCTGGCATTTATATAGCACCAACATATTCCGCAGTGCATTACAATATTCTAAAAGGGGGAAATTTAACAATAAATGAGTCAAACACAATGTGTCAGGAACAGTAGTTTGAGGGCACTCTCATATTTACTAATGCCAAATACGGTTGGAATTCGGTCAGCCAGAGTGAATCTGCAGCAATCGAATGAATGCATTCAGTGTTCAGATTAAAATATGTGCCTTCACTGTCCTATAAAAAGTATAAGAATTGGAAAATTCACAAAGCGCCAATTTTGGAACTGAATTCATCCAGCATGCAAATAACCAAATTATCATTCACTTTCATCCAAACTAACAATTTTAGGTACTGTAATTATGTGGTGGCATGTCAGTGCTTCCCAACATCCACATTAAATAGTTTAAAATAAGTCTTATATGGCTCAGTAAGACACCCATACTGCACTAATGAAGGTTTAACTCTTCCCTATGCACCTTCCTGCCAAGTGGCAGGTGCGGGCTTGTCTACCATTAGGAGCCTGCCCAGCCTTTAGAAATGCGCCATGGGTAAAATGACAGGAGGGGTATAGTGTTGTTCCCCCACCTGGCCTTTTCAAAATAAGCAAGGGGAGTAGACCCATCCTCCCCCACTTGCAGCAGGTGGGGGCCCTAAATATAATATTCAGTAGAAGCACCTAAGGTTCTCCAACACAGTCAAGAGATATGCCAAGACCGTGTAAGGACTACTTATCGTAGCTTCACCTTTTGTCAAGCATAGGAGATGTACTACTGCCATAAAGTCCCTTTTCTTCTCAGCTGTCACTTGTGACAACTGTAGGGAGAAAGGCACGATCTATGGAGGATCCCACGTTCCTACAGGATCCTCCATAGACCTCTGTGTTGTAATTTGTGTGTGAGCTGTTTTGACAGGAGCTGAAGAGTACCTGCTAGAAGACCATGGCATCAGCTGTGAGGGGCAGGTTTAGGTAAGTAAATCGCACCCTGCAGCCACCTGACCGCCGTGGATCTTTTTAATTAAGAGCCGCTTTAATGAAAATAGAGATTACTTTGATCCATAAAAAGACATGGTTTATATAGTGTTCATTCTGTTACTTTGTTGTTTTAGTTTTTTTGTTTTTTTTATGATCTATTTCTGTAATAGTCTATATGTTGTGCTTCTTTTGTAGCTGGAGTTCAGCAAATAACCAAATACATTTACTTGGCTTCACATCCTAATGGTTACTTAGGCATGTAAAGGCTAAGAATGTAAAGATGGAAATTGAAACTGGTTTTATATTGTAGTTTATTTAGTTTGTATGAATTTGTAGTGGACAGACAACTATTCATATTGCAATAGAGATCTTTGGACCTCATGATCATCTCTCATGATCCTCTCTTGAATGGAGCTTAAATAGAAGTTTAGTTCAGCATTAGTTAAAGGGACACTATAGTCACCCAGACCACTTCATCTCATCGAAATGTTCTGAGTGCAATGCCCCTGTCACTTGTAGTCCTGCTATATAAATCATTTTTTATTTTTTTGCGACACTGCAATAATTACCTTGCAGGACTAAGACTTCCTCCAGTGGCTGTCAATTAGACACTGCATGAGGACATCCAACTTCAGTAAAATCCCCATGGGAAAGCAATGAAGCAGTGCTTTCCTATGGGTTTGGCCTGAAGCTCTCGCCGTGCATGGGATAATGTTTGAGGCTGAGTGATGACGCAGCGCCAAGGGACATCTGGTGAGTAAATATGTGGCTTTTGTTTTTTTTTTTTTTGTTTTATATACCCAGATTTGTTTTTCTCACACCAAAGTATCCCTTTAAATGTTAACTGTTAAATGTAAAATCTCTTAAGTTTGGAAAAATAGCACCTCAGAGGTAATAAAACATTATACAAATATATTCGGGCCCACTACAAACCATTATCTGGAAATCTATTCATAAACAGCTGGAAGAAAGATTTAATCTAAGGCAAAGAAAAGGGTTTTTATTTTATTTTTATTTTTTTACAGTAAGAGCAATAATGAATTCTCTGCCTGAAGAGGTGGTTTTATCCATACAGATGTTTAAACTGCAATTGGATAAATACTTGCAAAAACATAACATACAGGGATATAATTTCTAATTAGTGGGGTAATAGCTGCTTGATCCAAGGAGACATCTGGCTGCTATTTTGGGGTCAAGAAGGAATTTTTTCCTAGTTTGTTGCAAAATTGGTGCTTCAGACTAGGTTTTATTTGTGCTTTCTTTTGGATCAACAGCAAAAACATATATGTGAGGAAGGCTGAACTTGATGGACGCAAGTCTTTTTTCAGCTATGTAACTATGTAACTGGATGGAAATTGGTTTCCTTATTCCATTGATAACTGATCAATAACCATTAATGTAAATTTTGGATTGCAATTTTATTTCAGATTTGAGGAAGTCCACTAAAAAGCGAAGTGAGTCACCACCTGCTGAGCTCCCCAGCCTGAGGCGGAGCACACGCCAAAAGACCACGGGCTCCTGTGCTAGTACCAGGTACAAATATTGATGACTGGCCTCGATGCTCTTTTATTAGCCTGTATGTACCAGTGGCAGACTATTCCTGTTTGTGTATCTGTGCATAACGATACAGGAATTTAGGCCTTGTGTGGGAATCACTGGCTACAAATTTTACAAAATCTATCTTCTCCAAGCCAGGATCTTTTGAGTGAAATCCTTACTATTGGATTTTCTGGGGAAATCGTCTGTCTGGATTTTAAACCTGTTCATTTTTTCTCCTTGCAGTCGGCGAGGCTCTGGCCTGGGCAAGCGAGCAGCAGCTGAAGCTCGCCGACAGGAGAAGATGGCAGATCCTGATAACCAGGAGGGTGCAAATTCTTCTGCTGCTCGCACAGATGAAACTGCTCAGGGAGCTGCAGGTGAGTTCTAGTGGCAATAGCTGGCAAATCATGGAAATGGTTTACATTTTAAATCTTTGTGTTTCAATGTGGGGCAATTGTTGTGGTGTGTTTTTTTTTTTTTTTTTTTTTTTTTTATCTGTCTTAAGATGATTTCCACTTCATTGTTCTGCAGCAGAAGACATTTATATTTGTAAAACGACTTTTCCTGCAAATATATAAAATAGACAATCTAGTCCAAAGGTCATTTCACAAGCAATTGCATTTGTTACTGAGCTAGTTTTGATGTTGACCTGATAAGTATTAGGTTTTCTTTACACAAATTAACAACCTAAGGTGTGAGTTTACCTGTGCCTGCACTCTCCTATTTATTCTAGGGAAGTATTCCTTGCTGTATAGGGATCCACCACTAAAATAGCATGTTGTTTGGAGGGCAGCCGTTGCTACACTTTCAATGTATGCATGGCATAGTCTTCTTGCTATGGCATCACCGGCACTTCCTCTGCACTGGTTTATTTTAAAGTGCTTTTTATCTTTTTGCTTTTTAAAACTACATGTAAGTGATCATCTTGATTGTGTCTAAGGGTGTTAAGGTAATTTTTTCCTCCTCGACAAATGTTATTTCAGCACACAATAAAGGAGAAAATTTTATGTTAAGGATTTCAAATGTCATTATTCCAGTAATAACAATGAAGCATGGATTTCAGGTTTAACGAGAACACCTGGAGAAAGATTTGCATCTCTTCTCTTCCCTTCAGCTTCTAGCTCTGTGGCAGGTGCTGTGGGAATGACCACGTCTGGGGAAAGCGAGAGTGATGACTCTGAAATGGGACGTCTTCAAGGTAAATATATTGTTTCTGTAAATATATTGTGTTGCCTTCACCTGTGAAGGAAGGCAATGCTAAAGTTACAGTTGTCTAGATAAAGAATTATCGAATATCAAGACTGTGTAAGGTCTTGATACACAGCATGTTGTTTTCTGAATTTCTGGTAAGCCAAACAGGTAATTTGCTATTTTTACAATTATGTGGGTGTCTGAACCACCTATAGCCCTCATTGTATCATCTGCATGATCAACACATGTAGCATTTCTTACAACCTATACTGAACCAATCATCGTATGGTAGTGGTACAATTGTACAAGTGTTCTAGCAGTTGAGACTCCTCCTGTACTTTCTGATTTCATGTCCTCTGGTATCTAATAGGTATCTGGCACCTTTAGGAAAGCTTGACTTTTGGGCCAATCATTCTTGAGCTGGGGGTGCAGTAGGTGTGTAAAATAGATTCTTTGCCATTCTATAGCAATCCATTATGGGATTGTCCAGCAACATGGGTGTGAATTTGACTCCCATCCCTGTTTTTTTTTTTTTGTTTGTTTTTTAAATCTATAATTTAGAGGGCTATTCCTGCAAATAAAGCCAAGATGGGTCTGTCCCTAGACACTAAAATGTTTTTATTTTTTATGTAATTGAACAAGGCAGTTTATCAATTATTCATTATTTTACTTGTTTTTCAAAATTCCCCCAAGGTTTTAAAATTGTACGTCTTCTGAAACTGAGTAACCCCCATTTTGTTATGTACTCCCTTCCTTATTCATGCTGGGCAGTGACAAATCAAATGCTTTTTGTAGAGAAGCATTGTTAACTTATTTGGAAACTATGAAAATAGATATTGGTAATAAATAATTAAATACTTTTTCAAACTATATAAATAAAACGCTTGTTTTGTAATTCTGTTCCAAATTGTACTGAACTGTAAGGTGTTTTTTTTATTTTTTTTATTTCTTCTTGCTTAGTCTGACTTCATCTGACCTCATACATGATGCAACTTTGCACTAGCAGGCAGTTAACAGGGCCTGTGTCCCACATCCCCTTCTCTCCAGGAAGTGTAAAGGGAGACTGTGTGATGTGTGGCTGGGACTACATAACAGTGTTTTAATTCCTAAACAGCTGAGAATTGAGGAGTGAGACTTTAGGGTCATGATCTATACACTCAAACCACTTCAGCTAAAGTTGTTTTGGTGCTTAGACAGTTACTTTAATGAAACACTTAAAGCACGTTGACCCCTTTTCTCTCTACTAAAGTGTTTTTGCATTTTTTTTAAATTTTTTTTTTCTAGTTAATTTTTTAAAAATGTTGTATGCATAGCCACTTTTACATTTGAGCGCCAAACCTTTTTATTTTTTATTTTTTTTATTTTTTTGGTCTGTCTGGTCGGGGCACATATACATGTATTTTGAAATCTTGGCTAACCTCACATAATTGTGTTAAAACCAGTGAAGGTGTGTGCTAAAATTGATGAATGTTAAGACAAATTCAAGTATTAAGGGGTCACCATTTATTTATTTTTTCCAGTAAATACCAGCCCATCCACCCAGTTTGTAATCTTGCTTTATAGCATGACTCTTCACACGCATGAAGTTCCCTCTAACAACATTCTTAAATACTTCAGAACATTTTTCATATCCGCAGCCATCTTAAAGTGCTATGCACAAATGTCTTGTAAACTCTAGATTTTAATATTGCAAGCATGTGTTCCCAAGTTGTTGAGATCTGTCAAATTAATGTGTATTAAGATGATGTGGCGATCAACTCGAGTACCTTTGTCAAAGTCGACTATTGCCATTCTATTTAAAAATCTAAGCAAACTGAATCTTTGTCAAAAAGAACCGATATGGTGGAATTTATTATTGTGCATTCCTAAACATGTTTACTTTTAAAGTAATCCAGTACTTTATTGGTGGCTTAAGACGTGGAATTGGACCTATTCCAGGGTCTTGTATATATATTACACATTGACCCAATATTGTGTCCTACTTTATGTATTGCAAGAAAATAACTTGTAATAAAGACTGCCTTCATACAAAACTCACCCAAGACTTGTGTTTACTCATTTTACCCAGAACAATCTAATTTGTTTTGGCACACTTTAATTTCTCACTAAAAAGATTTGGGAAATATCAGTGTTCTTGACTTGTAAAGTGTGGTGGACAAAATTTCTTCTATAATTTTCTTTGATCACCTATAGGTAAATTTAAAAAAAAAAAAAAATATATAAATATATATATATATATATATATATATATATATATATATATATATATATATATATATATATATATAATTTTTTTTCAAAATGCAATGTAAAATTGTGTTTTTTTGTTGTTTTTTTTTTTGTTTTTTTTTTTCTGTATTATCAAATGGTGCAATTTTTAAGTTTATGGTTCTCATGCATAAGCTCATATTCCTTACCCACAGCATTACTGGAGGCACGTGGTCTTCCTCCTCACCTCTTTGGTCCCCTAGGACCTCGTATGTCCCAGCTGTTTCATAGAACCATCGGAAGTGGGGCAAGTAAGTATGACTAACCATGTGGTTCCCTATTCTTTTTATTATTTATAAAGCGCCAACAAATTCCACCGTGCTCTACCAAAAACCTATATGACGCACAAGATCAGAGGATGTTGAGGGACATGCTCATTCTTGAAACTTGATTGGTAAAAAGGTGTACTAATCTATGTATGTGCAAGATCTTTATAAATATTAAGTTGTGTACAAACAGAGTATTTTTCATCCGTATATTCCATAGAGCTACATTGCATTAAAGAATATAAATATATTGGTGCAGATTTGTTCTTGTGTACTGGTATACATGTATCTAATCTATGCGGGGTATACTATTTTCACTCTCCTGCTTGCAGCTGGCAAGTGGGAACCATGTTGCGTTTATAATGATACTCCGTATATTGGTGTAACTGGGTTTTCGGCAATAAAATGTACGCATATATTTTAAATTGAAGAAATGTAAGGAGAATCCGTGTCCATGTGGTTTGTTTTAACGAAGTACCATCTTCTACAGGCTCCAAGGCCCAGCAGCTCCTGCAGGGTCTCCAAGCCACAGATGAAAGTCAGCAACTCCAGGCTGTAATAGAAATGTGCCAGCTGCTAGTGATGGGAAATGAGGAGACTCTGGGAGGGTTCCCAGTAAAGAGCGTGGTGCCTGCTTTGGTAAGTAATTACCTTTCTCTGCCATTTGCACCTCTGATTTTCAAGTGATAACATACTTGTTTTGTTCAGGTAATTAAACAAGCTGCAAATTCTATCTTTGCAGATAACATTGTTGCAGATGGAGCACAACTTTGACATTGTAAGTTGTTTGTGGTTTTTTTTATAATTTAGGAATCTCAGATTATGGTTATTTTTCATATCTACTAGAGCATGGATAGGCAACCTTAGGCACTCCAGATGTTGTGGACTACATGCCCCATAATGATCGTACACCCGTAATGCTGGCAAGCATCATGGGAGGTGTAGTCGAAAACATCTGCAGTGCCGACGGTTGGCTATGCCTGTACCAGGGTATAATTTATGGCACCCTGTTGGATGGTTGCAGTTTTCTGTGATCTTGTTAATATGTTCATTAGGGAGACTAATGAACTCTAATCTTTTGAGCACTGACCTTAATCACCTTGGAATTTCCAGACTTTTTGCCATGAATTAGAGAAGTCACAGGTGCACTCATGTGCACCCCCCAAAAAATAATAATCACGGTTTAGTAAACTTAATACACATTAAAACTATACATACATACATGTAGCTGGTCACTAAACTAGCAATTAACACCTGGTGTTTGCTGTTCTTTACAGATGAACCATGCCTGTCGAGCCTTAACTTATATGATGGAGGCACTTCCTCGTTCCTCTGCTGTCGTCGTAGATGCCATCCCTGTATTTTTGGAGAAGGTAAGTGGCAAATTAAATATGTCCTAGAGGACACATTAACCATTCACTCCCATTAGAAATTTATATATTTTGACCTCTGTACACATCTCTTCCAGCTGCAAGTCATTCAGTGCATTGATGTAGCTGAACAGGCTCTCACTGCTCTGGAAATGCTATCGCGTAGACACAGCAAAGCCATTCTACAAGCTGTAAGTGCAATTCATAAACTGCTTTCCTCTAGTGTCTTTTTATTTTTTTTTATTTATTTTTTTCTTGTATATGGTGCCTTGCATTTTCTAATGTAAACGTTGGAAAAATCTGTAACTTTTTTTTTTTCCGCTCTTTCCTCCAGGGAGGGCTTGCCGATTGCCTCTTGTATCTAGAGTTCTTCAGTATCAATGCTCAGAGGAACGCATTAGCCATAGCAGCCAATTGCTGCCAGAGCATCAGTCCTGATGAGTTTCACTTTGTTGCTGATTCTCTACCATTGCTGACACAGAGGTTAACCCATCAGGTGAGCTTCACTCCCCATCCAGATTTTGACTGATCACTATACATGTTGAGTGTTCTCTCATCATCCGAAATGGTTAAGTACAGATTCAGGTATCATTTGGCGACTCATCAGATTGCTTATTACTCACCTAATCACTTGTTTTAATAACGCTCCACTGCAAGCAGAGCACATGTCCTCGAGAAACGGTCACTGGCTTTCATAGACTTTACTCCTATACATTTGTAACTGTGACATCTTCCACCTGTCTCCACTTATGCATCGGTCATGGCAGAAAATTGCATTGATATATTTAGTGTATATAATATGCAAATGTATTTATATGAATGTTATGAATTACATTGTGATTGTTAACTGTTTATGCTGTGGATAATAAGTTTGTGTTGAAAAATCTAAATTTATCCTATAATGGAAATAGTTCACCTGTCCCTCAGTAAGCCTTTTAGTTTACTATGCAATTGCGTATTTGCAGTGATTTTATTTTTTTAAATGGGTATTGACAGTAACAAATCTGTGCTTTCATTTTTTACATTTGGTTTTTGATATTCTTTCTCCATCATTGCACCAGGCTCTTTGTAGAACTGTTTATTTACTGATCATGTTGGTTTCACATCCTGTAGGTAGAGCAGTGGTTCTGTTACATAGTTGGATTTTTTTTAAAAGCAACATTACATTTTATAATCCCATTAGTTGAAGATCCTGTTTACTGCGTGACTGCTTTTGTTTATTTTGTGTATATTTGTCAGTTGGATATGTACAAAGTTCCATTAATTACAGAAGACTAAGCAAATATTCTATTTTACAGGATAAGAAGTCTGTGGAGAGCACTTGCCTTTGTTTTGCACGACTGGTGGATAATTTTCAGCATGAAGAGGTAATGCTTCATTAATGCTGTTTTTGTTTCTCCTAATTTTAAGTTGATTAAAAGCAAGTCTTCAGTTTGAGGGTATGGAATCTTGCTTCTTTACACGACTCACTGAAATAAGGTGTAAACATTTTGCAGTACCTACCGCCTCTTATTGAAAATAAAATACAGCGTATTCTCAGTATATTCTCTCTCCCTCGCTTGCTCGCTCCCTATTTTGGCCTAAAATTTGCCATTTCCCTGTGAATTCTTGGTATAGTGAATAACCCTGTATGTGTTTTATATAAAACTCTAGCTTGTTATAAGACATTCCTTAATCTTCCCAGGTTTTAGTATATGATTTACATAATGTCTACAAAGATGAAAATCTCACATTGTTGGTACTGCATTTTCTTTATACACTTTTGATATTCTGGGGAAAGGAGATACGTATATTCTCATGCAACCACAGTTTGTAGAAGGCCATGTTATGTTCCTCCTATATCTTTTTTAGTGATTTATTTATTTTTAATACTGCAATCGATTTTTGTCTCCAGAATCTACTGCAGCAAGTGGCTTCACGGGATCTGCTCACCAACATCCAGCAACTTTTGGTCGTGACACCACCTATCCTAAGCTCGGGCATGTTCATTATGGTGGTCCGCATGTTTTCTTTGATGTGTTCAAATTGCCCCATGTTGGCTGTGCAGCTCATGAAACAGAGTAAGTTCACGTCACTTGCTTTTAAAGAGAATGTTATTGAATAGCTTATATTTTCAAACTATTCTGTGTGACTTATTTTTTATAATACTCTGTAAAGATAACGTACACAATCCTATTGTGGCGTATCAAAGCAGTCAGGAAATTAACTCTCAAAGAGGTTACTCCGAGCACTATAACAACTTCATCTAAAGGTTCCAGGGGTTCTCTTACCTTAAGGGGTAAGTTTAACGAAAAAGTGTGCCTCAAACGCCAATCATCAGGTCTCCCAGCCGGCATCAGCTTTTGCATCTAAATTTCATAAAGCGCTGAGTGGCGCCCAGCAGGATTGCAACTGATTGGCTTAGAGAGGTCAACTGACTCTCTCAGCCAGTCCGTAACTCCCCATTTATAAAACTGGCTTGGAAGAACCGTACGGTTTCCTTTTAGATGAAGTTGTTATGGTGCCTAAACTATCTCTTTATTGACAAGGAAATTGGTTTGTTTGCCACTGTCAAATAAAACCGGCTTTTCTTAAATTAATTTTGTGTAGTTGTGCAGATTTTATGATATAGGTTTCACAACAAACACAAAAGTCGTTGGGATGTTGGAACACCATTCAGTAGGGCCATCTTTGGTTCAGGTTTTAACCACTGCAAGTTGGTGAGGGCTGCTACTCATTCATGGAACCATATCAAGGTCAGGATGATCTTGCGAACGGGAGTTCTTCCATTTGACAGAGAATGTGTATTGGTCAGTGAAAGCTAGACTTGGTTAGAATGGTTTATGGGCTAAACAACAATTACTATGACAATTAGAGTTGGAATATCATTATGGGTTTAAAGGGACTAAGCAGGCATGGGCTTGTTTATGGGTCCATGTCTCCTGGTGTTTCAGGAAAATTAGATCAAACACATGACTGTAATTTGGTAGTTATACCAGAATTGGAAAATCTGTAGAGCGTCGGCTAAAATAACCAGATTGTCAAACGGATTTCACATCGTTGCATAGTTAATTAACTAGGCTGTTTCCATAAATTGAGGAGTTAAAATGGAGTCTTTAAGTTTAATTTTGAAATTGGGAAAAACCACGTGAGCAAATTCAATGGCTTATTTGCAGTTTAATATACAACTCTCTTAATAATAAATTACAGAACCTTTGTGTTACATGACTCCTTTGCTCAGGCTTTTCTCTGCCCAATGGTTTTTGGGCATTATAAATCCGAACAAAAAAAATTCAAGACAAAGTTGTGCGAATTCATAACTTAGGGGCACTCCAGTTCCCTAACGCACTCTCCCCCGGCTGTCAGATAAGTGGTCCTGTTACTTCCTGGTTTGCTTCCTGGTGGAGCTAAGCTCAAGAGCATCTGCCTACAAAAACTTCTCATTGAGCTGCATTATGAAGTCTGATTAGTCAGATACAGAACCACTTGGCAGGGTTAGAAGGGGACAACTTGCAAGAGATCTGTAGCTTAAAGATGTTTATACATACACTGTCAACGAGGAAAAAAATGCATAATTAAATGCATGCATGTTTTCATTGGGTGGGGGGACACTATGGGAGAGGGGAGGAGGGGAAAGGACATGAAGGGACAGGGGAGGAGGAGGGGAAAGGACACGAAGGGAAGTTTTTTCATATTAGATTAAATTCATTAAAAAGTCTAATTAAATTATAGGAAAACTTTTTTTTTTTTTTTCCTGTGAGCAGTGTGATCTTGTTGAAACTTAAGCAAAGTTCAGTTTTTGTTGCGAAGTAAACTTGCCATTTGTCCATTGATGGAGTACAATGGATACAGTGAACATTAGGAGAGAGAAACTTAAAGAAAAAGACTGTGCCACTTTAACTAAAATTAAATTTTCACTTTCCTTGTTTTTAACGTTTTACTCTTTTTGCCTTCAAGGTCTTTTTGGGTATTTTATTTATTTTTACCATGAGAATGAAAGCAAAACTAGGTCTTATTCAGTAGCATTACGTTTCAAACATTTTTGTACTTAACACATTGGTTGTTCTTGTTTTTAGATATTGCGGAGACCTTGCATTTCCTTTTATGTGGGGCTTCTAATGGCAGCTGCCTGGAGCAAATTGATCTGGTCCCTCGAAGTCCACAAGAGCTATACGAGTTAACATCACTTATATGGTATGTATAGTACAGCCAGTATTGCAAATACTTATATTAAACTGTCTGGTTTTTGAGCGTGTTTGGATGTGACATTCTCACTAGTATAATTTTAAATGGCCACCACTAGACTATATGATAGTCAGAATGTTGCAATGACACCTAGTTATAGATGGGGAAAAAGACGCTATAAGTTATTAAACCTATAGCTTGCACAATGGCAATCAAAATTCACGGTCTCGTTCATTATAAAACAGGACTATTTTCTTATTGTTCATTAATATTTCCCAAAAATACCTTGTTTCTTGGAGGTCACCGATACCTATGGAAAGTATTTCTACATTTGGTAGGGTACCCCAGCATACTCTCCAGCAATAAATGCTTTCAGATCAGTTATTGTACATTTTCAACCCTATACCCTCTTTACGGGTGATAAATGGAAGACTTGTAGAGGCATGGATTCTTCGTTCTTAAGACTCCAACCTAATGGCTCCATTATCAATGTCAGTCATCCTTGGAAAGAATGAAAGATGTTTTGGATTTTAGATCCATTAATCTTAAAGTATCTTTAAGAAAAAAATGTAAGCTTTCTTCATATTCCCCTCGTTGATTTATTCCATATTGCGTTACATGGTGTATATTTAAATACCGTTGTACTTTTTTACAATGGTGAATTCTTTGTGAATTTTTTTTCAATTGATTAAGGAAGAAATTGTTGTGCTGCATGTGCCATTGTGTGTGTTTTGGTCTCACTGTCCCTGTGCTGTTGTTGGAATGACTGTGTCCTCCCATTGCTGGCTGTGCTATATTTTATGCAAGGACGATAGACTACAGTTTTGTGCTATTATGATGGGATGAGGTTGCAATGCTACCTGATGCTGCGGTCTGTCCTGCCTTGCATTGGTCCTTGTGTGGTTTTGCTGAACTGTGCTCTCTTGCAATGTTTAGGGCTTTATACAGCTGCCTGTGATGTCTTGCAATATTTGTGACCAGAGGTTGCTGTTATTTGGCTGGTGGATTTTATAAAGGAACACTAAATGCAGCCATACCATTTCATCGCATTGAATTTGTCTTGATGCAGTGTTCCTGTCCCCTTAACCCTGCAATGTAAAATCTTGCAGTTTCAGAGAAGCTGTAATGTTTATATTGCAGGGTTAAGACTGCCTTTAGTTGCTGTCTACCATACAGCCACTAGAGGCGCTTCCTGCAGTTTCTTGGAGTTTAACTCTGTGAAACACTGAATGTCCTTGTGCTTTATAGGCAACTTATGGGGAAAGCTTAAAGTAGCACTATAGGGTCATTAGAAAAATAGAAACATGGAATGTGACGGCAGATAAGAACCATTTGGCCTATCTAGTCTGCCCAATTTTCTAAATACTTTCATTAGTCCCTGGCCTTATCTTAAGTTTAGGATAGCCTTATGCCTATCCCACGCATGCTTAAACTCATTTACTGTGTTAACCTCTACCACTTCAGCTGGAAGGCTATTCCATGCATCCACTACCCTCTCAGTAAAGTAATACTTCCTGATATTATTTTTAAACCTTTGTCCTTCTAATTTAAGACTGTCCTCTTGTTGTGGTTTTTCTTCTTTTAAATATAGTCTCCTCCTTTACTGTGTTGATTTCCTTTATATATTTAAATGTTTCTATCATTTCCCCCGTCTCATCTTTCCTCCAAGCTATACATGTTAAGATCCTTTAACCTTTCCTGGTAAGTTTTATCCCGCAATCCATGAACCGGTTTAGTAGCCCTTCTCTGAACCCTCTCTACAGTATCAATATCCTTCTGAAGATACGGTCTCCAGTACTGTGTAAAATACTCCAAGTGAGGTCTCACCAGTGTTCTGTACAATGGCATGAACACTTCCCTCTTTCTACTGCTAATACCTCTCCCTATACAACCAAGCATTCTGAAAAAGGTCCCTCCCCTCCATCAGGGCCCCTCCTGCTGAGCTGAAGGGGTTAAAACCGCTTCAGCCACTTACCTTAATCCAGCACCGGGCTCCCTTGGTGCTGCTGACATCTCCTCTCCGTGCCGACGTCCGCTCTGAATGCGCATACGCGGCCATAGCCACGCGTGCATTACTCAGTGCTTTTCCTATGGAAGTCGGCGTCATCTCACTGTGATTTTCACACTGAGAATCGTGGAAGCGGCCTCTAGTGGCTGTCAGGGAGATGGCCACTAGCAGCTGGATTAACCCTCAATGTAAACCTAGCTGTTTACAAGGGGGACCTGGCACCCAGACTACTTCGTTGAGCTGAAGTGGTCTGGGTGCATATAGTGATCCTTTAATGTGCGCATTACTTCCCCCTGTTGCTTTTTATATCAAGTATTTTTGGATCTCTTAGCTTGGTTTATTTGCAACTGAAAGACTCTGCTGTTTGGAATATTTAGAACAGAATCTAACTGCTGCTTTTGCCATTTCAGTGAACTGATGCCGTGCTTACCGAAAGAAGGAATATTTGCTGTTGATACAATGTTAAAGAAGGGTAATGCTCAAAACACTGATGGAGCTATCTGGCAATGGAGAGATGATCGTGGTCTTTGGCACCCATACAGCCGAATAGATAGCCGCATTATCGAGGTAGCAGTTTTATCATCAGTGATTTAATGTCCTTTGTACTCTACATCTTTCAGAATTGAACTTAACCTAGCGATTTAGTGTGTGTGTGTTTTATAATTGTACATGTTATACACCTTTATCGCTATTGTAGAAATATTTAAGGTGGTTTCTATATTCATTCTCATTTAGATTATAATTTTACTAAAGCTACTTGAATGAAAGAGAAAACAGGAAAAAAATTGCGAATAATGTATATAATTTTAATAACTGACATAAGATTTCAACATTTATAGTACAGCATGTACATTTACTGAACCACACCTTGTTAACTTGTCTGTCTACTGAATGATGCATTACATCATGTTTAGGTATGCTGTTATGTAGTTTGTTTTTGTAGTTTTGTTATTTTTAGCTTTTGCACGTCTATGTAATTTGCTGTATCTGTTTGCCTTGGTTGCCCCCTCCCCTTCAATCCCACCTGTTGGCTGTCTATGGGTAGATGCATATATGCATTGTATAGCTTTGTATACATTTCTTCCTACATACCTTGCTGTCATGTTCTTCAAACATCTTGGAGATTTGTCAAAGCATAATTAAAAACGAATTAGTGCAACACCCTTAAAGTGAAGATATTACTATGGAATTTGTAGTAATGTTTTCATGTTGATTTCTTCATCTTTAGAACTTTGCCGCTTTTTATCTTTACAACAGAGATCTCCCCCTATCTTACCCAAACAGCTGTATTTTAACATCTGTGTAGATTAGCATTACTTATGACCGTTAGGCAATGTGTTGTCCTATATGGGTGCCAATTACCAGAGCCTAGATTATAAAAATGAGTTTATCACTTTCATGCCTGAGATTATCCTATTTTGTATGTATTTTTTTTTATATATATATAGTAAACATTAATATGGTAAGTTTTCTAAGAAAAAGGCCCTGTGTTATGGTGCTTGCCAAGTCTCTAGAAGTGGCCTGACTCTTGCCCATTGAGAAATGTCTCCCACTGTTCAGTAGCCCCAATTTATTAGGGCAGCTAAGGCATATTGTGCTGGGCTACTGAAACACTATGGAGACCAGCACAGCAGATATGAAAGCATGTCATAAGTGTTGCCATTTCTCTTTTGCCTGTGTCGCCATGGAATTTTATTAACTTTTTGTGTCTCATGGCCATTTAATTTAATTTAATCTACCAATTAATTTAATCAACCATTCAAGTTGAGAATTCTATTGCGGTTATTTTACCAGGAATTATTTTAAAGCATCTTAGAGCTGCTTGTGCCATTATTTCCTCCATAATATTGCTTTTTTTTTTTTTTTAGAATTGTATAATATGGTTGCTAACCTGAATTCACAGGCACAGAATTTCTTAATTTGATTTCACATAATAAAATCACAAAACACTTTAATGGTATGACCCATTGGATAGATTGGCATGTATATAGCATTGGTAACCCAGAGAGGACAAAACACAGTCTAACATTCTGCGTGACAAAGTCTTGGTGTTTCTATTCAAGGATTATCTCTCTGTTTTATATCTGTGTTCTCAGGCAGCCCATCAGGTTGGTGAGGATGAAATAAGTTTGTCTACACTGGGGCGTGTTTATACTATTGATTTTAATTCTATGCAGCAAATCAACGAGGATACCGGAACTGCACGCGCCATTCAGAGAAAACCTAATCCTTTAGCCAATGCTAACACTAGTAAGTATTCCACTTTTGCATTTAATCTCTTACTATGATATATATTATTTTTCATTTTGTAGGGTGAAAATCATCCAGTAGATATATTTATTTCTTTAGGGGTTTAATTTGATTAGATATTTATTTATTCCAATGTGTGTGTTTTGTATGTGTATATGCAGTTGATAACCACGTTCACTTATATCTGTTTTTGATGAGTTGCTTGACCCACTAGCATCAGTTTGGAAGTTTTGCAAGGCAGAGGAAAACCGAAAATGTGTTGGTGCTCATGGATTTTTAAACCTAATATTTCCCCTTAATTTTTTTCAGGCCAATACCCAAAACACTTTAAGCCTTTTGCATTATTAATTGTGCTTGTAATGTATACATTTTTATTATGATGCTTATCAATAATAAGTTGCAAAAAAAAAATCTGGACCAAACCATGTCAAATCTATCTAGTTGACACCTGGTATCGTCAGTTATTTAAAAAGGAAATTGGTTAAACCATATTCATTCACAAGCTCTTTTTATAAAGTAGGTTGCATTGAATTAATTAATGTATTCATTTTTTTTAAATGATGCAGATAACATTAAAAAAACTACTTTTAGTACATGAATAAGGTGAGTGGTGCAAATGTATGGTAGGGGAATGAATACAACAAACTAATCTTGATTGTATATTAAAAATCTATTCCCTGTGCACTTGGTCTTCTATGGAAATAAAGGAAGCTGTAATATAAGCAATGGCACGCAGCCCAGTGATCTCTCATAATATTGCGATGTCCCTCTTCTTAACAAGTGGTGTTCTCTGCAAGTATTTGGTTTCGACAGGTTTACTCTACAGCTGTTTTGCTGATGTGCAGAAATTCAGAGGATTCTGTGAATCTCTTAAAAGAAGTAATCCATAATCTTTTCTTTTGCCTCCTATAGGTGGACATTCTGAACTAAAAAGGGATGATGCCAGAGCGCAGCTGATGAAAGAGGACCCTGAGCTTGCCAAGTCTTTTATTAAGACCTTATTTGGTGTGCTGTATGAGGTGTACAGCTCTTCCGCCGGGCCTGCCGTTAGACACAAGTGCCTTAGAGCAATTCTTAGGATAATTTATTTTGCGGATGCTGAGCTCCTGAAAGATGTGTTGAAGAACCACGCAGTGTCCAGGTATTGTTTGGGCTGATATTTGTAAGACTGCCATTGTTAGGCGGCAGCTGTGTGGATGGGGAATCATCATTGTATGTAGGAGCGATGCATTTTGCTTGGTCTACCAGCCATTTTTTGAGTACTGTTAAGTGCATAGAGTTCCAGAAAATATCAAGCACAAATGTTTTAGCCTAATTATTTATTTATTTTATATTTTCTAGTCACATTGCGTCAATGCTGTCAAGTCAGGATCTCAAAATTGTAGTAGGAGCTCTTCAAATGGCAGAGATTTTAATGCAGAAGCTACCTGATATTTTCAGTGTGTACTTCAGAAGGGAAGGTACGTGATTTTACTTATTTATTGTTGATAACCCAATATTTGTTTTATGTATGTCTTAACATTGACGTTGATGAAATAGTTGCACGGTTCGTCTCATTAGCCATATATTTATATAAATTACTATATATGTATGTTTGCCATACATATATAGTACCCTTTCTGCATGAATTTTGCACATTTATTTGTTTGCCATCTGTTGAGGTGATTAGCCTCTTGTCTATCAGTCAGGTAAACAGGACACATTTTGTTTTCTCCCTGCCACAGGTGTAATGCACCAAGTAAAAAATTTGGCTGAGTCAGAAACTCTGTTAACAAGTCCACCAAAGGTTTGCACAAATGGCTCTGGCTCTCTGAGCAGCACAACGACCATAAGCACTGTAGCTGGAAGTGCAGCTGCTGACCTTGGGTCACCCAGCCTACAACACCGGGATGATTCACTTGACCTTAGTCCACAAGGGTGAGTGAAAATCTTTTTGATAGAGTTGGAAAATACCCACTGGTGCGCTTACTGCACCAACACTGTACAAATGTTATAAACAACATTAATTTAGCACCTCATTGACCAAATTAGCACAATATATTTTTCACTGTAATTCTTTTTAACATGTAAGCCAAAGAAATCCATGGCAATAGTACAATGACTGCTCCCACCAATCAGGAGGGTTTTATTTTAACACTTTGCTTTCACGACTTTAGACGGCTGAGTGATGTTTTGAAGAGGAAAAGACTGCCAAAACGTGGTCCGAGGAGGCCAAAGTGTTCCCCACCTCGTGATGAAGACAAAGTAGACAATCAAGGTGATATTTCTGTTCACTTATGACCAACTTTTATTTTTTATTTTATTTTTTCTAAACTGTTATGGACACATTTGTAGAATGTAAAACAGTCAAATGTGTTGAATCTTTACAAGACATACTAATAAAATTTGCTTAAACTTTTATTATATTAATGTGGCAACCTGAAACAATTTAAATCCACACTCAAGACAGGATTTCACTCTTCCTTCTTTGAATATTATGCAAGAATGCGTAAAAAATGAAATGAAATAAAGTATAATTTTCCTTTTATATCCTGTACAACAATCCCATGCTGTGCAGAATGTGCAAGGAGCGGTCGCCAAAGAAGTGACCAATGCCTCCTTTAATTTCTGTAAAACTCCTGCCCTAAATCCCATACGTTCGATAAAGAGCAACTCCAAGAAACCTTACTAGGTCCACAAACTCTGTTACTATTCTGCAGTTGAAAGCCCGCTACTTAACTATGAGCGAAAGGAATTGCATCATATAAAACAGTACTTTCAGAGCAGAAAAGAAAATTTCAATGTGGTAGTGAGCGTAAAGAAAGGAGTTTCTTTTTTTTTTTTTTCTTTTTTTTTTTTATCAATAACAAAGGAACATTAACATAACTATAATCTTTAACACCAGTTGTTCTATTTTTATATAGGTATTTTTTTTCACTGTAAATATTGTTTAGCTACGTATTAAACATAGGGTGCAATTTGCTAAATATACCTTTTCCGAAATGTATTATATTCAGCCCACTTAATTTTCATTGGGTTTTGGGGAATAAACTATTTCGATCTCAAGTCGGGAAATGAAAGTTGTGCAACCAGTCTAATAACAAATGTTTTGTCCATCCTCTTTGCTCTGATCGCTGTAAATATCAATGTTCAAAGGAACATTCCAGGCACCATAACAACTTTGGCTTAATGTGTATAGATCATGCCCCTGCTCTTTGTTTATGTTTATATAGCCCTAGCCACACCTCTCTTGCCTGTAACTGACACAGCCTGCATGAAAACAAAATGGTTTCATTTTCACTCAGATGCAACTTACTTTAAAAGTTTTTATTTCCTGCTCTGTAAAAGGAACTTTAACACAGGAGGCTCCTGCATGGTCTAGCAATCTATTAACAGAGCTGGAGATAAAGTGTAATTAATTAAATAGAATTTGCCATAAAGGAAATGTAAACATTGGTTGACTCAATACAGAAGTGTTTAGGAAGCCACAGGGACTACATAAACAAAGGGGTTAACTCCTAAATGGCAGAGAATTGTGCAGTGAGACTGCGGGGGCATGATCTGTGCACTAAAACTAATTAAGCTAAAGTGGTTTTGGTGACTATAGTCTCATTTTAAATAACCATTTACTGAAAAATATCTACTTCAGCTAGACTTTTTATAGTTTGGCCATAGCACAAAGTTTAATTCTGTATTTGTACACATGTTTGAATGTTAATGTCACATATATTATGACTTCTGTGCATATGAACTATTGCTTTAAGACTTTCTGGAATTACAGAATCTTTAACTTTTACTAGTCAGTTGCAAGCCTGTATGTGAGAATGCTTTCAATTATAGGTTATTTCTTCCTTTTTTTTGTATTTAGCCACTGACTTCTTTCCCCCTCCCTCCTGCTGTTCAGCAAAAAGTCCCACAACCACACAGTCCCCAAAATCCTCATTCCTGTCCAGCTTAAATCCAAAGACCTGGGGCAGGCTAAGCACGCAATCTAACAGCAACAATATTGAGCCTGCACGTACAGCAGGGGTCAGTGGATTGGCAAGGACAGCTTCCAAGGATACCATCTCCAACAACAGGTAAGATCGTTTTAGGTATTGGTCATTTCCTCTTTTTCTTTAAACTTTACATGTTGACAATGCGAGATATAAAGGGTATTGCCTATACAAGTCTCTCACTGTGGTCTTGGTATATTTTCTTTACATCTAGCAAGTATGGAAGATAGTTGCACTTTCAAATCCATTTTTGAAATGATTTCCACTTGTATGTATTCTCTGATACAACTAGATTTTTTTATTTTTGTTCTTGTTTTCATTTTAAAGAGAGAGAATCCGTGGATGGATAAAGGAGCAGGCTCACAAGTTTGTGGAACGATATTTTAACTCTGAGAACATGGATGGGAGTAACCCTGCTCTTAATGTGCTACAAAGACTTTGCAATGCCACCGAACAGCTCAATCTCCAGGTATGTTTTGCATACTATAGGAACAAACAAGTTGCTAATCTACCTCAGAAAATCATTAACCCCTTCAGGACCGGACTGATTTTGCGATGTTTGTACATTAAGGACCAGAGTTATTTAACACTTTGGTGTTTGTGTTTAGCTGTAATTTTCCGCTCTCTCATTTACTGTTCCGATACAAATTATATATTGTTGTACTTACTATTATTTTTATCATGTCATATAATTTAATTTTAAAGCAAATAATAAAATATGGTGAAAAATTAAAAAAAAAAAAAAAAATTTTTTGACTTCTACTTAAAAAATCTTTTACTGATCTACAAAATCGAATGAAACAAACGGCTAAATAGATAAAAAAATGTGTCCTGAGTTTAAAAACACCCAATGTTTACGTGTTTTTTTGCTTTTATTTGCAAGTTATAGGGCTATAAGTACAAGTAGGATATTGCTGTTTCAAAATGTACTTTTTTCAAATGTATCAATAGTGACATTGTAACACTGTTATGTCATAAATCTCAAAAAAACACCCCACATGTATATATTTTACTTAAACTAGATAACCCAGGGTATTCATCTAAGAATATATTGATACTTTCTATGCAGTCATTTTACCACAAACCTTTGCCAAACTTTGGATAGGTAGTTTATTTTTTTTATTTTTTTCACATACATTGCATTTCAGGTATAAATTCAGATTCTGTTAGGTGTCCCTGCCAAACACCCCAATATGTGTTCAGCAACATCTCCCGAGTACAGTGATACCACCCACGTATAGGTGTGTCGGCTTGCTGGGGGGCTAAAAGGACACATTTGGCAGGTGCTCATATCCATTTCCCAGCTTGGAATTTTGACATGTAGTCAACCTGCATGCATGTCCTATTTGGGACATTTTTGAAGCCAGCCAATGTATTTTACCCCCATCAAACCATATATTTTTGAAGAGTAGACACCCTAGGATATTTCACATGGTGGTATCTTAACACGTTTCATGCACTGAATTCTACCACCAGGCTTTGTCAAAGATTGAGTTAGTACATTTTTTTTTTTTTTTTTCACACACGTACTTTAGGCATGAATTAACAGATCCTGTTATGTGTTACTGCCAAACAACCCAATATGTTCAGCAACATCTCCCGAGTACAGTGATACCCCCTGTGTATAGGGTTGCTGGGTTGTTTGGGGGCCAAAAGGCAACAATCAGAATGTGTACATGTCAGTTTTTCAACTTGATATACAGGGAGTGCAGAATTATTAGGCAAGTTGTATTTTTGAGGATTAATTTTATTATTGAACAACAACCATGTTCTCAATGAACCCAAAAAACTCATTAATATCAAAGCTGAATATTTTTGGAAGTAGTTTTTAGTTTGTTTTTAGTTTTAGCTATGTTAGGGGGATATCTGTGTGTGCAGGTGACTATTACTGTGCATAATTATTAGGCAACTTAACAAAAAACAAATATATACCCATTTCAATTATTTATTATTACCAGTGAAACCAATATAACATCTCAACATTCACAAATATACATTTCTGAAATTCAAAAACAAAACAAAAACAAATCAGTGACCAATATAGCCACCTTTCTTTGCAAGGACACTCAAAAGCCTGCCATCCATGGATTCTGTCAGTGTTTTGATCTGTTCACCATCAACATTGCGTGCAGCAGCAACCACAGCCTCCCAGACACTGTTCAGAGAGGTGTACTGTTTTCCCTCCTTGTAAATCTCACATTTGATGATGGACCACAGGTTCTCAATGGGGTTCAGATCAGGTGAACAAGGAGGCCATGTCATTAGATTTTCTTCTTTTATACCCTTTCTTGCCAGCCACGCTGTGGAGTACTTGGACGCGTGTGATGGAGCATTGTCCTGCATGAAAATCATGTTTTTCTTGAAGGATGCAGACTTCTTCCTGTACCACTGCTTGAAGAAGGTGTCTTCCAGGAACTGGCAGTAGGACTGGGAGTTGAGCTTGACTCCATCCTCAACCCGAAAAGGCCCCACAAGCTCATCTTTGATGATACCAGCCCAAACCAGTACTCCACCTCCACCTTGCTGGCGTCTGAGTCGGACTGGAGCTCTCTGCCCTTTACCAATCCAGCCACGGGCCCGCTGGTTATGTGTTACTGCCAGAAAACTTGTTAGAGCAAATGTGGAGGTAGCAAATGTACATTTAGCAGCAATCTTTAAACTGACTCCTGCAAATAGAATCTAACTGGAGATTTGGGGGAAGGAAACTGACTATCAAAAAAACGGCTGCTTTCCAAAGAGACAAAAAATAAAATTAAAAATTCATGAACACTCTTACAACTGTTCTGTGTGGTACAGCTTGAAACCTGTTCCTACACACAGTCCTGGTTTCGAAGGGCTGTCTGTCCTTTCCCGTTTTTAAAACAGACCCGGCAATGTTTCGTGGGGGGGATTTCTAGCAGTTGGCGGTAGCTTAAAAATAAAATGCCTGTACTCAGCTTGCACCGTTGTTGGAATTTGTCCATCTCCATAAATTGTTAAAGAAATTTTCAACTGAAATTGAAGAAAGGTGGTTTTCCCTGGATTATTTTTTTAAAAAGCAAAAATGAGTTGTGGGTTGCTATTTGCATCAGATGGCCACCTTTTTATACCATGCTTTTGGTTTTTCGTAAAATAAGATATGGCTGCATCAGCTGATCAGCCAAATCAACACCCCCATGTACTTATTATACGCCCTGATGCAAACCGGTTTGGACTCTTCTCTGCCCCGGACAGAGACGTCTGACATGCGTTCGTCATGGATGGTGGTTAGCATGTTGACATCCTTTCTGTCCCTAAATTTTATTGCAAGCACTTCAGCTTTGCGAAGTGCTTTACATTCGCCTTTTTTTAATTTTGCATCTATGAGAGATCGTGGAAAGTCTTTGGAATTTTTTCTGGCAGACGGACACTGCTATAAAAATTATCCACATAAACAAACAAGGGGTTTAGTAAGTCCCATACAAGTTTCCCACTTGTCCCCAGGGAGTCAGGACAGCCAGGAGGGTCCAGTTGACCATCTTTCCCCTCATATACATGAAAGGCAAACGTGTATCCACTTTCACTTTCGCACAGTTTGTACAGTTTTATGCCATACCTAGAGCGCTTTGAGGGGATGTATTGTCTGAACCCTAATCTCCCTTTGTATTTCTTTAGAGATTCATCTATGGATACATTTTGTTGGGGGGTATAAACATCTGAAAATGGTCTAGCAGTGGGCGTATTTTATGAAGCCTATTGTATTGGGGGTTATCTCTAGGGTGACAGAGGGTATTGTCACTGAAATGTAAAAATCTCAGCAGTAATTCGTATCTGGCTCAAGGCATGGTTTGGGAGAATACTGGACTAGACATTATTGGGTTGGTGCTCCAGTATGAGCGAATCGATGGCTTCTTTATAATCCCCATGAGCATTGAAAGAGCACAGAATTTTTTAAGCTCTGGGACATCTGTGGGATGCCAGTCATGCTCCCTGACTGTATAGCTACCTGGATTGTTATCAATAAATTGGGTAGCGTACAAGTTAGTCTGGGAAGCAATCTCCTCCCATATGGTATCTCCTAAAAATTGTTCTACATACTGCATTGGGAAAAGCCATCCACTTTAACATTAATGCCTGCGTTGGCACTAAAAGGGGGGACGTTGGGCTAGGCTAACTGTGGAGGTACCCAGTCCTCCTCCACATTCGGCTTAGCAGAGGAAGCCCAGCTTCTTTCTTCAGCCGGCTCACGCACAGATGACATCTTGACTAGACGGGTCAGATAACTGACCTGGGTCAAAGTCTGACGTCAAGAAGGCATATGCCTCCTGCAAGTTATACATACGCTGCATGTTTTACACACGACTAAAACAAATTACAAACACACACTTTTTTTTCTTTCTTCTTTTTTTATTTTTTATTTTTTACTAAAACAGACTAACTCCTGTCACAAAAATCTAATGGAGATTTGGGGAAAGAAAACTGACTGACCAAGACACAGATTTTTAAAACAAATATAACCTTTTAAGGACAAAAAAAATAGACAGTACAAATGCACTGCTGTAACAGATCTGGCAGGGAAGGGGTTAAAAGGTGATTTATTTAAAAAAAAAAAAATACTGATACTTTCTGATGGTCACTGAGCATTGCTGCAACAAACTATCTCGGTCTCTCTCGCCTCACAAATAGCTACAGAGGAGAGAGGAGCAGAGATCACTGTCAAAGTCACAGATCGCTCACACGCCGCTATTGGCTGTTACTATCTGCCAGGGATGTCTGGCAGATAGTTAGTGTTACACCGGCGGGAGAGAACTTTTGATCGCTTCCCGCAGCCCGTTTTTCGCTATGACGGTCCTGAACCATCAGCGGTCCTGAAGGGGTTAACCTAATTCTTCAGAATGATGAGTAAACAAAATGGAGCACTGTGGGGATTTTTGGTTTTGTTTTTTTTTTTCCTCTTTCTCTTTTCTCTCACCCTTATTCTTTAAACTGAAAAATTTGGCTCCATTGTAGATCAAAAGACAAATTGGACATTATTTTAATCTCCGATATTTTGGTTGACTCTTTTCAGTTCTATTGTCTGTGTCAAATAAACCTTAAACTTTAGAAATATATAATTTTTTTTATATATATTTTTTTTAAATGTTTCACTTCTGACTAACCGATGAGCTGTGTTTAACACTCAAATCTAAAAGACCCTGATCGTTTCTCCCTACATTGGTCTTTGCGTGCTGATAAGAGTCAATGCTCTTTGTTAAATGCCATGGGGGGCATCTTCAACATTTGAATTCTGTGACTGCTATTAAAGTTGGTGTCATCCCATTTTATTTTTTGTATTTTCTTTTACACGTAATTTTAAATGGTTTATTTATACTTAATGATGTTATTTATACATATATGGTGTCAAAGGAAAGCTTTATCTGTTCCTTAATTTTTTTTTATTTTTTTTTTAAAGTATACAAGTGTGGGTGGATTTAATGAGAGGAAAATTACTTTTGAACATAAACATTCACAAGTACTTGCAGGGTACACGTTTCTATGAACCAAATCTGATGGAAAAACAGATAAAATAGTTGATCTTTAAAAGATTCTTGAACCCCACTATAGTCACAGCTTGGCTATTTTGCCTCCATTTTCCCCGTTTGGGATTAATTGGTGGAAATTCTATGCTTTATTGAATAACCCTGTAGGTATTGACTTAGTCCTTAACGCAACAGCAATAATGCGAGATTGTGAAAATTTAGTTATGAGGCCTGCACACTCAACACTCAAAAGTGGAACACTTTGGTTACCAGAAGCAAGCACATGTATGACATTAAATCAAAATCTCCTAGAAAGTCAGTAAATGTGTAGCAATTGCTTTGAATTTTTTTCACTAGGTCTCCTTTTAACTGCAGCTCCCCCATAAACAATGAACATATAATTATCCTAGATCTCTTGCATTAAACATGTTTAGTTTGTGTGTTTGCAATCTTGGCAGAGCATTTGAGTCTGCGGATTCCTAATGTTTTAGAAGTTTTTATTTAAAAAAAACAAAAAAATTCTTCCCCTTCCCCAGCTTCTATTATTCCACCTGCTCCTCCTTTCTTGCTTCTGTTTGTTTCACATTCTCACTTTTCACAATGTTTGCATTCTTCTCTTAGGTGGATGGTGGAGTTGAATGCCTTGTAGAAATACGAAGCATAGTGTCAGAGTCTGATGTGTCTTCATTTGAAATCCAGCACAGTGGGTTTGTGAAACAGCTGCTATTGTATCTCACATCAAAAAGTGAAAAAGACATAGTAAGCCGTGACATTCGTCTCAAGAGGTTCCTGCACGTTTTTTATGGTTCTCCTGTAAGTGTCTCAATACTGTGATGAAAAAAACAAAAATGATGCTGATCATTCACTGTCTGCATGGAAATAGATAATCTAAATGTTCAATGTTGAAGACCATTGAGTGGAATGGCATCCCAAATTTAAAAAAATAAATTCTGCACAGTTCTTTTAAAGGGACACTATAGTCACCTGAACAATCGCAGCTTAATGTAGTTGTTTTGGTGAGTATAGTATGTCCCTGCAGGCATTAATAGGGACATCTCCAGTGACAGTCACTTAGACTGCCACTAGATGTGCCTCCTGGGTCAGCGCTGCACAGTGATCTACATGGAGGCGTTGAACAGTCCCAATAGAGATGCATTGATTCAAAGCATCTCTATTCGGAGATGCCGATTGGCCAGCATGTCTTTCGTCTCTGCTTCTTGATCTGCCTCCGTGCTGAGATCATCACAATTGGCTATCTCAGCCAATACAATACCTTCCTATAGGAAAAAAGGCGGTTGGAGCCCGCACAGTAGACCTGCATGGCGCTGGAATAAAGGTGTTTTTAACCTATTTAATGGGGGGGTTTAACATTATAGGGTTACTGGTTACAACATTATAGGGTTAGGAATACATGTTTGTATTCCTGACCCTATAGTGCACCTGTAACATTTTCTACAAAAATATCATGTGTGTATATTTACTTGGAATTGCTTTGCATTTTATTCACACACATGCACACAACGTACGTTTTTTTTTTTTTGTTGTTTTTTTTTTATATTCTTTATTTTTTTCATTGCTTAGATTTAACATACACGCTTGTAACGCCACGATAGTGGGTACAAGCCAATGGAATAAAACATTGTACAGCATCATGGCAATCAATTTAACAGCACTTTTTTTTTTTTTTTTTTTTTGGCGATAGATTAAGGAACAATACGTTGAGACTAGATGTTAGGTTACAGTTAACAGTTGGTGCACTTTGCAATGGCATTTGGAGAGTTAATGTTGCTGACGTCTGATAGATTATCTTTAGCTTTAAAGTGAATCTGGGCTAACACATGAAGTCCCTTTTTTAAGCATTAATCTGGTACATGAAATATGACAGTGTTCTTTATGAGAGGAGTGATAGCAGGTCATGGAAGATAAGGAGAGAAGGCTTATACAGTATAGACATTATAGACCTATCGCTCTGACCTCCTAGATGCCATCAGCACCGCATAGGTAGATAAGTGCCTAACAATCCAGGCAGGGGTTAATGCATGTCAGTCACATATAATAGAATGCTTGAAATAAATGCAAGGCAGTAACTGAAATGGTGAATAACTAGTGAAAGTCCCAGTGATCCATAGTTTGCCACTCCTGCTGCTCCGGGCTTGAGTGGGAATACGGTTCACGCTTGTCCGGCTGTGTGTGTCTCTCCGATACTGGTATGCTGGTGCGGTTTAGTGTTTGCTGGGTCTTGAGGTTTCTCCCTCTGGAGGTGCATGTGCATCGGGGAGCTCCCCCTTGTGGCTCTCTGCCCGGTGTTGCGGTGATGAGCGTTGGTAGTCTTGTGTCTCAGGTAAGTGCCAGAGGGCCGGTCGGGACTCCGCCGCAGGTGCAAGCAGTGCGGTTTGGAGATTGCACGCGAGGTCAGGCCTGGGGTGGTAAGTATCAGGAGATGAGCCTTGCAGTGGGCTGTCGCCCTGCTCCTCTTTCACACGATTCTTGTGCCTGTCAGCAAGTTTGAGCCAAAAGTTGGCGAAGATTTCATCCAGGCGCCTCATTGATGTCTCCAGACTGCCATCACATGGCGTGTCCGCCATTTTAGTGGTGACTGTACGGGCTGTTGCAGCTGTCCCTTTAGTTTGATGAGTCGAAGAGTGAGTACCGGGATGTCCCTCACCTGCAGGGGGGGGGGGGAGGCCCCTTCACCTCTCCTTGCCCTGGCAAGATGCTCAGCAGGGAAATCGTCTGTTTCTCCTTAGCTGCCCCCACAGGTAGGCCTCAGAGCTGCAACGGGGTAAAACCACCACTCGAGCGGCTAAATGTGTCGCTGATTGTTTACAACCGGAGTTGTCTCGATTGCTTAAGGGATGAGTTGCTTTATTTTGCTCGGTTCTCTAATTTTGCAGGGAGCTCACACTAAGTGCGTCCGTCTAGCATGGCGGTCAAGCCCCGCCCCCCCCACAACGTACATTTCTAATGGAATAATATTGGGGTATTCAGCTAACAGAATTTTAGTGCTGTAAACTTTATTTTTCACAAAAAATAAATAAAAATTTCAGATGCTTATTGGAATTTTCCTAGAAAAGGAATGATCTATAAAAGTCATAAACTAATTTTTCATCACAGTTGCCTGGAGAAGAGCCACTTGGAAGACTGGAACCAACAGAAAATGGCAACTTACTGTCACTGATCCATAAGATGAACAACTGTCTAAGTCAGATGGAGCAGTTCCCAGTCAAAGTGCATGATTTTCCAAGCGGAAATGGGACAGGAAGCCGGTAAGAATATTGGAGAAGTAAAATGCTTTGAGTGGAATAACTTTGCTCTTGTATTTTAAATTTTTTGTTTTAATTTTGAATTCCTTTTATTTTAAACTGCCCAACTTTGACAGAGCCATCCGGCCAGAGCAGAGCACAATTTCCATTTCAAATATCCAAAGTCTCCAAATCCCTCATCCATCTGCGCAGCATATTAAAGTGCTCTTAAATATAAATGATATTTATAATAATGAAAATTAGGTTTTGCTTGAAAGAAAGCTGCATTCTCTGCACATTATACAAGTCTTTGAGTTCTCCTTTGATATGATCAGAGGAACATCTTTGTATCCTTGGTAGTTCAAATGTTGTGGCTGCATGTTTTTTTTTTTTCCTTTCTTTCGCTTGAATATAAATGGCATACTTGCTACAGTACTTGTTTGAGCCAATGCTTATTAGCACATTAAACTTTATGTAAATAGAGGCCACGTGCTGGGTGCAGTTTTTAATCTCAAAAAACAATCCATATTTGAGTAGTATGTCTTATAATATACATTCCTATGAATCCATTCAAAATGACCACTTCTACTTTGGAAAAGAACTGCCTGATTGTATTTCTGATAAAACTACTACTTTTGCAATTGTTTAAAAATGCCAGGTGAACTTTAGTGATTAACAATGAAAGTACATTGGCACTGGCAAGTTTGGATTTCCTGAAATGTATAATTTTAGTGCAAAATTGGTGCTCTGATTTGGCTATTTTCAGGCTGGCTGTTGTGGCCTTAAATTTCAAAATCATTTTGGATTTTTTTTTTTGACCACTCTCGTGAATGACCTTTTGATCGTAATCTTGCAGAACAAAGTTCAAAGGTTTCTTATCCAAAAGGTTCTGCACAATATAGAGAAATTTTCTCTTAAGCTCCACCATGCCAAGTTTAAGGGCACATTAACCCCTTAAGGACTGTCAAATGTACATGTTTTGATCAAAATAAAACGTAAACAAAACTTGGAATTTGATTAGGTCTGTTCAACCGTAATGTGATAAATTAAGATTATTTTTTGTTTGTTTTTGCATGACATTTTAACTGTGAATGTCATAATACTGTTTGCTTTTACTGCAATAAAATACACATTTTGTATTCCGCGATGTCACATGTAAAACAGTACCCTCTATGTACAGGTTTTATGGTGTTTTGGGAGATGTTACAAGGTCAAATATAGCATGTTAAATTTTTCAGTTTTTCACATTGAAATTCGTCAGATTGGTTACGTTGCCTTTGAGACCGTATGGTAGCCCAGAAATGAGAATTACCCCCATGCTGGCATTCCATTATATACTTTTCTATAACTTATTACAGGTTGCAAGGGGACTACCTGTCATTCCAGGCACTCCCTCTGCTGGCACTGCTATGGACGGCTATTCTGTCCATGTATTCGTGAGGTCCTCGCAAGGACCTCATGATCACATGGCCCAGGAGGGCCGGATCGGCAGCAGGGGTACTCCCTGGGATGCCAGGTAAGTTCTTCCCCACCCCCATCGCCGGTGAGCAGGTAAGTCCCCTAGACAGCGGGGACATACTATGCTGCCCGCTGGCCTTTAGAGCGGGGTCCCCAAGGATGGCATAGCACGCATACCATCCCTAAGCGGGTTAAAGGAACAGTGGTTTCCAAACATTCTCTTTAAGTGTTCCACAGACTGGAGCACACACTTATCCAACTGACAATGACTCTGTTTTATCTGGCAGCACACTCGCAGTACAATTATTTTGGGACAGGTTTCTGGCAGAGCAAAAACATTTAGGGATATGACAGGGTCTCTTCTATCTTTTTTTTTTTTTTTTTTGCTTGGTGTTCTGCTTCATTTTATATAACTTCTAAATTGTGTGCAGTGTTAACATTCGAATGAACAAATTAACCTGGTCTCTTTCTGCTGTTCTCCAGAGGATCCCAAGCACTGAAGTTTTTTAATACTCATCAGCTGAAGTGCCAGCTACAGAGACACCCAGATTGTACGAATGTTAAGCAGTGGAAAGGAGGACCTGTTAAAATAGACCCCTTGGCCCTTGTACAAGCAATTGAGAGATATTTAGTGGTCAGAGGTAAATATGATACAAAATTACCAATGCAACAAACCGTTAATTCATACACTGTTGGTATAGCTTTCTTTTGTGCGTGTTTTTTTTTTTTTTTTCTTTGTGGGTGGGATGTCTTATTTGTTTTGCGGTCACAGAGTAAACCATTGTTTTTCAAATGCTTTCATTTGCCATGTTCTTACTGAGAGCTTGTTTTTATTTTATTTTTTTGCTTTCCAGGTTATGGCAGAGTGAGAGAAGATGATGAGGATAGTGATGATGATGGCTCAGATGAAGAGATTGACGAGTCACTGGTATGAGGATTATATATGTGTCTTTAAATGTTTTCCATTTTTGAGATGTGACACATAAGGCAATTAAAAATAAATTAATAAAAATAAAAGCTTTTGCTCGGCAGGTATGAAAGATCCTATTTTCACATCACTCCTAAAAGCTAGATGTTTCTTCTGTCTCTGTTGAATTTGAATTTCACATATTTAGCATATTTAGCATATTTGGTGAAATGGCACAGTCAGCACAGTTTTCATTGCATTTGTCTGTAGACCATATTGAGAATGTAGTTTAACCACACTACAATTTTTGGCTGCAAATACCAGGCAGTATATGTAAATTGCCATTGCTGCTGAACACTTGTGCCTATATTACATGAGCTGATGTTTTGTACCATTTTACTTTAATGCATATTATAAAGTATTCTTAAAAGCTTGTGAAATTTGCAGCTAATCGTCTTGTGTGATCTGCTTGCTTTCTCCCAGCATTCCACTGTGCATTGGTAACCGATGATTTCAACTGTTTCTTGAATGCCCACTGTTCCACATGAAGCCAATGTTCATTGTAAAATGAACAGGTTTTAAAATGATCAGAACTAAATCAAGGGTTGTCTATTTTTTTTATATTTTTTTTTTGTCCCCGTCCCCCCCAAGGGCTCTATGAGCTGTGTGAATATGCGTGGCCTTTCATGTTTCTATTCGCACTATAAAGTGGTTTAATTCTGATTATAGCAAATGTTGTCTTAGTGACTTAACCGTTACATACCTTTCATTTTTCACCAGATGACTGACTCTGTAATTTCCTGTCTATGTTGTTTAAAATCCATGTCTGTAAAGTTGAGGCTTATAAATTCCACTCCTCTCAGTAAGTAGAGACTGGAATATGTATGCCTCTTCTAACTCCTGTACTTTCTAATCCCGTCCTTAAGGCTGCTCAGTTCTTAAATTCAGGAAACGTACGGCACCGGCTTCAGTTCTACATTGGAGATCACTTGCTTCCTTACAATATGACTGTGTATCAGGCTGTTCGGCAATACAGTATACAGACAGAAGAGGAGCGAGAGTCCACAGACGATGAGAGTAACCCCCTTGGCAGGGCTGGCATCTGGACAAAGACCCACACAATATGGTGAATGTCTATATTTTATGATTTGGAGTAACTGTTATAAAACAGACTTATTCACGAGATACTTTAAACTTGTGCTAAAATGTGGATGTTGTTAGGTACAAGCCTGTAAGAGAAGAAGAGGAGAGCACAAAGGACACAGTGGGGGGAAAGCGTGGTCGAGCCCAAACTGCACCAACTAAAACGTCTCCAAGGAATTCTAAGAAGCACGATGAGCTGTGGCACGGTATGTATGTGCTTTGAGAGGTCTACGATAAAATTCTTTCTCATTTGGTTTATTCTTTGTTAGATTTTCTAGTAGAAATGTCACATTAAATTATTTTAGTATTTTTTTAACATTAATTACTGGTCACCTTGACGGGTGGAGGATGGGTAAGGATTACATTTTGGATTAGAAGGTTCAGTCTTGTTTTAAACCAATTTTGTTAGTCTGACAAACTACCTACTGCTCTTGTGTTAAACAGTTTGCTAAAAATCTGTATGGTTTACCTTCATTAAAGGTATTTTTTTTTTCCCCTGCCCTGTAAACATGTCATTATTAGTATGTATATATGGGGATATAGTCTGAACTTACTGTGGTTACATTAACACAGGACCTCCGGTACTTGAGCTGTGAATCAGTATTAACCTTGTTTCTGATCTATTTTTGCAGATGGAATATGTCCGAAAGTTACAAACCCCTTAGAAATGTACCTCATCTCAGTACCTCCTGATAATATCACATTTGATGACCCATCCTTAGATGTGGTGATCTTGCTGCGGGTTCTGCACGCCATCAGTAGATATTGGTATTACTTGTATGATGTAAGTCCTGGTAATGAACTTGATACCACCAGCATGTTTTGTATTCTTCTGTGACTTCTCGTTGAGTAACGTTTTCTTATAAGACTCTCACATAATTACTTCTTTTTGTGTGCATATTTGCAAGGCAAGGAATATTGAAAACCATCTCAATAGGTCTTTCCATATTGATTACATGTCCCTGACCCCAATTCATCTAGAGGACACTGTCAATGTGTGTAGACAGTTACTTGGGATAGGACCATTATGCCATGCACTCCCTATTTGCACACTCTTTATGCATGTACATAATTGCTTTCTCATAAGTGCTTATGCACAGTCATCCTACACATTCACCCCTGCATGCACGATCTCTGCACAAATACACCCTGACATTCACACAGGCTAACATCGAGCATCCTTGCATGCGTGCAGTTACTCACTCCATGCTTGGGGGGAGGAAGGGGGGGGAGCCTTAACTTTGTCATGCTTGGTTTTTTTATGGTTTCGTTGCAGGTAACTTTGAGGACTGGCGGGTTGTTTAGAACTTGCAAATTTAAAACATGCTACCATAATCTGCACAATGACCATTCACCAGAAACTAAACTTTCATTTTGGATTTTCCTTCTAGAATGCAGTTTGCAAAGAGATAGTTCCCACGAGTGAGTTTATCAACAGCAAGTTAACTGCAAAGGCCAACAGGCAGCTGCAGGACCCTTTGGTCATAATGACAGGAAACATTCCTACCTGGTTAACAGAACTTGGTAAAACCTGGTAAGTTTATAAAGTATATTTTTTCCTGCTGAGATAGCCTAGTATGACTTATTACAGACGCGATGCTTCCATATGTATAGTTTCCATTAATTTTATATTGAAGAATCAATATTTGTGTTAAATACATAACTTAATTTGTACTTTTAGAGAAAAAAAATAAAATTATCTGATTTGGCTTTCACAATATTCATTTTGCTCCTGTAATTTAACAATAGGTGGAATAAAGCTTTTTGGGTGAACATTAATCTGGTAGCATTAGTGATTTTTTTTTATATATTTTTTTTAATTTATATATTTTTTGCTCTTGGTGTCGACCTACTATTTCATTTCTCCCAAAATGTAATAATTTCAACATAATTTATGCTCTTTTTTTTTTTTTTTTTCAGTCCATTTTTCTTCCCATTTGACACTCGGCAAATGTTGTTCTATGTAACCGCATTTGATAGAGACAGGGCTATGCAGAGACTGCTGGACACTAACCCAGAGATCAACCAGTCTGACTCTCAGGACAGCAGAGTTGCCCCAAGACTGGACAGGAAAAAGGTAGAGTTTACTAGTAAAGCTAAGATATACTCTTTTATGGATATTCCGGGTTCTTTCTAGCCAGTTAGTAATCGGTGTAGTTTTGGTCATTGTTCTAAGAACATTCCTTTTTTGTTCTGACGGAATATAGTGAATTGTTGGAGTGGCTTTATATTAGGGAAGACAAATTTAAAGGACATTAGGAAGGATTATACACCTATAAAAGGAACACTCCAAACACTATAACAAATTGACATTAAGTTATTTTGGTGTTAGGTCCCTGGTGCTGGCTCATATGTATTTATGTATGTATGAGCTTGCTGGTTGGCTTACATTGTCAACTAAGCCAAGCAGTGACATCCCTACCTGATGCTATCCAAGCCTTCCATTATCTAAGGTTTAGTATAGTGGGAGGGCAAAACTATACTGCTCAGGAACACAGCCTTGAGTGTTAAAACCTTTCTGATTGTTGAACCGGTAAAAGTGAGCCAGCATCATTGACATTCTGCCACCATAACAACCTAATTTCAATTAGGTTGATATGGTGCCCAAACTTGTTCTTTAAGTATTCTTTCTTTACCCTTTTTTTGGGTCTTCCTCCATCTATGTTCTAAAGGGGTTCTGTTATTTTCCCTACTTAGATTATATAGTACTTTTAAGCTACTCTTCCCTCTTAACACTTAAAGGGAAACTCCAGTGCCAGGAAAACAATCCGTTTTTCCTGGCACTGCAAGTCCCCTCTCCCTCCCACCCCCCAATCCCCGGTTGCTGAAGGGGTGAAAACCCCTTCAGTCACTTACCACAGGCAGCGACTATGTCCCACGTCGCTGCTTCTTCCGCCGCTGCCACTCCTCCCAGTGATTGTGTCGGCCGGTGGGCGAGACTGATCCTGCCCACCGGCCGGGGAGACCTAATGCGCATGCACATTAGAACTCCCCATAGGAAAGCATTGAAAATGCTTTTCAATGCTTTCCTATGGGGAAATGAGCGACGCTGGAGGTCCTTACCCAGCATGAGGACTCCCAGCGACGCTGTAGCACAGGTTTCCTGTGCTAGGGACACGGAAGTGCCCTCTAGTGAACAGCCACTAGAGGTGGAGTTAACACTGCAAGGTTTTTAAAAAAAACTGCAATAATTACACTTGCAGGGCTAAGAGTAGTGGGAGTTGGCACCCAGACCACTCCAATGGTGTAGAAGTGGTCTGGGTGCCTGGAGTGTCCCTTTTAAGGAAGGACAATAATGCCCTCCAATAGTTATTAAATGGCATTAAGATCCCTTGATTATTCCAGGAATTATGACATTAGCCACATCTAATATTTAGAGAAACAACAAAGCCTCCTGAAAATGAAAGAAGAAAAAAAATCACACAGTTTTCACAGGAGAAAAAGGAAATAATGCAATTGTGTATACAACCTATTATTTAGCACTTTAACCCCTTAAGGGCACATGACATGTGTGGCATGTCATGATTCCCTTTTATTCCAGAAGTTTGGTCCTTAAGGCGTTAAACGTATTACTAGTATGTTGAGCAAGTGAAAGATCTGTTAAACCTAGGAAAGGACAGAAAACACATATGTATTAGGATGGTTTACATTGATTGTGTTTATAAACGAATCTCCTTTGGTTTCCTCAGCGCACTGTGAACAGAGATGAGCTTCTAAAGCAGGCAGAGTCTGTGATGCAAGATCTAGGGAGCTCCCGGGCCATGTTGGAGATCCAGTATGAAAATGAAGTGAGTGTTTTATTTTACCTTTTATTATGGAATTTATCAGATTTACACAGGGAGCCTTACATGTGTATATTTAAGTGTCTTTTTTACCATAATTTGCAAAGACCCCAGATGGCTATTGCTCTGCTGGGTGTCCGGTGGTCGCAGAGGAAGGGGAGTTATACTTACCTGTGCCTCGCAGTATTTGTTTTTTAATGAAACGTGGCACTTTTTTTTTTTTTAATTTATTTGTATTTCATAAGATTTTCTGTTCTGTAGTACTAATGATGGTGGGAGGTTTACTGTTCTGCTTTAAGCTATTAAGGCACAATGAGTCGAAATCGAACTGTGTTGATTGTGTTATGGTGTGATGTGTTATTACAATTCCCTTTCTTCATCCATCTCAGGTTGGGACAGGATTAGGGCCCACTTTGGAGTTTTATGCACTTGTATCTCAGGAATTACAAAAAGCTGACCTCGGCTTGTGGAGAGGTGAAGAAATAACACTTCCTAATCCAAAAGGTATCCCATCTTTCTTGATGGTTTAATTTTTTTTTTAAATTAAGGCAGATTGACAAAATACTTTACGGTGTTGCTGCTGATTACTATATATTACTGTGGTGATAAGTGCTTTTATATATAAATTGTAATAAGATGTATAAACCCTACGATCTTGCAGTGTTTAAAAGTGTGCTTTACAGAGCCTTCAGAAAACTCTACCTTCTTTGGAACAAGAACTGCACACACAATTCTTAGAATTAAAGTAACTGCTTTCACAAAAAAGACCAGTTGTAGACCTATAACTGGAGCCTGTTATAGTCCAACAAGTTGAAGTTCTTTGTTGGCTTAATGGTCGGTGTTATGTATTATACAGCTACAGCAATGTTCCGGTACATGTTTGTTGGCAGGAGACTGTGAAATCTGCACCTCCTGAAGTACAGATATTTTTGCTACATTGCCTGTCACCAGTAACCACCAATGCTGGACAAGATAATGCAAGGTGGAGGGCACATCTCACTGCCCCATTCTTGCTTTTACCCAATCCAAATATCTTCTTGAACATTTCCTAAAAACATTGTGAGCTGTGTGTCAGGGGAGCTGTGGTTCGGCTGCATCAACCGAAACAAGTTATTTAAAGGACCACTATAACTTTAGGAATATTTCTAATGCTATATAGTGTCCCTATTGCTGGGTTTAAAATAAACTTGCAGTGAGCTGGTCTTCATGCTGCCTTTTCACATCCCTGACTTATTATTATTTTATTATTTGTATAGCGCTGTACAATGGGTGGACTAACAGACATGTAATTGTAACCAGACAACTGGACGTACAGGAACAGAGGGGTGGAGGGCCCTGCTCCATTATACTTGATCTCCGCTAATTCAAAGCTTCCGTGTAGGAAACCATTCGGAGGCTGATGTGCATGCCCGCCAAAATAGCAGGCCATTTCAAGGATTTAAAAGACTTTGAGATTAGGTGGGCTGGGTGCCTGTAGTGTTCCCTTAACTCTTAAATGGTAGGTAATAGAGCAGTGAGACTGCAGGGGCATGATCGGTACACAAAAGCCACTTAATTAAGCTGAAGTTTTTTTGGTGCTTAGTGTCCCTTTAATTAGGAAATCCAAGAAGTATGTACTGTAAGCTGAGCCATCTGCTGCGGTATAATGCACATTTGTGATGTACAGATTCATGTGTGTAATTATTTTTAATCATTTTTAGGAAACCAAGAAGGGACCAAGTATATTCACAGTCTGCAAGGTCTGTTCGCTCTTCCTTTTGGCAGGACAGCAAAGCCAGCACATATTGCTAAGGTCAAGATGAAGTTTCGGTTCCTTGGCAAACTTATGGCTAAAGCAATCATGGACTTCAGACTGGTGAGACCTGTATTTATATGTAAAAACATAAGTAATTACTTGAACTTTATTTTTTGTGAGAACTTGTTCTATGGTAATGCTGGCGCAAGATAATTTAGGCATTCAAATTTCAGAAGCCTTTCAGGAAACCATATTAGTGGGAAAACAACATTGTCAGGATTTCCAGTAGTTCGAACTACAGATTTGTTTACTCATTTAAGACTATTTTACAGCAAACCTAAAAAGAGACAGTGTACACATACAATCAAGAAATATTACTAGCGGTGTTAAAAAATGCTTGCACAGATTAGGATATAATTTCTTTTTAATGCAGATCTGAAAGCATAAACCTACCTTCTATAAAATGTGTTAATTATCCCGATCATTCAAACCTCTGTAAGCATTTGTTAAACTACTCTATTACACATGGACACGTTTGCTTTTTGGATTTTCCTTAAATTAACTTTTTAAATTACACAAAGTAGGTTAAAAAGTGTTTTAATTATTCCCTGTAACTTTGTTTTTATTGTACTATATTCTTTACTGAAAGTGTGAAATCGTCATAAGCACTTTTATTACCTTTATTTTATTGCCAAGTAATGGACTAACACTGAGCTGTTGTCATTCAGCAAGTGTTCACAATGGAGGAATCAGAGTTTGTTCTTATTTACAATTATATTGCATTTGACTTTTTTTTTAATGAATAAAAGCATTTCATCAACCTGATTTTCATATTAACAGCTCATAACTATAGACCATGATCAATCGGTTTTTAGTACTTTGTGGAGATGACTTTTTTTTTATAATTTTTTTTTTTTATATATATATATATAATTATTTTTTGCAACATTGTATCTTGGTCTCGAATTGGAATGTATTTGAGTGAAAACATTCAGAGAACTAGCAAATATTTAAGCTCTCCATCTGTATGCAAAGAGACCATAAAGATGCTACATTTATGGAGGCATGAGAGATCCTGGGGGGCTAGATGGTGGTTTTAACACTATAAGATAAGGAATACATGTTTGTGTTCCTGACCCTATACGATCCTTTAAGTATCTTTACTTGTCACTCCTTTTGTGTATCTGTATATATTGTGAGTTACATGCTCTAGCATTTCATAAATCTTCCCTGTGATCTTCAAGTACAATAAAACTGCAGTGTGATCCTTGTTGTTTCACCAAATAACTTCTTTGGAGCAATGGGGAATAAGAATGTCTGGATGAAGAGCTTGCTTATATGCCTTAAAACCTTCAATTATTAGGAAGTAAGACATGCTTAAATTGCAGAAAATTAAACCCCATGGTTTTCCACTGGTGTTCCGTTAGTACATTGTGTATCAATGTAATGTTTTGTGGACCCAGGACATACTTGAAAACGAGAGAAATCTCAGTGTATCTTTCCTGAAATGTATCTTTGCAGAAAATGAAACCCCATGCTTTTACACTGGTGTTCAGTTAGTACGTTGTGATAAATACTAGCACTGCCTTTCTTTTCTAATGAAAAGGAATCAACAGAAGTTAAGAGAAACAAAACAAACTTAAAAACTGCACATAGATCTTTAATTTCAAAAAAGAAAACCAAAGAAAGTGGGTTTAAAAACTGGAAGAACGCGTTTTTTAAATTTTTTTTAATTTTTTTTTTTTTTTTTTTTTTTGTCTTGTTAAATCACAAACATGTTAGAATTATGTGCTCCCTACATTTTGATATTACAATCTTGACTGTGTACAACCTTTTAGAAATGTATTATCCCCACAGGTGGACATTCCTCTTGGGCTCCCTTTCTATAAGTGGATGTTACGGCAGGAAAGCTCCCTTGCTTCGCACGACTTACTTAACATTGATCCTGTTGTGGCCAAGTCTGTTTATCACCTGGAGGATATTGTGAGGCAGAAAAGGAGGCTAGAACAGGATAAAGCACAGGTTAGAGAGTTTGACTTTTTATTTTACACGTTTGCATGAAGAATGGTTTGTTCTAAAGGTAAATGCAACCTTTCACTATGTATTTAGTTGATCTGAACTCGTAAATACAAATGGCAGTTTATGGAAAGAAGGTAAATAATATAAACATGTGTGGTTGCATAAAGCCTGCTCATTCCAGGGTTTAAATATAAAGCTCCAATCAATTGGCTGATCAACACACTGTAAATTACTCTCCTCTGATTACTTTTGTCCTTTATATAGCGCCAACAGATTCCATAGCGCTTTACAATATAATAAGAGGTGGGGATTTAACTATAAATAGGACAATCTTGTGCAGCTCTGCATATACACGCAAAAATTGTATATACTTTGTCACATTGCTTCGCATTGGCAGCAGTGCCTGGACCACAACGGTCATTTGGGGGGGAGGGGAGGGAGGGAAAATCATATCTGTACATCTGTGTATACATTTGATTTAAGACACACTATATTTGTATGTGATCGTATTTTTTTGTTTTTGTTCCACGAACACCCATTAAACTACTCTAATTTATCATTGTAACATTATTGTGGTTTATTAGTGATACAAATCTTAACTCTTCACAGACCAAAGAGAGTCTGCAATTTGCACTTGAGAGTCTGAATATGAACGGCTGCTCTGTTGAAGATCTGGGATTGGATTTTACATTGCCTGGCTTCCCAAATATTGAGTTAAAAAAAGGAGGAAAGGATGTTCCTGTCACCATTCACAACCTGGACGAGTATGTACGGGTAAGAAATACATACAGCTGTTTTCATACATGTGAGCACAATGGCAAATCCAACAGTTAACCATCATCTTATCTTTGGAAGCTAACTTGGATTATTGGGATTCTGTTTCAATGTAGAAATATGAACGTGCACCATCATTTAGAGGCAGGGTTGGGATACGGAAGATAATACAGAGCTCATCTCCAAGTTAATTGGGATTTGGGATATATGCAAATCTAACTCCTCCAGAAAATCTTGGATTTGTCAGGACAGTTTTGATTTTGGGCACCTGTTGTTCTGTCCTGTTTGCATTTTGGTCCTCTGCTTCAGGGGTCAGCAGAGACTAGGTCCACAAAAAGTGCAATGTGTGCATCACTAGCCACACAAAGCAAGAGTTTTAAAGTTGCTCTGTACAAACCTGGCCAGTACATATGCTGCTAAGCATTGCAAGGATGCACGTTAGTCTAAGTCCTATTCCCAATTGATTTCTGGATGGGTTTTCCCCCTCATGGACATGTGTCCCACATTTATACCTCCTGGTTTTTGGATGCTATGCATTTGTGACATGGCTGAGGTGGACTAAAGACCTTTTATGTTTAGTATTTATATAGCATAATTGTACAGAGCTGTACAATTTGAGGAATACAGACCGTACAATGTAAACATACCAGTACCAAGGGTACAGCGGACCCTGTCTTGGGAGCTAAAACTTTGCATTCCATATTTGAGTACAGTGCAAAGTGGATATTGAACTTGAAATATTGTGGTTAAAATTGAGAATTGAGACAAGAAGTTGAAATGTTAAAGCAACACCTCTAAAACACTTTAGTTTGCTGTAGTTCTTTGAGCTAAGAGTTTCCCCTTTGTCACTTCATACGTTTAAATTTCAATAGAAACTGGATTTTTTTTAGATTAAAATTACATGGCTGCACTCATCCAGTTATTTTACTTCATGCTAGGACCATTTTTTTTGTTTTGTTTTTTCCAAACAATCTCAGCCTGGGGAGGTGTGGCTAGGGCTGCATGGAGAGAAGCAAGCCTATTTTAACTCCTAAATGACAGATAATTGAGCAGTGAGACTGCAGAGGCATTATGTATACACACAAACTGCTTCATTAATCTTAAGTTGTTTTGGTGACTATGGTGTCCCTTTTAAAGGCAGTTAACCAATCATGCTATAAAGCAGACTAAAGAGAGGATGGGTCAGAGACTGAGGATGTGGTTAGTTCTTGCAGAGTTTGGCATCAGTTGCATGAGAGGTGGGGGTTCAGGAGGACTAGGAATAAATACTGAGGGTAAATGCTGATCCCTGAAATCTGTTGCATTAGAGGTGAGGTTTGCAGATACAAAGCCCAAAGAAATGAATGAAATGGTGACGTTGGCTATTCAGTGGAAGGTGTAGGACTAGCACTTGAACCCCAGAGCCATTCTGATTACAGACATTGCCTATTGGAAGCTGGATTGAACACAGCCAAGCTCTGCTACTGAGCGTACACTAAAGCTATTGAATATAATTGGAGGCAAGTTACTATGAAATGGATTTTCGACACCTATCTGAGCTGCTGTGAAATAGTCTGTAGATAAAATCTTAACATTGTCATAAATGGCTGTTACAAGTTACATTTTATATAGCATATGGAAACATGTTATGTTGTCAAGCATATAAACATATTCTGCTGCTCTGGTTTAATGTATTCTGGTTTTCTTCTTCTCCAAAACTATTGGCTTTGGATGTATGTATCACTGACAAGTTTGTCTTTCTTGCAGCTTGTAATATTTTGGGCCCTGAATGAAGGTGTTTCCAGGCAGTTTGACTCATTCAGAGATGGCTTTGAATCAGTCTTCCCACTTAATCACCTGCAGTATTTTTATCCGGAGGAGGTTTGTATTACTTTAATTTTATATGCATATTGTTTACAGCATGTCATGCTCACATTCAATATTATTTTCATTTAAAACAGGAGTTTAGTACTTTAACAACTATACATTTTAAAGGATCCATATCTGTATAAAATACATGGCAAATAAAAGCCATATGCTTTATCATTTTGCACAAACAGCAATGTGTTTCTCTTATTGTAAATGGCATGTTGTGGTTTTAATGATGCACCTATCCACAAATGTTTCTATAATGAGTTGTTTTGTTTTTCTTTTGCCTTGTATATTAAAGGAATATGCCAACCCGAAATGTGGCCAAAATTAGAAATCACGGTTTAGTAGATATATCCTCAATGGATATATACAAAAACTGCTGTACTTATGAACTGCAGCCTTTGCAAGCCCTCCCCTTTTAGTCTCTCCTTTTAGTACAGGTTTCTCATTGAGAGGTGTCTCGTTTTTATGTGCTGATTTCTATGAGAAACTGTCCTACTAGGATACGGCTTTTATGGGTTTGGATCGGTCCTTTAAGAGCATTAAAAAGGACCCTGCCGTGCATCTAGAAATACTGTCTAGCTATCTGTGTTGACAAAATAAATTGCTTCCCCATATGCCTTACTTGTACTATAAAATTTTAACACACTTCTAAAAACACATCTTATTGTAGAGGATACGGTGCAAGAAAGCTATGCTAGGAGTCCCTGTCCTCCTCCTTCCTCCCTGATAATAAAATCTTAGGTGGGGAAAAAAGTAATGGCACTTTGTTTGCCTTCTCTGCCACGAACAAGCCCATCTAATTTTTTTATTTTTTTTCCTGCAAGGTCTGAGACTCTTAAGCATGTCTGACATGAAATGTAATTTGGTCATGGCAGTAGTATTTGGAGTAACCAGAAAGAACAAGATAGGTCTGTCTTTCCACATATGGTGCCTCAATGTGTCTGTGAGCTTGGATTTTTGTTTCACAGTAGTCTAGCACCAAGGTTTAACTGGCAGCATCCAAAAATTCGATTTCTTGACTTTTTTCCCCCTGACAATAGCCCATGGAGCATCATCCTTTATTACTTATTGATTATTTTTGTGACGTTTTGTGGAGAGGGGGTTTTCCGCTTTTGTAATCCTTTCTTTCACTCAATCCGTATGTTGATCTGCGTTTATGTGCAAGGTAGGGACTGAATGAGAATAGCAAGTCTCTTCACATTCTGCATCTCTAGATTGGAAGCATCTAGTTTCCCAGTATACTTGATGTTCCATATATTGTCATCATCATACAGGTATTCTTTATGTCAAGAGTATTCCTAATATTTCATGCAGTTCATTGTAGATCAGTTAAGTATTTTTGGAGGCAGATTTAAATATTTTAACAGATTTATAGGTCCTGCTGCAAAGAAAGTGTATTCTGAATAGCCTAACAGGCCTTGGTATATAAATAAAGCGACACTGCTCCTTTTCGTAAATGCACTGCATATCTGATATTTTAGGTAAATTTATTTTGTTTTGCAGCTGGATCAGCTGTTGTGTGGAAGTAAAGGTGATCCTTGGGATGTGAAGACTCTGATGGAGTGCTGCAGACCAGACCATGGATACACGCATGACAGGTATATGGTATAGAGATATTGATATAGCTTATTTATTCATCAATACAATGACTGAGAATAAGGAGGCTGTAATCCTACATTTCCCTCCCAGTATATGTCCGTGAAATTGTATCCAATAAAACCACCCCAATTATCCCACCATTTTTCTTTCGCACTCATAGATGCTTCATTCTTTTGTACTTGATGTAGATTTTATGTATTTGTTTTCAATTTATTTTATTTTTTGCATTTTTGACCTTAATTATTGTATATTTTCATTCAGTATAAGGATCAGTATGTCCCTGCATACAGTTGTACATATAAACTAGTAAACCAAATAACTTGCGTCATTCTTGTTCTTTCAGCCGTGCTGTGAAATCTCTTTTTGAAATCCTTAGCAGTTTTGACAGTGAGCAGCAGAGACTTTTCCTGCAGTTTGTCACTGGCAGCCCCAGACTCCCAGTTGGAGGTAAGGAATTGGCAACTCTGCCACATGCATATCGTTTAGGATCAGCAACATCAGTGTTCTGTTCATAATTAGATGATTTGAGACTTTGTACTACAAATATTAGTTCTAGATTTGACCATGTATAGTTTGGGGGACAATGTAAGGAGACTATACCTGGACTTTATTTTGTAATGTTTGCAATATTCTGTGTAATTGATGGTCATATTTATATATAATCTACCATAAACCGAATCAACAAAGTTTAAGTAGTGAAAATCTTCTGGCTTGTGGACATTTTAGTCCTCGCAGGGACTGTGAAATTTTCACATTGGGTTTGGAACCTAGAGTCCATGACACACTAGGGCTGAATTTTCACTCAACCTGTATAGCTGGACCAGATAGCAGCAGAGTACAGTAGTATTTTAACTATTTACATAAATAGCTTGACTTTACTTGGGTGTTATAAATGTTTAACCCCTTAAGGACCAAACTTCTGGAATAAAAGGGAATCACATGTCATGTGTCCTTAAGGGGTTAAAGGAGTAAAAGTACATTTGTGTAATGATCAAATCACATCAATATAAGCAGGTGCCTATTGTAATTTCTCTGTAATAATCTGTATGCTAGGTATTATGCATTTAATAATATTTACATTTTGTTTTTGCTTTTTGTTTTATTTTTCTCATGGGAACATAGGCTTTCGGAGCCTGAACCCTCCACTGACGATAGTCCGCAAGACTTTTGAATCCACCGAAAACCCGGATGAATTTCTCCCTTCCGTTATGACCTGCGTAAACTACCTTAAACTGCCAGACTATTCTAGCATTGACATTATGCGTCAGAAACTGTTAATAGCTGCACGTGAAGGACAACAGTCATTCCACCTTTCCTGATCCTGAGGATCTTACCACGGAGCCCATCTGAAGGATTAATAAATCATGATTTCTTTTCTAAATGTATCACCAGAGTCAAGGCAACATGTCCTGCCTTACTGTAGAAAAACCCGATGCAGATTATTACATATAAACAGAAAAAAAACAAAGACGCAAGATCCATTAAACAGCCTCCTGGACGTTTAAAACTGATCAGACTCAAGAGTTGTGATATAAGTTTGTTTAGATTTTTTTTTTCTTTGCTTAAATTATCCTTTATTTCAAGAGTGTTGTTTTTAACATGCTTTGCTGTGTGACTTTAAATGAGGAGGTGTGTAAAAACAAACCACAAATCCAACATGGAGACAATTTTAAGCTGGAATAAAAAAAGTATTGCCATGCAAATTAAGAATAAAACAAAGTGTGTATCCATCTAAATACACACCTCCCTCAGCTTCTTGCCCCCATCCCTTCTTCTGCCCTCATGCAAAGTCAGATTCTGGTTCAGACGTGAAGAAAACACAAAAAAATCACCAGTTATTTGAAAAGTTAAACTAGATAAGCATTTTTTTTTTCCCCCTCTCTCTCTCGATACACTGTCCTTGCCCTGAAATTTGTAATGTGCAATTTATTTTTCTTCCGTGTGCAGACTGACGGCAAGCCCCTCATTCTTACTTTTGTTTTACCAAATACCCTTATCTGGCCTCCAATCAGTGGCTATGTTTTTTTGGGGGGGGAGGGGAGGGTGGGTTGGTTTGATTTGAGCCACAGTCTCCCATTCTAACTCTTATCCTGATGTTAAGGCCAGAGAAGGCAGTCCTTCTAATAAATAAGGGCTTGATTGTTTCTTTATACTGGCCTTTTCACAGGAAACTTAAAACTGTTTAGACAGTATATAAAGAACTGAGTGGCGGGTCTCTCTATTTTTATTATTTTTGGTTTTTTTGCTTATTTGATATTGTAAAAGGAAAAAAAAAACTATTGGCTGGCTTGTATTCATTCAAATAGAGCCATAGACTTTCAAATTAATGTAAATTTTTAAATCCTATCCAGTTAAATTCCCTGTTCAAAAGTAATTTTCTTTCTTCAGTTATATTTTTTAAGTATTGTTCCCTGGTTTTCTTTGGGGGATTTAAAGAGTTGGAAACGTTTTCACACAGATGAGAGCAACTGTTCTACATGTCCTGTTCTATGTGCTGATTTCTCAGATCTGCAATAATCTACTTCATCAGGTTCATGTTTTTACCTGAATATAAATAAAACCGAAAAAAAGTTTGCTTCGTGTGTTTTATTTTGTCTGAATAGTACACCAGAATTGTAACTTTGTTGTTTTTTTTGTTTTTTTTTTGTTTTTAAAGCACCAACAAAATTCAGTTCCAAATGCATATAACAGAATGTGCTTTCAAGAATATTTCAGTTGCTTTTTTACTTTTAGTATTTGCAAAGCTAGCTGCTACACTTTAAGAGAAAAAAAACATTGGGCAGCTATTGCTGTGAAGAGAGGGGCATGCAAAGTCTTTCCTGTGCAATGTAAGCTCTGTCTGTGCCAAGACCTCAAGGGATAGTATGTATTCTTTTTATTGCGTCACATTTCGGGTGGGGGGGCAAAAGATAACAGGAGATAAAGTAAGGGGTCATAACACACACATACATATATAAATTTAAAAATAACCTTGTCGATGACAGGCATACAAGTTTAGTGAGTGTTGGGGAAGAAGCTCTCAGCAAAAGCTGCCTAATTTTTAACCGAAAGAGAACCTGCATAAATAAGGAAACTATGCATAGGAAACAAGACTAATCGTTCCACCAGGCATAATCATATGGTGATTTGGGAAATATGTAACTTAATTTGGTCTTTTGGCACTGAATAAAAAGGTTAAAAAGCTTTCCGATAGTAAGTTCAACTTTTTATTTTATAGGTAAGGGTTTTGTGCCGCTTATCCACTATTCGGTTGAGGGATGGTAGTACAGTTACTTAAACGTACTGGCCGTCGGCTAGGGGATTTGGGACACTGTCTTCAGGGGAATAACTATACTACAAATTGGGCAGCTGGGGATATTAGGCCTCCCTGCATATTAATAGAGCCCGCATAGGATGCAAGGTAGGCAAATAGTTTGTGGGGTTTTTTTTTTTTTTGTTTTGTTTTTTCTCATCCGTGCCTGGACTTAAAACATTTGGGTCTAGATTTCAGTCGTGCTGCATTCGGTAGAGCTGAAATATGGACTAAACTCAGGCCTATTCGGTGACAGAACTTAGTGTAAACAATGTTTGGATTTTGCTGTCCGAACTTTTGTAATACTGTTTGTTTTCTGTTATTCTTAAAAGGATACTATAGTGCTAGGGATACAAATCTGTATTCCTAGCACTATATCCCCATCACCCCTGCATAGAAATGTTAAGACTCCTACTTTACTTACAATTCAAGCGCTGATGTCCCTCAGTGCTGTGCTACACCTCCTCAGTCACCCGATCATGGGGATGCTAGTGCACATGTGCAGCAAATCCCGTAAGAGCATTAGTCCCTCTCCGTAGGATAGCATTGCTACCATGCTTTCTTATGGGGAATTGATTGACCCCTTAATGCAGAGCGTTAGGATGTCCAGCGTCCGGCAACAAGCAGGAAGTCAGACAGCCACTAGTGCCAGTCTTAACCCTGCAAGGTAACTAGTTTTCTCAGAAACTGCAATAATTACCATTGCAGAATTAAGGGGACCGGAACATTGCACCCAGACCACATCAATGACCTGAGGTGGTCTCAGTGCCTATAGTGTCTATTTAATGTTTGCTGCTGTGTAATCCTAAAGATAGATTTTTGGAAAAGTTAGAGGGTTGCACCTAAGCCATAAATGTGGCCCCAAGTACATAAATAGTCTAGTACATGCAGTATTCTTTAATGGGTTTGGACAGACTGTAATACATTTTTATTTATTTTTTTTCCCCCTCACAATAATGTAGTTATCAACAACCAGTTTCCCTAAAATAAAGTGAACTTGGGGAAGTTGACTGGCATGCATAGCAATTGAATGCCAAGCGTGTTTCTGCTCATAGCCTACCTGATAAGCTTTTTAAACTTGCTATACTAATCTACTCACCACAAAACAAGTGTACTGCATTGTGAGACCCTGGTGACCCATTTGATCCACATTAGGTGTCATTCTGAACTGGAAAAGCTTCCCTTCACTGTTTGGGGCCTTCAAGCTTGACGGGCACTGGAGAAACGGCCCGCTCTTTGTACGCCACATCCGTATATACACTGCGGATTTCTGCAAACACCCAGGGGAGGATGAGTCACCAGGTACGGGCCCGTGCTCCTGAAGATGGAACACACTTGTAAGAATTCATAAAATATTTTACCAGGAAGGATACATTGGAATTTCTCTAGTTTTCAGGCATGTCCTGGGGCAACGAACATTCCATTGTTAAAATAGGGTACAATATTACATTAAAATTCCAAAATAGTCCACAGGCATGGGCTGGGCCCTGAGGGACCCAACATTACCATGATATGCCAAACTGAACTCTGCTCCGCCTCTAGAGGCGCAGCCTTTACTTTTTTTTATACCTTATTACATGCTTTGTACCTCAAGCAGGAGATGTCAGGGGCATGTTATGGAGGGGAGGGGGGGGGTAGTGCTGGCTGACACATGAACCGTTCGACAACACGAGGCCAAAGATGCCAGGTAGACCTTGGGGGGACTAAAACACACAGTGTTCGCACACACTGAGGGAGACGCACCAAGATATACCACACCGAACTTTCATCCGCAGTTGCTCGTTATAAGGTGGGGGGGGGAAGAGAAAGGTGGGCTGACGTACTGACAACCCACGACCGCAATCACCACATCATATACCTCCTTTCGGGAGAGGTACCCCAGACGGCAACACCAAAGACAAGATAGCACCCACGTACACTAGACAGGAAACCTAGGCTCAGACCCACCACACCCGCTGGTAGCATGGTGAAGGCCACACGTAGCTCCCCCACATTCCACCGACGCATACACGACTTGGACAAAATGGGGGACCACATCATAGCGAACATCCAGCGCCATGGGACGTACTAGAAACCCAGTACAGACACGACAGCGAGTACTATAACTCTTGGCACCAGCGGAGTGCCCTAGACCAAGGGCCATAGCACAAAAACGGTTGCCAACCACAACGCAGTGGACAGGCGCGGGGCACTCACCAACTCCGAGAGATGGCATTCCACACGTCACTCGGAGGGGGTGAACACCCCCACTTTAATCTGGCACAGGTTAAGACCAGATGGTTATTAACTGTTTATCTTTTATGTATATGTGAATGTTTATTGATAATGTTTTTGGATACTCAACCTTCCTTCTTCTCTCTTACACTATCTCTTAAGACAAGTACTAATCTTCAATCCAACTTCCCTGCCTGGATGCTGCCCGCGCCGCTGGGGATGGGTCCCACAACCGATCACACACACACACTGCCCTCCGCGGTTCCCGGAAGACGGGAGACCATACCACGCTCATTGCACCGACTGCGCCTCCGCATGGCTCTTAAGGTACTATCATTCAACGTCAAGGGCCTCAACTCGCCCAACAAACGTCGATTACTGGTAAGAGACCTAAAGACCAAGAAAGTAGACATTGCACTGATACAGGAGACACACCTCCCCAGGTCGAGAGCCACCAGACTAACGGACAGAACTTACACGACGGTTTACGAGGCACGCTCACAACGAAAGCGGGCAGGGGTGGCAATACTCCTGCGCAGGAGTTGTCCACTGCACGTCACGACCATCCAAACTGACCCAGTGGGGAGATTTGTATACATAGGGGGCACCCTCTACACCACCAAAGTGCATATCGTTAACGTATATGCCCCCAACGAGCCGGACCAGGTGTTCTGGACGAACCTGGAAATGTTGGTGGCGGGGGTGGGGGGGGGAGTCCTTCTAGTCGGAGATGACTTCAATGCGGTGCCAAGTCCGGCAGCTGACAGGAGCTCAAAACCAGGCATAGTGCGATCGCAGGGCAGAGGGGGACAAGACAGGCAACTACACACATTCCTGACACACACAGCCCTCCTAGACACCTGGCGACTACAACACCCAACTACGACTGATTACACTTACTACTCGGCACCACACAACACCTACTCCAGAATAGATAACATGTTTCTCAATGGAGCAGGGATGGCCAAGGTCCTCCACACAGACATTAACAACATCACGTGGTCAGACCACGCAGACATAACACTCACGCTAGGCAATCTATGCTACAAGTCCAATTGGTCTTGGAGGCTTAATACTAGCCTCTTAAGAGACGACACAACACAATCCACAACCCGGCAAGCCATCACAGAATACTTTGAGATAAACGCAACCCCCGAAGCTAGCCCTGCCGCGATCTTGTCAGCGCATAAAGTAGTCCTACGCGGCCACTTTATTAAGCTAGCCACCCAGAAAAAGAGGGATAAAACAAAACAGCTACTCGACCTACAGTCTGCCCTACGTAAAAAAGAGCAACAACACAAAACGAATCCGACAGACTTGAACCTTAGGGAACTCAATAGCCTCAGACACTCTATCAGGGACCTCACCCTGGAGGCGGTATCACGCTCTATCCTATGGTCCAAACGCTTGTTTTACGAGAAAGCAAATAAGACAGACACACTCTTGGCTAGGGCGCTCCGCCCGAGACCGCAAGGCAAAATCATAACAAAAATACGCACAACAGAAAACACACTGGCCGAAACGCCCGATGAGATTAACGCAGTGTTCACCTCCTACTTCTCAGAACTATACAATCATTCCCCCCGCCTCCGGGCCACCAACGCGACCTATATCTCAGACATACACCAATTTCTCTCCGAACTCACTATTCCAAAAGTGAACGGGGCGGAAGCGGACGCACTACAAGAACCAATCACACAACTCGAGGTGGAGGCAGCCATAGCTTCCCTGAAAGGCAATAAGGCACCAGGTCCGGACGGCTATGACATTAGTTATTACAAACAATTTAAAGACGTATTAGCCCCCCAACTGACGACCCTTAGCAACCATTTTCTGCAGGGCGGGACACCTGATGGCGACATGGCTACAAATGTTGTCCTCCTACCAAAACCAGGCAAAGACGACACACTGGCCTCGAGCTACAGGCCAATCTCACTTATTAACACTGACCTCAAAATATTCGCTAAAATTTTGGCGTCCAGACTCAACGTACTGCTCCCGCGCTTGATCCACCCAGATCAGGTGGGCTTTATGCCAGGCCGCCAATTGTATGAATACACGAGACGAGG